ATAAAAATGAGGACTCTCTGCTGGGTCAGCTGAAGGTTCAGAGAGGGCGCAAATGTTCAGTACCTTCTCTGCAGATACTTCTGCAACTCAAACCAGATACTTCAAATAGAAAAATGAGTCTTTGACAGTTGAATTTTAATATAAAGAGTTTTTATTAGAGACTGAAAATCATTTTAGATTCAAAGATTTCAACATAAAGGCTTCATACCTAAACGCGATTTTCATAAACAACCCAACATCTAATGAGATGTTCAACAGTTCAACAAAATCTCCTCCTTTAACACTGAAATGTAAATGAGAGCCTTCTTACAGACGTAAACCTGCCCCCTCTCTGTAGTGCACTTGGACCATCACCCTCCTCCCTCCCAGAGGCTGTAAACGGTTTTGTTTGAGAGGCCAGAGTTAAGGTGATGTTGAAATGAGACCTGCAGATGTTTAGCAGATTTAGCTTCTTGTTTTTGTGGAGATTGCTACATTTCGACATGATGGAGAATTTCTCAAACTGCTCTCTCACACTGGCACTTAACTCATGAGTGTATTTCTCCTCATGAAGCTACTGTCACAGCTGTGGACTGTTAGGGGGCTGGGTATAAACAAACAAGTAAATTGTGGGATACACTCACAGCGAACAGGAAACATCCGTCAGCACAGATACTGATAGACGCCTTGCTCCTGTTCCTGTCAGCTCCTGAGCCCAGCTGTTGTGTAATATGTTGTTTGTGCTGTTTCCTTGCAAATCAGTGTCTCCAACACACTGAGGGTATGTTAGAAATTTTGATGCAATAAGACCTCTGAGAGTAGGTTAGGCCTGGAGCATTGCAGTAAGCTGGAAATAGTATAGCTTGTCCTACCATCAAACCACCAAAAGACTGAACATAACATGTCGCTTTGTCTGTTTATGGCCGTACACAGAGGCTAATCAGGTAGCATCTCCGATACAAACTTATAGGTGATCAAATATTTTATTACCATCCTGACTATTTTCAAAGGGGAAGTGAAGGTTAGAGCAGTATAGGATACCCTGAAAACAAAACGCCCCTCATCTTGCATCAAATTAAAATAGCAACACACCAAATGTTTGAAATAGGCAGAATGCAGATCTGCTCATAGAGGGTAATGCGACAAATCTTCCATAAATAGTATGGGAAGCAGAACTAAATATGAGGCATCCCCCTGTTGAAATAATAGGCTATATAAGCTTTGACTGCTGGGGGCACCTTGCACATCAAGCTGTCAATTATGCCACGAAAGGTAAAGACTGCCTGGAATATCTGAAATGCTAAACTCAAGGTTATGCTGTAGACTGAGAGTCCTGACAGACCAAACTCCCAGTCATACTGCCATTAGCTGAAACTTCAGGGTAAGTTACAAGCCATACTTTTAGTCATGCAACCATAAACTTCAATCATCTGGGGACCTAACCTACTAAAGTGACAATTTTGCTGCTATAGGCTTCAACTAGGACTCAAGCTGGACTCAGAGGAGGATGTGGTGGAGAGATCTACACTGAGGAAGGTGGGGTCTATTCTAAAGAACATGGATCACCCACTTCACAACTCCTTGATGGACCAAAGGACCATCATGGTGGTGGACGGCTCCTCTCTCTTTGCTGCAGGACAGAAAGATTCAGAAGATCTTTTGTACCAACAGCCATCAGGCTTTATAACTCTTGTGTAAGTAATAGATAACTTTTAGAGACACATTATGTGAGACAACAGACAATTGAATTTCCCTACAGGGATTAATAAAGTTCTTCATATTCTTATTATCTTGGTAAGAGAGGGTTATCATGGTTTTCTGTGACTGTCAGTCTATCAACCATCACCTTTACAGATAGTTCTTTGTGTGTGTGTGTGTGTGTGTGTGTAGCAGGGATCCCACATATTGGTAAAAAACTAGCGGGCCCCACAAAGGGGTTGCACAAGTATGTGTGTGTGTGTGTGTATGTTTGCGTGTGCGTTTGTGTGTGTGGTTAAGACATTTGCCAGCTGCAGAAGTACAATCCACAGGAGATGCAGGTCAGCTTGGCCCATTTGTTTGAGAATCTGGGAGGAAGATCGGACGTGAAGGCCATTCAGAGGAACACATACAGGGTGTGTATGCTGCCTCTTGGTCTGAATCAGTACCAAACACTGTGGCTTTCTGACAGCAACGTTCAAGGAACAGTTTTATCTGTATCATGTAGTAAACTGTCAAATTATCTGGTAGAATTTCTTTATAAAGCCCGTTAATATCACTGACTCAACTGCTGCTCCTCTTGCAGAGTTCACTTACCTTTATCAAATCTTCATGTTTTATTTTACCTCTTATTGAAATGATCTGAACAAGCTTGTATTGGCATTTGTTATGCATTAAGTCACATTGAAATCCATGATGCTTTTAGGTAAATGCAGTTCAGTCTATATGAACCTTTCGATTGCAGTAATGTTTATTAAATTGTTTATTAATATTCGTATATATTGTTATGCTTAAAGGTCACTCATGACAGACATTATGGTCATATTAAACAGTTATTTAAAATTCATTGTATGTATGTAGTGCTGTTATTCAAAGGGCAGTTAGGCCACATTAGTCAAGGTTGTTGAGTCAGTCTGCAAATTAAAATCAAAACATCCTCAGCAAAGAACCAAAGCAAGAACCAAAAATGCAGAAAAGCCAAATGAACAAGCAGCTAGAAAAAAGAAAAAAAGTAGAAGTGACCTGACTGCAAAGACTGAAGAGTTGCATATTCAAAACAAACAAAGATAAAAAAAAAAAATCAGCAACAGAAAAACACAGCATATCTAGTCATCTAAAAGGAAGTGCTCCAGGCCTGTAGGAGGCTCTGAGATACAGTTTACCTTAGATTACCTCTGCTCCATCTTGCCCTCTCAAGATGCAGCATTCTGATGCACTTTTTCCAGAGTTTGTGTTCACATAACTCATTTGTATCTCTTTTATGTAAATCTTCTGGGCTGTATAGTTTTCTGAAAGAATATTTTCTCCAACCCACAAACTGAACAAAAACAACGGAAAATGTTCTTTACCAAGTTCACTGACTTTATTTGTTTCTATAAAACCTTGTCTTCAAATCCTGCATGAATAATGCAATCCAAATGACAAAGAGTTAGCTAAAAAATAAAATAAGAGTTTGCTAATGTGAAGTGATTTTTTTTTCATGCTGTTACCACCACTGAAGTGAAGCATCTTAAACTGTATTTATAAGAAGGGGAGATACTTTTCTCTGAGAAATACAACAATTAATGATGATACCAGCTCCACTTTCTGAGAAGAAACACCTGATTGAAAGTTTTACTTTTTCATCTGTTTCTCATCTTTATGGGGAGTGGTAAAATTGTACTTCTCTAATCAACTGGGATCTGTGATTTAACAGTTAGTACAGACTGGGGTGATAAATTTGCTCTTAACATCCCTCACATTACAGAAAAGTCTAGATAGATAAAAATAACCAGGACTTCACAAACTTTTGTGGAAATGGGACCTTCATTCTGGCCAGATATACAGTTAGGCCCAAAAAATGTATGTTATATAGATAATATGGACAGTGACACAACTTTTGCCATTTAGATGTTTATGGAAACATACTCAGGAGACAGTTATATAATCAGTGTAGGCTCAAAGTGCGACTTTCAGCTGTAATTTCAAAGGATTCACATCCAAATTGGAGCATGGATTTAGGAATTACAGCTCTTAAATATGTAGCTACTTCTTTTTCAAGGGACCAAAAGTGATTGGACAATTGACTCAGAAAGCTGCAGAAATTCTAGATGTGGCATTTGCATTTGGATGCTGTTGCTCTGAACCCACAACATGCGGTCAAAGGAGCTTTCAATGGAGGTGAAACAGAGCGATATGGCAGAAATGTTAGGAGTGGTTAAATCAACAGTTTGGTACATCCTAAAACAAAGAGTGCACAGGTGAATTTGGGGGCTCATAAAGGCCTGGACATCCACGGAAGACAACAGTGGTGGATGATCGCAGGATCCTTTCCATGGTGAAGAAAAACCCCTTCACAACATCCACCTAAGTGAAGAACACTCTCAAGGAAGAAGGTGTATCAGTGTCTTAGTCTACTATAAAGAGAAGACTTCATAAGAGTAAATACAGAAGGTTTACCACAAGGTGCAAACCATTAATTAGGCTCAAACATTGAAAGGCCAGATTAGACTTAACCAAAAAACACCTGAAGAAACCAGCCCAGTTCTGGAGCAGCATTCTTCGGACAGATGAGACTAAGATCAGAAGAAAAAGAAAGTATGGAGAAGAATTAGAACAGCTCATGATCCAAAGCACACCACATCTTTTGTAAAATATGAAAGACGCAGTGTGATGGCAACGGCATGCATGGTTTCCAATGGGTCACTTTTGTTTATTGACGATGTGACAAAAGACAGAAGCAGCCGGATGAATTCTGAAGCGTATATGGATATTCTATCTGCTCAGATTTAACCAAATACAGCAACGCTGATTGGACGGTGCTTCACGATACAGATGGACAATGATCAAAAACACACAGCAAAAGCAACCCAGGAGTTTTTTAAGACAAAGAAGTGGGATATTCTGAATGGCTGAGGCAATCACCAGATCTGAGGACAGCTGCAGTAAAAGGCCTGGAAAAGCATCACAAAGAAGGAAATCCAGTGATTGGTGGTGTCCAAGGGTTCCAGACTTCAGGTAGTCATTACCAGCAGGATTCTTGACAAAATATTAGAAATGATCAATTTTCTTAAGGGTATCTTCATTTGTCCAATTACTTTTGAGCCCCTAAAATGAGGAGAGTTTGTATAAAAATGGCTCCAATTCCTCAAATATTTCAGCCGCTTGACTTAAACCTGAAAGTCTGATCTTCAGTTGCATCTGAGTTGTTTCATTTCTAATCCAGTGTGGTGGCATGCAGAGTTCAAATCATGATGGTTGTGCCACGGTCCAAATATTTACGGGCCTGACTGTAATGTACAGGGTAGTGTGTACCCAACAAGAGTCATATTTAGCATACATTGAGGACCTGTAAGTTGACCTACCACCTATTTGTCTGGCATGCTTATATGGTTGTTTTCGGCCATTTAGCCATTATTACGGTTATAGAGAAATATTCATAAAAACCCTTTATTTAAGAGTGAAAAATATTTATTTGGGTGTGGACATTGCCTACATTTCGAAAAAACAACAATATGGTGTGATTTGTAAGGTGTGCCTTCACAGAAAATTGAAGAACTGTTTTAATGCAGGTTATGATGTGATAATTAAATAGACAAATGTAGAATAAAATCCCATAAAACGGTCAATCTAAAGGCAAAGAAAAGATGTACTTTGAGGATGATATGTGACCCAGTGTTTCTCAGTTCGGGAGCAAAGTGCTGAGTTTGAAACAATGTGTTTATGGAGGCTGCTGATTTTCAACAAGGCTAGAGTGAGCTTAAAACCTTGCAATATCAGCAGCTTAAAGGAACAGTTCAGACGCTTCAAGGAGAATCGTATGAGGTTAGGGTTACCTTCAGGATAACCTCGTTTGTAGAAACAGACATAGATACTGACATGAAAGCTAAGTCATGTGCTGCTGTGGATAATAGCTTAATGAGATCAATATCTGCTCCAGTGAATGTTATTTCATGGTCAGATCACATGGTTTAAGCACGTTTGATAGTGAAGTAAGCTGAATGAAATGACCAAAAAAGATCTCACAAAACTTTTGTGGGATTTCTCGAAAATTTCCAGAGTTAAAGCTTGTTTTTCTCCCCTATGCCAATCTATTTCACAGCTACAAATAACCTAGCTTACACCCCAGCAGTCTGTCTCCAGTTGGCGGCATGTTGAGCGCCATTGTCTACTGGACATTACCAACTATTGGTAAGAACCTCGTACAAGTCCACTAAAAAATCCCAACTGTCCCTTTAATATCAGTAGCTTATAGCCTTTGGATGAAGATCAGACATTTATCTCTCCTCTCTTGGTTAGTTCCAGCTGAATATTTCCTTTCATAGTTATGCTCTGACATTAAAAATATGAGGCCTGTGAGTGTGTCTTCAACCTGAAAAGAGACCTCATTTATCCAAATAGTGCATGCCGATGTAATATTCGAAAAATGGTCTGTTCTGAGTTATTCACAGTCATAGGAAAAGCTTTGTGACTATTTTTAAAAAGTTGAACAAATTCTCTGAAACAGTCTTAAAGAATATGATGGCCAAAGCTCTACACACTCACACCGATACAATCATATACTTTTCATGGAGGAAAATCCAAGTGGTGCTCTGTGACTGTCACAACTGTCCTGAGTTACAAGAAGTCAAACAATAAAAGGATACAAACACAACATGACTAATTTTGAACAGCAAGCATGGTTCCACTGATAACCACTGTAAAGTCTTTGGTCACATTCAGACGTGTGTTTCCCTGTGACAAACAGAGACGGTCGCTGTTGACAGTTACGCTGCCGACAGGTTCGACCTGATGGAGTCCTCTCGTAACTGACGGTGCTTCCCAGTGTCACATTCTTCAGTATTTGTGCGGCGCTCGATGGTAATCCTGTAGTTTTTTCTGCAAAGGGATAAACATTAAAATTAATGTTGTATTTATCATCTTCCCTCCAAAATCAATGAAAGTCAACAGTAAACTCTGCAACAGTGACCGTCAAACTGAATTATTTTATTCCATTTAAATTATTTTAGAGTTTCTATGTACCTACTTTTCACACTCCTATATTTAGCCAATATTTTGGTGCATAGTTAAAGCTTTATTTTTTTAATCACAATAGGAGATACAAACCCCAATTCTAATGGAGTTGGGAAGTTGTGTAAGACAAGATATGTAATGTTCAGGCTGATAAACTTATTTTGTTTATAGATTTTTACAAATATTCACTCATTTTTAAGTTTAAGCCTGCAACATGTTTCAAAAAGTTGGGACAGGAACAACAAAAGACCGGGAAAAAGGATCATTTCACTTGTGAGCAGATTCATTGGAAACAGGTGAGGGTCATAATTGGTTTTAAAAGGAGCATCCCCGAAAGACTCGGTGGTTCACAAGCAAGGATGGGGTGAGGTTTACCACTTTGTGAGCAACTGCGTGAACAAAAAGTCCAACTGTTTAAGAGAAACTGTAGCGTACAATTGCGGGAATTTAGAGATTTGATAAGCTCCAGTCCATAATGTCATCAAAAGATTCAGATACTCTGGAAAAATCTCTGCACGTGAGCAAGAAGGCGGAAAAACCTACATTGACCTCCTGTGACCTTTAAACCCTCGGACGGCACTGCATTAACATGTATTACCATGTAGACTCAGGAACACTGCAGAAAGCCATTATCAGTTCACACAGTTTGTCTCTCCATCCTTTGGTGCAAGTTCAAACTTTACCATGCAAAGATGAAGCCAGATATCAACAACACCCAAATGTGGTCATTATTTCAAACTGTTTTTGGAAATCATGGATGTTGTGTCCTCTGGGCTAGAGAGGAAAAGGACCATCCAGATAATTCTCAGCATCTGTGACGGTCTGGGGTATGTAAGTGCCCATGAAATGGTTAACTGTCTCATCTATGAAGATTCCATTTATGCTGAAAGGTACATACAGGTTTTGTAACATACGCTGCCAAGCCATGTCTTTTTCAGGGACATCCCTGACTATTTCAGCAAGACAATACCAAGACACATTTGACATGTGTTACCATAGAGTGGCCTTGCAGTAAAAGAGTCCAGATCATTTTAGGAAGACTTCTCAGGACTGCATACTACACATTATCGGACAGAGCTACAAGTTAGTTAAATTGAGAGAATAAATATCTCAGACATTTACCTGAAAAAGTAGAACCCTATAAGCATTGCAGTTCCCAGAACAGCCCCCACTATGACACCCGTCAAAGCAGATACTCCCAGTCCACCTGTTTGGAAGAAAAGATATGGAAAACAACACACATACTCTGTTATTGGTGATTAAGATAACTAAAGATTTCCAAATTTATGCTTCAGAGTCTGCAGTGAACTTAAGTGATCACTTACATGACTTGTCAGGTGTCTCTTCGTGGGTTTTATGTCTTCCTTTCAAAGTGAAATGGTCGGCGTTGAAAGCAGGAAGCAGCTGAAAAGTCCCGTTTGCTCCAAAGTAGTTTGCTACAACCTGATTAAAAAATAAATTAAAATATTTTTCTATCAAATCCAACAAGCTCTTTCTCCTTCTCCCTGTCAGGTAAGGGTTTTAAAAATGGATCATCGCAGAGTTTGACTTTGACTTCCTCTTACCTCATAGGTTCCTGCTTCAGCATTGGTCATGGCCATCAGAGAGAAATCTCCATTTCTGTCACCACTGGCATCAATGGATACCTGACCAGCAATCCCTGTAACACCATCATAATAGTAAGAATATCATATTAGTTCCGTGATAGTCACAGTCAAACTATAACAATGTTTTTGGATGGTTTATTAGTCATTTTAACGTATGAAGCTTGTTTTTATGTTCATTGTTTATGTGTACTCTTGAGTTAAGTTTAAAGGACTAGGATTTTCATTTGATTAACAAGGATGTGTTATAAGTTGATGCATTACTTTTATTGGTTGGCTGCATACAACCAGATTAGTCGTATTAGTGCTAATGGACAGCAAAGCTGATGTACTTGGACTGAATACCAAAAATTAGGATTTGAAAGGTTACTTGAGAGCTTGCAACAGGTGAGCTTTACCTTCAAAAGTTCTGTTCCACATGTGAGAGGTGATCTCAGACCCATTCTTCTTACTGAATCCGTTTTTCATGGCTTCGTGCAGGGCGATGGCGTACAGCAGCATGGCATCATGGAACCCTTCCACAAACATGTTGACCTGAAATCGAACATGAAGGGGTTAAAATCCAACTAAACAAAAACCACAGCAAACATTTAGACCTTTCTCAGACCATTTACCAGCTCAAATCTTATGTTCCAACAATGTTGAATCTCATAGATTCATATTCTTGTAATTCTGAAAGATTTCATAATATATTAAAATAGTCAAGTTCACAAGCGCTGAACCAGATCCCTCACTGCTGCCCTCATGGCCATGCTATGTCAATTTACAGACCAGTTTCCAGGTCTGAACCATTGTTATCACTTACCCGTTAATCTACATAATGTATTTACTTAACGAAATTTAACAAAGGTCTCAAAAAACAAAACAAAAACAAAAAAACTATCTTGAACTATATTGTCTGTTCTTCCTTTTCTTGGCTGATGTTTTATTCCAATTCATTCTTTTCTTTAATTAGTTGCCAAATGACCCTCCATATAACCCCCACCTCCCACCCTGCTGCACTGTGTTCCTGTTTTTACTATTTCTTATGTGTCATTAAGAACGTATGTCTTTTTATATATACTTTTATTTATTTGGTTCATTATTTGGTTACCTTCAGAAAGTGCAATATTACTCACCATGCTGCTATTTTACCCTTAGTTTTTATTTTTTCTGTATATTAAATCAAACACCATCATGCTCTGACATGGAAGCCAAGCAACAACATTTCATTGCAGAGAGAAATCACTGCTGTTTTTTATTCTGAGCAATGACAAATAAAGAAAGTTTAAGTCTAAGTCTAGATTTCTTTGTTTATCTCTTAGAGTTTAGTATCAGTTCATAAAGAATATGGAAGTGACATGATAGTTCCCCTGGGGGATGTTTCAGAAGGTAAGACATAAGGATGTTGTTGTAGTTCACTATGTGCACGAAGATCACTCTCTTTGTGAGTTTTACACATTTTGCCTGACATGTTCTCACTTTGATTAACCCGGACTACACGAGGAAATAAAAAAAATTACAAAGCGAATGTTAGTTGAATTGTTGCAAACCTAAAAGTAAGAAAGCAGCAGTGTGCATGCATGATTTGTATGTAGATGTAGAATAATAATAGCTGCACTGCTGATTGAATTCCCTGAGATGATCAGATGTCTCATTAACCTCCACTTGGACTTAAAGTTGGTGTGGTCGGGTTTTGGTAGTTAAAGACCAAAGGTAAATAGCATTGTCCTCATGATGAGGACCAGTCATGTGTAAATCATGTATTGGACAGGCACACATACTTACGCTTCCACAGTCGTTGCAATCCAGGAATCCTGATTTTTTGATAGACTTTTTCATTTCCAGGGAGAAGTTTTCAAACTCGGGCTTGACCGTCCTCAGCAGAGTCACAGTGTTCAGAGAGGCGTAGGCTTCTTTCGCATCGTTATCGTGTTTGTCACCTTTTTTCCATGAGCCATTTCCTACAAAAAGAGCAGTTGGATCAGTTGGTTTCATTTTTGTTTGTGCCTAATTTCAGTCAGCCTACCCTTGACTCCGGTTTACCCCTCAAAAATTCTTTTAGCAGAAAACCACAGCAATAGAATTATTATTACTGCATAATTCAAATGTAAAGTAATCAATAAATGCTTCTTTACACCCTCATATCCTAAAAGTCATAGACAGTAATTTTTATAATCAACCATGTATACACGCAAAGTAGCTGAAAAAGTAGGACTGTCCAAATATATACCAACCTCACAATATAAAGACAAAGAGTTTAAAAAATAAGGTCATGCTTTCCGTACCATAAGAAGAGGCGTTGAAGAGTTCAACATTAAAAAACATGTGGTTTCCATTGGTCAGCCGTCGTCTGTGTGCAGCCAGCATGATCTCTCGGATTTTGTCTGCAGGCATGCACATGATCACCACTGCAGACACAGAGAAAGAAGGGGGTTAAAATGTTATTAATATAAACACATAAATACTTTTATCTATTTAATTAAGCAGATAATTTGTAATGCTAACAATGACATCAGTGTAAATGGGAGTAAATTTCTGTAAATGTTTAGGCCGATCAGGTGTTATTGGGGCTAACATATTTACTATTAACATTTCAAAACCACTTAAGAGTCAAAAAATACAAATTGATTTAATGTTTCACAGACTGAACTTTCACCATGTAGTATCAGCATGTCTCAAAAACAACATACAACACAAGTTTGGTGGTTTACATCCCACATTTACATTCACAGTCCATAATTGATTGAAAATAGTACAAAGTCAACATATCAACTTTTGAAGCAGAAACATTTCAGTGATTTATGAAAGATATGTAGTCATTTCAGTTTCCAGCAATGCATTGAGAAAAAGTTGGATCAGGGACGGCAGGACACTGATATAGTTGTGTAAAGCTCAGAACAACGTCAGCAAACGCCTTTTTATATCTACATTATAAAGAATAAAGCCCCATATTTATACCACAACTTAACTAAGTTGTGTACGCTGAGAGAAATACTCTCGTGTAACAAAGCTGAATATTTATGAGATTCAATTATTTCCTCAAAACACCAATCGTTGCCATCAGCTGGACTTTTGGTTTTCAGCACAGATACAAGTCATGTGGTTTATAGCAATAATCACAATAACAAGATATTTTTAGCTGTCTGCATGCGAAGTCAAAGTCAAAGTATTATTAGTGTTTTTACAGATTCTGTGTCAAATTAAAATTTTTCCAAAACATAAAAAACTTTTTATGCTCAGCCTTTTTTTAAACATGCAAAAAACCAGGAAAGCCTTCAGGAAAACAAACGGTCCTGCTCGGGTTATTGGAGGAGGAGTTAGTGTAAGTAGGCTTATGGTTTTTGGATGGCTCTGTTTTTAATGTGTCTCCAATATGCCTGTGGATCATAAATAATCATAACCAATAAGTCTGATGTGCACATTGGTTTCTGTGGTTGGTCTTTGAGGTTAATTTGCAACAGTCTGCAGTGTGTAATCCTGGCTTTCCAGCGCACGTCACTCTAATTAGAGCCTGCAGATGGAGCAGCTGTGTGGATCTGCAGAGCTGGAGACGGTTGTCACAAATATTCATCATCTGAAGAGATTTTATACCCAATTAAATCTGCAACTGGTGATGATGTGTGGTAAAAGTTCATCCTCTAGCTATCTGGACATCTTGTTCTTTTACCTTTATACTAGAGAACAGACAATTGTGTAAACTGAGTTCATTACTATTTCTAAGAGCCTCAAAGGGTGTCTCCAAATTTCCTCTTTTGTCTGAAAATCCCAAAGATCCCAAACAAACCTTTGGATCTGTCTTAACTTTTATCAGTGACAAAGAAAAAGCAAAAATCATCACACGCACTGTTTGCCTTTCTACGAGAACAAAAAGTTATTTTAATAAAAATCCATCGTGTCTGCAGATTTTAAAAAGTAGACTGAAGGATGAACTTTGCATGGCTTCTGAGAGGTTCATGTGAAAGTACAAAAGTGCAATGGAGGACACAGATTTTTGCAGTAAAATGTTTTGGCATGCTAAATTGCTCAGACGTTCAAAGCAGATGGAGCAAAATAAGAGTCGAGTTCAGTGCAGGTCTGGATTGGCAGGTTGACTCACCAACACAACACCTGAGTCAGGTGAGGAAAGTACCTGACACAGTTTCTGCACAGGAGGCATTTCAGCCTGAATTTCAGTCATCTGTGTCGTGTGCATCTGAAGGAAACAGATACGATCGATATACTGGCTGCATAACGGCTACAATTTCACCTCTCACCCTGAGGGTACCTCGGTGATCACGAACTGTATCAGATGTTGCAGGTTTTGGTAAATAAGGGCATGAAAAGCGATACACTGCAGACTTTTAAAAATTGGCCTCTGTCATGGTAACTTGTTGAAACAGATTGAAAAGTACTCATCTGACTTTTTTTGAAACAATTCTCTGCCTACACCCTCCAAACAGATCAAATACGCTTGTTTTTAAGAGCAACACAGGACTGCAGCATCAGAGTCCGCTTTACAAAACAACAACCTTGTAACACTTGAGGTGCTTTGAATTCATGCAATTGTTGGCTAATTGGATTGGAGCGCTTGACGTGAGCAAAACGAAAGCGGTCGGCATTACCAGTGCCAGACAAGTCCAGGAGGCAGCGAGAGATCAACAGGCTAATCAAGGAGAAGAGACAGATGAAAAAGCAATCTGCCTCTGCTGCACAAGGAGATGGCCTCGCACCACTGTGGGCAGACATCAAGAGCTAGCTGGCACCAATATGTGTTGGAGGGGGAAAAAAAACTAAAAGAAACTTTGTAGAAAGAGTCAAGAAACTGTTTCATATTGACCATTACCATTTTCTTTTGAAAGATTCAAAAGTAGAGCAAGGTAAAAAGTTCACAAATACTACACAAATACTGAATTTCCCTTCGTGGGTCAATAAAGTTCTTCTTATCTTTTCTTATCTTAACCTCCCGAAGAGAAATGACCTCCTAAATGAACCACTAGGATGGAGAATCCTCAGATTTGGACCTAACCTTTTTTAGGCTCTGAGGCTGAAGGAGATACATTTTCAAAAACTGTGCATCAAAGCTCGGGTTAAATATTACAACATTGGCATTTCTTAGATTTTATTTGGTTAAATAGATGTTTATATGCAGTTAAAATTGTGTCGTTCCCAACCATTTCTCTTGTCTTCATCACCCTTCTTACAGACCTAAAGTAGGCCAGCTGTGCAACCAAATATTTACAGATTTTCATACAGTAAATGTAAACCTTTTCACCCCTGTGGAGACATATGAAGTATGCTACAAATCTCAGTGCTGTCAAACTCTGTGTGCTTTGCAACGCCTCGTATTACAAGTTACATTTAAAACAACATGTAATTCCCCCAGAAAACAAATTAAAACCAATCCAACAATAAGACAGGACTGAAAAACCTTGATTTTCTCTTGCTTGTATACCCCTCATTCAGCCTCAAACTGGCCAAGTCATTCTGTACATGCTTCACAGTTTGCATCCCTGATTTAAACCCTAAAGTCAAGCAGCACAGATGCAGAGAGGGAAACTGAAATAAGCCTGAGTGATAGCATGCATCACATTTGTACTATAAGTAAATGGTAGACTTTGTATGAAAGGTAAAGAACTAATTCTTGGCTAAAGCATGTACACTGAATCAAGGACAGTTGTTGAATTTATTTGCCTGCTATTTACCAGCATTGAATGGCAAAGATAGGTGTGAATCTCTCACTTTAAAGAAGACTGAAACATGGACTATTTACTGTGTGTTTCTTGCACAGACTGACACGATGATAAAACCCCAAACCTAACTCCTCTACAAAGGAAATCCAGGTATTTATAACCTGCATTGCACTATCCAGGATATCCAGGTGTTCATGACCCTAACTACACTATCAAGAATATAAAGGTATTTATAACTCTTACTGCACTATCCTGAATATCTCTGTTTTTATAATTCTATCAGCACTATCCAGGGGCTTATAACTTTAATTTATATAATCAAAATGTTTCTTTTCTGCCAACATTTATCACTGTTATTTGCATGTATTTGTTCTAAGGTTTAAGGAGCAGTGACGGAGAGGAATGGAGTTTCAGCACTAATCTCCTCCATAGTTAGAATTCTCCTTTTATCCGTCCATCCAGAGAGCTGCACGGTGACACACTGCCAGCTGTGTTAGCAGTGATGGAAATCCAGCAGACTGTGTGCTATTCTACTTTTATCTTTAACTAAACATTTAATCTTTGATAGCATTTCAGGGAGCGTGTTTGCCAACAAATATCAAATGTAAAAATGTCTTTCACTGGCTTCATATTAACTTTTCCTTTGGTATCCAGGTGATTAAAAATAAATAGGGCAGCTACACAAACAAGGGTTGCAATTGAAATCACAGTAACCCCGGCATCCCTGTTAATAAGGAAGATTCAGAGTGTTGCTGGAACATTCCTCACAACTCTGTCACTTAAACACACCTCCTGAAATATCCCTTGAGTCAGTGGGACAAACTTCACCTCAGTCCTGCCAGCACTATAGCACCCTTTAATTACACTGGGCTCTACACACACTACTGGCCCTGTGTATGCTCTGCAAGCCATTCCATGGGGCAGCGCTTACAGCCAGCAATATTTCAAAACTTCTGGATTTTCCTTTTTGCGAGGGCACTGATGCTAGTTACAAATTAACTGAGGAATGGGGCAGCACATGGCGCTCTTACTGAGTGCCCACAGTGTGTTTAAAAGTGTCCCGACGTGTAAAACTAGAACATATGCAAATTAGGGGGACTGTTTTGCAAATCTGCAACACCATTCCTCCGAAAACAGGTATTTATGTTGTTGGATCCATCTGTCAGAGAGGTGAACAGGGTAAAGTGAGAAGAGTAAGGGGGCAGAAAGCTGGAACTTTGACAGTTTTAGATACCACACTGACTACAAGACTGCTGTTCTGCTGATAATTTATGACTAATTGTTATTTACAGGATTGTCTGTGGTTGAATATTCCTGTCTCTGCCCTCGTAGACTGAACCTGAGACATTGGTGGTGGTACAGTAAGCGGGTCATAGCCTTACACCTATGCAGCAGCCCAAGGGGAGTTCTCTGCAAACACAAAGGCTTCATACAGACTCTGGATGGGAGTGCATGTCTCAGGAGGATAAGCATCAGAAACGGACCAATCAAATGAGAGGAGCTTCATTTTCCCTCTAAGAGGTTGTAACATGTTGTAATATTGTGCAGCTAATGGTACAGAAATCTGCAGCATACTGATGAGTGCGAAATGAGGAGAAAGGAGGAGACGAGGGTGCAAGGACGGGTTATAAGTAATGTCATCTAAAAATGTGAACACACTGAGAGGTAATCCGCTAATATGCTTTAAAATGTGTCTCTTTAAGGCTGTTAATACATCCTGAAATATTAGACATGAGCATGAAAACGGTGAGTGGCCTTTTTATGATCCAGGAAAGAAAACACGACAATGAGCAACAATATCTACAAAAAATATTCTCAGTTAATGAGACATTTGACTGTCAAGAGTCAGCAGGGTGAGACTTTTATCAGAGGTTACTAGTTTAGCCTTTAGAGGACAAGATAATCAAGAGCTGTTTGAAAAACTGATTCAGACTGAGAGTTTCTCACAGGAGCTGTAAGTACCGTATTTTTCACATTATAAGGCGCACTTAAGATCCTTTAATTTTCTCAAAAATCCTTAGTGCGCCTCATAATCAGTTGTGCCTTATGTTTGAATTCTGGTTGAGCTTACTGACATCGAACCGATTTTATGTGGTACACAACGCTAAAAAATCTGTCAAAATGTTTTATTACGACTTCGGTAAGCTACAAAGCTGCACAGCCTGATGGCTTGTTAGAGCACTGTAGCTACTGTAGCTTTGCAGAGTTATTGGATGAGTTGAATAAAGTTCGACTTATCTGTTTTGTTTGGCTTAATGCGCCTTATAATCCGATATGCCTTATAGTGCGAAAAAGTACGGTATAAGTAGCAGTGTTTGTTGGTATTTTCTCCACCTTGAACAAAGGCTTCAGATTTTAATAAAAAGTAATTGTGTCCTCTGAGAGCACCTCTCACTGAATCAGCAGTATTACATCAGGGTGTTTGTCTGAGCCACAGGACTACCTGTAATTCAATTATAAAGGCACAGCCTTAGGCAGCATCTGCCAGACCTGTGGGACAAAGTTGACAACGTGTTTTCGGAAATCTGTTTGGAGATTAGACAACGGACAGAGAACCAGATGAAGTCTGAGGAGTGAAAAATGGCTTTTGAACTCCAATAGACCTGCTTTATCACAGCTTATGTCTTATGTTTAGAGTTTCACCAGCAGCAGTAAAGTTTAACTCAACTATATGTCCAACAAACATGGGAGAACCCAGTCAGGTACAAAACTTTCACCTCAACAACATGAGGTAAATGAAAAGTTTTACTGTTCTCAAAATGAGAGCACTGAGACCGACAACACAGCTGATGCTCAGAGGATTTTTGCAGCCCAATGTCTGATTTAGCGCTGAAGCTGTCGAACAGATCTGATAACCACCTGTCATTCAAAGTGACCACAAGAGAAAAGGGGAGAAACAATAGCAGACCTTTTGCAATGTCGCAGCATTACAGAAGGAGAGCCAGCAAACCATGACAATTTGCATACGGACAATGGCAGCATAAGATGGGAACATTTCAAATTAAAGGGTCCACCTTAGGATCAATCACTTGCTGCAAGGATGCAACAAAGTCTCCTCCTACACACTTCTGTGTGTAAGGGCATGCCCCTTTGCTTTCCATTACTCCCTGTCTTTTTTAGAAGTTTTTTAAAGTTATCGAAGAATCATCAAAACCCAGAGTCAGACAACATCTTTTATACACTGAATATCTAAATGTTCAGTGTGCTTAAAATCAGGGGGCATCAGGCAGAAGATATTTGAATATTTCTTACTGGATCACACTGCCAAATACTTAGTTCATGCCTAATCATGCAACCATCAAGCTATATCTGATGCATGCATCAGAATAACTGATTACAAAAGGACAGTGTCTGGTGGAAATCATATAATGAAGTGGCTGATGGATACATTAAATTGTTATTATTTAAATATTATATTAACAGCACGTTGTCTATGTCATTGAAGATTTCTGAAGCAGGATCATTTACTGAATTTGGACTTTGGGAAAATTTGGATAGAGACCAATACTGTTTTTTGTAGCAGGCCATAAACATGCTAATTCCTCCTGTAAAGTTGCTCTTTTTAACATGGGGTTCTATGGGGACCGACTCACCGTAGGAGAAATCCTCCAGTGGAGATTTCCGGAACTGCAGTTTTAGGATGATCTCTGTTAGCCTTATTTTTTAACATGTTCCCATCCACATATTATGTTTGGTGGACTGCCAACAGAAATCCATCATCCACATGCAGCCTTACGCCCCCATGTAAACTGAGTTACAGTTCCACAAAACTTCTGATTATGACAAACACATTCAAAGGAAGAGGTTTTCAAAGCTCTGTTATGTCTGTTTTCTTGCATGGCAATTGTTGTTTGTTGAACTGTTGATTTGTGAATGGAAAACTTTTCGTCGAGACAAAGAAAGCTTAAAAAATGACCAAGCTGTGGTGCACATAACTTTCTCATGACTATGAATTGGCATGAAAAATTCCAAATGCACATTTGTGCACCAGGCACCAGGCAGCAACTGTCCACACATTCCTCAAAACACTTCTCCAGACCCGATGTTTTCTGCCACTGATGAAAAATCAACTGTAACAGCTTAAGTGTTTATTAGATAACACTGGTCTTTTAATGCGTGATAAGTGCGCTGAAATGTGGCGCAGAATATGTCATAGACTTTCAATCATGGCATGATAACCACAAGCAGAGTTGGCCACTGATAACAAACAAGCCAGTCAGACTGAAGAGTCCACTCGCCCACTGATCAAACTGCCACAGAACAATGAAAAGTACTGTGTGACATTTTCTACCAGCAAAGCCTCATGTGCCCATCCTCTGGATTCCTGGGGGAGGAGATATGCTTTATTAGAGTAGATATAGATGTTAAGATGTCAGAGGCGAACGTCTTCTACTTCAAGAGGGAGCTCAGATAATGCAGCACAAGCTATCAGTGAGGGGTTAAGAGTCACAAGTTCCACTTTGATTCAGTGAAGTATATCTTAAAACCAAATCAAAGATTGTTTACACTGTGCTGTTGAATGAAAATGGAGACTCTGCTTTGGGCTTCCATAAGGTTTAATGACTTTGGTGCCATAAATCATGGACCAGTTGGAGCTGGCACACAAAGAGCACAGAACAACAGTAGGGCCATCAACAGATTCATTCACCAACTACCAGAGTCCTCATCCTCTAAACTAGAAATCTAACAACATCCCTCACAGTCAAATGTACCTTTAGGGGAAATAAACATGGTGGAAGAGTAGATGGTTACCACGCCTCCATGGTTCTTCCATTGTGGTCATAATTTCTGTCCAGCTCCTCTCTTCATCTGTGTGATTGTAATATGTTTTACAGAGCATGTTCAAATCAGCAAGTTGGTCCTCTATTTCTGACATCCACTTAACTTCATGTTTCATTCTTGCTGTTATCGCCATCGTCTGTGTTTATTGTGCTTCCTTCTTTAGTCAGCTCGCTTCCTGATTGTTTCAATCAGCGCTCCAGTGTGCATGTACGGCTGTCCTTAGAGTTCACAACAGGATATCCACTGAACATGTCAAATATTTGCAATTCCACAACTTTCCCCTGGTGTGGATCAATGGAAGTATAGGAATACTGATATTATGATCACCTGATATTCACACCACCTTTAAAAAGTAATGTGGCAAGCTAAACAAAAGGAATTAGATATAATCAGAGCGATAATCCTGAACTGAGTCCTGAGTTCAAATGTAAACGTCCTCGATAAAACTGTCCACAGTTTGCAGAGACAAGGCAACCATCAATTTTGTTCTGCACAACAGCAATTTACCTGAACTACAAGCTGCACACACTCTGCAGACTTTTACTCAAAGACATTCAGCCTCTCTATTGTGAATACACTGCAGCTTTGTCAGGTCGCAGTGACCACCAAATTCTATTCAGTGCGTTTTTCAGTCAGAGCGGATGTTAGCAAGGCTTTCCTGAGACACTGCTTCAATGAGAATGAGATAAATGGCAATAAAGAAGGAGGCTGGCATAGGAGTAATTGAAGATCTGGTTGAGGGAAAACCTTATGAAAAAAATAAGGAACATTAACATTTCAGGTGTCTGAAATGAAACACTGAAGTCACCTTATGATGACATGTGAAAACAAATTGGCTTGCACAGATAGCTCAGGTGTCAAACAAACAGAATTAGTTTTTGTTTGTGACTTGCAGCTCACATCCATTATCTTAACTGTCCCAAACAATTATAGGACATATATTCTCTTTTTCCTTTTAAAGCTTTATTGTAGAAAATGTCCAATTTTGAGTGCTCAACCAAATCTTTTTCTATTGAAACTGACTGAAAGGTAAGCGACAACTTCAGAGTGCTTGTCCTGTCAAAAAATAGGCTTTAATTTTGATTATTTCAAGGATATCACAGTTACTCACTGAGGAATATGCAACGATGCCTGTACAAAATGTTCAATCACTGATAATGTGGTGGACAGTTATTTTTAGATCAATTTGATCACTCACTGACGTCCAGCAATCCCTGGTTACTGGGAGAGCATTTGCACTTTTCAGCAATAGCAGTTTGGTCCCTTTTTGTATTTCGTGTAAATCCTCAATGTGCCAAGGTCAGACATGTAACTAATTGCAACCAACCTGAGGACGCCCCTTGCACCTGAATTTTCTCTAATATTGACTGACCTGCAGTCAGTTTCCACCCCTGAAGCTGATTTCTTTGATTTCGGTTTATCACCCAAATGCTTAGCTCAGGTGATACCTTCAAGTACTGCAGGGATATTTTACTTCTGCAAAAGAGTATAAAAAGCACAAATCTAAAAGCGCTTGTGCAGAAATCATCACCTAAAAGTGTTTACCTGACTGAGGCCCAGCTTCACTCCTGCAAACCAGATACACCTGTAAATCTCTAATCAAGTGATACCTTCATATATCTGGAAAATTATCCAGATCTAATTGATCTAATGAATCTAACCAACAACAAGATGTGTGTAGAACAGCAGCTGTTCAAAGACAAGCTTAACCAAAACAGCATGCTGTTTGAGCTCACAACGGCTGGGGAATAAATAAATTATAAAAGTGATTAAAAATAAAACAGCGATGTGTGTGGGATGTTGTTGCTGTCAGAGACTCAACAGAGAAGCTTAAACTGTTCAGTGTGACCATATGTCATGTTTGCTGTTGACGAATACTGACTATTTATCATTTTGCATCGGCAGGATGTTGATATGAATGCCAATAAGAAACATGTTTGCAACAAATGCTCCGTGTTGTGATTTACAATCAGTATTTGCGGTGTTTTTATGTGAGAGGAACAGATTTGTGGTGTTGAGTCTGTAAATAAGACGGTTTGATTGGCAGCAGTTGCAGCATAGTTGAGTGCAGGACACTGAGGCCTGTCTGATGGAAGGAAAATGCATGACCACTCTGGTGATTTTAATGTGAATTGAGGGTATTAAACAAGCTCAATATATTCATGTTCTAAACAGAAAAATGTACAAAATATAAAGAGAAAAATCAAGTGCTAAAGTGAGCAAATGCTGCCCCACCCTCTCTCTGCACAGGTTTAATAGAAAGCCTTCAATCCTCTGAGTTAAGTACCTGACATGCAGAGAATACTAATTCCTGTTGTCAGGTGCACTTAGCAGCTCTGCAGCATTTAGATTGTGTAATATATGCTAATTTATACAGGAGCACGACACTTCTCTGATATGAAGTGATGTAATCAGCAGCTGCTTCGACCAAAGAGTGGAAGCAAACAAGCTGCTAATCAGACTTGATTTTGTGCACACAGCATTAAAGAAAGCCATCCTGATCCAAGTCTTTTCTGTAATCTATGTTTTCTTTGTGTATATCTTTGTGTTTTATGAAAATCACAGTGTTTGACAATTATATATATATTAGGAGAAACATGCTGCAGTTTCAGAAACAGTGCACATTTGAAAAAATCCGTTCAAGTCTGAACCAAAAGCAATGACTGACTGACACATGCTGGCAGTTAAAGACCACAACAGAAAAAAAGCTGTTAACCCAGCCAGAGATTTATGCCGTTTTAAATTTGATGTCAGAAACAGGTTTCCAAAGAGTCAGGGCGGTGTTCCTACTGTGTTACATCACATCTTCTTTTAACGGCATCCTGAAAACATTTGGGATTTAAAAACACTGAAAAAGTTGTGTAATGTTAATAAAAGGGCACTAAAGGGCATTCCAGACTAGTGGCTGAGATCTTTTAGAAGTAAATATGGGAAGAAGTACATCTGTCTGTGAGAGACTGTGTGAGCAAGTAGTTCAACAGCTTTAGGATAATGTGCTTCAGTATTAATTGTAAAGACTTCTGGGAGTTCTGGAGAGAAGACACAAAACCATGTATCAGTAAAACAGACCTGAACCTTGGATCCTCAGTCGGCAATGCATTGCTGCATGACTCTGTAGTGGAAATCACTGCATGAGCTCCGAACTACGTCCAAAAACTGTTGTCTATGCACCACACGAGGAGGTTAAAACTGTACCATGCAACATGGAAACCATATATGCCTATAAACGTGACCTCACTGAGCTGAGCCGTTGCAGCTCAAGGAGGAACATTTATGATCATTTCTTCATGGAAATGCAATCAGACCGAGACGCCAAGGCAGAAGAACTACCGAGTCTGCTGTGCAAAATGATTAATATGATGATTATTAGCCCAAAGAAATGATAAAGAAATGATCATAAATGTTCTTCCTTGAGCTGCGTCACCCCGCTGCAGTCGATGGACTCGCCTGGAGGTCTCTGTACAAACAAGCGGCTACTGGAAGAGAGTAGGTGAGTTGTGTTTAGTCTCTTTGCTAAAGAAATCAGGCAAAGTAAAAAAGATGTTTGGTGGCTAGTGCTATGGCTAGGACCCTATATGTACTGTTGATGAAGTTGGTGCTGTTCTGAGCATTATTTGTGGCTATAGAGTGACGTTTTGGTTGAGTGCGTGGCTCTGTGTATTGCTATCTGCGGTCGTTACTCAAGTTGGTATAACTAGAGAAGCAAGCGGTCGGCAACATTCATCTCTCAACCAGGTTTTTAACTCGGTGTTATAATGTGTTTGACCCTAAATTAATTTTACGCTGGAATATCCCTTTAAGGTAAACCGAGGAAGAGTGGAAACCATTTTTGGTCTGACAAATCAAAATTTGACATTCTCTTTGGAAATCATGGATGTTGTGTCCTCCTCTCTATACATGAGAGGGGCACATACACTAAAAGCCAGCATCCGTGATGGTGTGGTGATGCATTAATGTCCATGACATGGGTGGCCTTCACATCTATAAGGGTTTAAATAAAGGTTTTGGAGCAACACATCAAGACATTGCCTTTTTTCAAGGGAGGACCTCACATATCTCAGCAAAACGATGCCAAACTATAGTCTGCACATGTTACTATAACAGCATGGCTCTGTAGTAGAAAAATCCTGGTGCTAAACTTTTGTTTATGTGTTGTGAAAAGAGGAACTGATGCAACAAAACCGCGCCCCTGTCTTAACTTTCCTGGAACTTATTGCTTGCATCAAATTTAAAATGATTTTTTTCATAAAACAGCAACACTTTTAAGTTTAATCATCTGATACGTTGTCTAAATCACATAAAGGCTTTATGTGACTTACAGACCATTAAAGGCTGTTTTGCATTTTACTCAGAGTATAGCTTCTTTGGGATCGGGGTTGGGTTGGGTTTGAATAAAAAGCCTGACTAATGTTACTTATTCACTTTATGTACAGGGAGGAGGTTGTCACTGGTGATTTGACGTTTGCTTTGATTGACATGCGTATGTGGCATCCTTTTTCCATTCCCATGAATCTCACAGAGTTTTAAACTAGCTTCCTTTCTTCCCTCTAATAATTTATCTTAATGCACAACAGTTTCACACTTTCTCTCGTGTGAGCGGGACCATCTGTGGTGTAAACAATGCAGGGTAACACAGTGACAGTCTCAACGATACGACTCAGGGAGCTGCGATCACGCTTCAGGCCACATGTGGAGAGAAGGTGTCTCATTTTTTCTGCCAATTCCAAACTCTTCTAAACAGTTTCCAGCTAAACTAACCCATGTGGCTCATCCGTGCCGTCTGCAGCCATGAGATAATATTCCGTGCCAGCGGCGCGCTGCACGTTATGCAAGTGTGTGTGAGTGATGAAGGCTGCGGGTGCAGTGAGGACAAATCAAAACACACATGCTCATCACCAGTTTCTCCTCACTGTGGGCTCCTGCTGCAGCCCCGAGCACAGAGGGAGGAAGCTGCTGTGCTGCAGATTGTTTGAAACATCTTTATAAATCAGTGAACAGCAGCTAATGTCTTCTATATCAGAATATGACACATGATTTGCGGTCAAATCATCAAACCTTGATTACAAGTTGAGTTTTAAGTCTTTAGTGTTCAAGACCAAGTCTGAGTCACAAGAGAAGAATCAAAGTTGAGTCCACAACAATAGAGGGAGATCTGCTGATTGACCCCAAACTCTTTACTGTGTGAACCTGGACTGACAGTATGGGACCTTTTGGATGTGAGGAAAATGTCTTTTATGAATTTAGATTCTGCCTGATCATGTCAGTGTGTCTGCAGAGGTCATAAATGAGGTAACAGAGCTCCATGTCTTGTGTAACTGTACGTTATCCCCTTAGTGCGGAGATGCACTCATTTAATCTGCGATTGTGTGCTCACAATTCATTTATCAGAAGTTAAACTAACCAAACAACTTGGGCCCAGAGGTTGAGTTGTTTATGACCATCTGACCAAGAGGACATACACTTTGGATATTACTTAACCAATAAATTTGTTATCTTTTATCTAATGTATTATCTTGTATGCACCGTTAAACTTGCTGACTCTGTGGGACAAAAATTGTTCATTGTTTGCTGATGTGATTGGTAATCAAACACATGTATAACTTTTCTGATTTATTTGAAAACACTTTTATAATAAATAACAATAGTATAATGTAAAAAAGGTATGTTTAAACAGCATTTAAATATAGATAAATAACATTTCAAAAAAGCAACAATATGTTCCAAACACAAGAACTGGTAATCACTGCTCCACGTCCCTGTGTTTCATACTACTAGATCATAAACTGTCTATATGTGGCAAACCAGGGCTGCTTGTTGTCTTCTTCAGGGTCAGGGCTGTCTGCAGTAGCTCCAGTGTTGTTCCAGACCCTTCTACCAAGGCCTGGGAATGGAAAATCAGAAATCTCATTACAAACTTATATTTATAAATGGTTTACCTCATTTTATTCCTGTACAACTATCACATATGTCATGCATACCTGATCATTTGCCAGTCTCTGAGCTTGATGCTCTCGGCACGGGTAAGATCCTCCTCTTCGCTGACCTCTCCCCGGTCTCTGCCTCTGCCACGGTCCCGACCAGCTATGCGGCTTTTGATGGCCTGCCTTTAGGACCTGGAGTATATTCATCCTCACAGTAAGGACTATCTTCCTAACAAGAGAAAGTTACATTATTTATAATTTGCGACAGTCAGCTTTTGTAAGTCTGTATGCAGGAAAGCTAGCTGCTAACTCTAATGTCTGTAGAAAGAGATAACACTCACTAGCTCAGCTAGTGACTAAAAAGTCAACTTTAGTATCATTGAAAATCGTCTTACCTCAGAATCGGACATGGTCTAAGTCCTTAGGTAGTCTGCTGGTAAATTGCCGGTAAATCAAAACGATACGAGTGAGCACAAGCATCTGTTCGTGGGCGGGGCTCGCTGGAGCAGAGAGGGAGGGGAGAGGAGGAGCTGATGGGAAAGCCGGTGGGGAGGGTCGTGTTTACATCAAAATTTCCCCCCTAAATTGATGTGTACTTCAATCTTGCCTACCCTAACTTTAATTAGCTTAACTTAAGCCTCTCTCTGGCATGTGCATCCTGATCAGATGTCTTTGAAAGTTTGGGCTTGTCTTCTCCTCAGTGGTGCAGTACCAGTTTGTAGTGTCGCAGTGTCCCCTCCTGACACACAGCTGTCTACTCAAGGCCTTTCACTTGACGTAAGACAGAATTATCACCAGGTGCAATGGTAAAAAGGAGGAAAAGAAAGGTTGAGCAGAGAAGACGAGAATCAGAAAAGACGACTTTTGTTTCAGGTGATAGGTTTTCCAGAAAGTGAACAGGTAAGTCTTCACAAAGTCAGCATGGCTAATTAAACAGCCACGCTGATATCCATGTGACAAAATGGCCTGTAAGCTGCCTGATAAGCACGTCTATCCATGGAGGCGGGTCTCAATCAGAGCGATAATGTGTGCGATCACATAACACGGACAACTGTGTGTTTGAAGCAGTTAGAAAAGGTTGATCTGCACCTGTTTACATGTGATGTACTTTTTGAAAGCCAAACACTGTCATTAAATAGATAGACAGATAGATAGATAGATAGATAGATAGATAGATAGATAGATAGATAGATAGATAGACAGATAGACAGATAGATAGATAGATAGATAGATAGATAGATAGATAACAAATACTGACTTTGGTAAAGATACATTTTTATCAGGGACATTTTCCCATCATTTGAAAAAACATTTCCTGTGTAGAGAATAAGATCAGATGTTGCCATTTTAAACATCCCTAATGCACCACAGGTCAAGGTTCAACACTGATTTGTCTGTACATGTGTCAGTCAGTCATTCTGAATCTTATCATACCGACAGGATCTGCTGCTTTACGTCAGGTAGGCTGGATGTCACACCAAATAGGAAGTAGGTGTTTTTGTTAAAGAGCTGCAGGAGAGTTACAGCTTTATTTAACTTACTGCAAACATGCTTTTGTTTTGGTTTTGAGCACTGTTATTGGAAAATTAACTTGAGAAATGCAGAAGAAATGTAGAAGCTTGAGAAAAATGTCTGTGCAAAACCAAAAAAACGTGGGCAGGGACACGCAGAGACACTGCAGTCTGTTTACTGCTCCAGTAATACTGTTTTTTCAGCCATATCACAATGATGAGCTGCTGAGGAGCTCAAATCACAAACCCAGATGATCTGGTGCTCAGTAGGGTTTAACTTTGAAGGTTTTAGTGCACTGAGCTTTAGCATAAGAACCACATGAATGAAAACTCTTTTATTGAGACTAAACATGAGTGCGTGAGTAAGACGTTCATGGAAAAATGTAAAACCTAAACTTATTTGTGAGGATTTTCCGTTTGTCTTTGTCTGACAACATGACAATTTACAGTTGTCAAACAGTTCAGGAATGTGAGGGCATTTTTTACCTGTTACTAACACTTTCTAGACTCAACACTAAACAGAAAATATTAGTCAGACTAATCAATCAAAATTGACTTAAATAATGTGAAAAATGTTTGCTGTAGTCTAAACCCAGTGTCCAGGAAATATTTGCCTTTGATATATCCCAAACACTTCCATAGTTGGTCAGAAAAACCTGTAGCTGATTAAGATTTCTGCTTCATGTTCAGCTCTAATGAGAACTGTAGTTAGCATCTTTTTTACCACTTACAATTTAGCCGTTAAATTGTAGCAAGGAAGGTAATAGAATCAGGGTTCTGATCCAAAAACACCTGGACTGGATCATCTAAAACAGTCTGCAGGTTTCCTAAAATATCTTTTGTGAAACTTGTAAAAAATGTTCACAATTTTGTCTGTCCAGTGTGGGTGTTGTGGTCTCAAGTTCAGATCTGGGCTTAAGCAAGTGAGGGGAAGTTTGCTGCTGGACAGGCACCCATCAGTTTTTTGTCCAGTGATAAAAATTTGGACCAGAATGACTCAGAACCATAACACCTAGTCTTCTGATCCAGATGTAATTATACTGGAAAGTTTGAAGACTCTTTCAGACACAATTTTAGATCTCAAAACCTTTATTTTACCATAATTAGGCAATTTCGCTGTTTTTTTTTTTTTTCCGTCTGGACCACATAAAACAAGTGCTGTACCATAACCAGTGTACATTGGCTCCTCAGATCTGGATGAATTATACTAGCGATCCTCCAGACCAGTGTTGTTTTCATTGACGATGATGTTGATGAAAATAGTTCGTCAACGTCATCGTCAACGAGAACAACACTGCAGAATATATGTTTAGCATTTGACTGATGAAATGCTCATGAATTTTGCAACTCTGTTCGTCGTCCACAACTTACGCTTTTATCTAGTCTCATCTCGTCAACATAAACGCACATTCGTCTTGTCACATTTTAGTCATCTAAGAAGACTTATGTTTAACTCGTCAACGTCACGTCTTCGTCGTGGAAAACAACACTACTCCAGACCCTTAGAAACAGCTTTTGGTTGGTGAAAACTTCATTTTATGTGTGAGAACGTAAAAAAAAAAAAAAAAAAAAAAAAATGTGTTACTTTTTTGTTATCTGTCTAGACCACACTGGAGGAGGTCCTGATCCGGGACCACCTGGCCTAGACTTTATTAATCTGAAGAAGATGATTCCTGAGCATGGAAAGACTCCTTAAAACAAAATTACAAAGTATTGAAAACTTTATTCTAACTTTAAGACATAAATAAAAGGGTGATTTCACAGTTTTTCCCACCCCTAGACCGTATCAGACAAGGTCCCAATTCCTTTCAATGAACTACAATACCTAAACTTGTCAGATCTGGACCAACTTCTTCAACTTATTAAGAAATTTGAGACTTTTATCGTTAGAGTGAAATTTCAAGATTTGTTGATTTCATATCGTTTTTAAATTGAGATTTATTCCGGCTAACTTGATCTGACAGATCTCACAATGAGACAGATAGATTACTAGAAACAGTCTAGGTAGAGCGGTTTTGGATCAGCACTTGGTCCAACTCACTTCATAAACCATTTCATACACTTTTCAACTCATTTGGAAATCAGAAACTTTTTTTTGTTTTACCTTCTGTCTCCTCGATGCTGTGCAGGATGTCCTCGGTGTCCAGTGGTACCTCTCTGGAGAAAGCATAACTCTTAATGTTTAAGTCCACCATCAGGTGGTAGACCCCCTCCAGGGTGAAATAGCAGTTGCGCTCCTCCTTGTCGTCCTCGAACAGCAGCAGCGCACTCTTCCACGTGAAGTGCTCGAACATCGCGCTGAACGTCTCTGCCATCTTCACGTAGGACGGGGCGATCCGGGTCAGATGGGAGTACTCGGAGTTCTTGTTGCTGAAGCCGGCGGCCAGGGCACCTGCTGAGACCACCGGGATGTTCCAGTGGGACGCCAGCCTGACCACTGCGGCCGCCTCGTACTCACACACCGGACCCAGGATCAGGTTCGGCTTCTTCCCGCACGACCGGTCCACCAGGTTGTACAGAGCATCATTCATACAGTCCGAGTTCTCAAACTGGATGTTGAAGTGAAACCCGGAGTACGCTCCTCCGTCTGCCTCCAGTCTCTGCTGTGCGTAAAGGATCGCCGGCGCGACTCGTGCGTGAGAAAAAAGGTAGGAGTTATTCTGAGGCAGAAACACCAGAACATCTATGTCCTCGGAGAAGGTTTGGGTCAGGACCGGGTTCAGGAGCAGCATAAAGTAGACAGGGAGCGCGCTGAGACAAGACATGGTGCCACAGAGAGTCCGGCTGCAGAGAAATGTTGGAGATGTTCCTCAGATGGTTCTTTCCTGGAGTTGGCTCCACTCTGCAGCGCACACTCAGCTGTGAACAGACGCTCCGCTGTGAGACGCGTTATAGGGATTAAAGCTCTATAACTGAGAGTGTGTGTTTGAGAAGCTGATCTGTCAGAGAGTGTGTGTTTTATTCTGCATGCAGAATTCTTCCTGGACCTGCTCTGGACTGTTCCCTCTCTCAATGGATTGTGTCTGGCTTGATCCCTCTAGCTCAGCCAGCAGCACCACACACGGCACGCTGGCTCTGGCCTGGAGTTTTGAAGCATCTTTTCAGGATTATTCCTGCGTCATCGGAGCGCTGCCCACCTCCTTCTTAAAGCTACACTGCTGCTGCCTGACAATGAGCCTCTTCAACACACCGAGAGCGAGCTAAGGTGGTGGGAATTATGACGCTGTTAGCCTCGAACAACCAACGAAATACAGAACTTTTCCTGCTGTGTGTTTACAAAGATGCATTCATTCTTGATGCACCTCTACCTGGGCTGCAGCCAGGCTTGAAGAAAATCTAATCTAAGTAAGGCCACTGTTCTGAACCTGAAATAGAAGGTGGGCCCATGCTCCAAATTGGGGAGCTCAAACTTTTGGAGCATCATAACTTGGTAAAACTTGTTGGTAGAAATAAAGCAAAAGAACTAAAAGATAAGATTATGAAAGATGTTTCCCCTGCATCTAAAACACAGCTATATGGAAGGGTCTGGGGATGTCATATAACCCAGTGCAGTGAAACTATGGAGACCCGTAGAGGGTAATTAGAAAAAAGACTTGAACCAAGCTTGCAGAGGCAACAGCGAGCCTACCTATAGTTGGTTTCACTTAATCTATTAAAGGGATATTCCAGCGTAAAATTAATTTAGGGTCAAACACACCGAAACACCAAGTTAGACAACCCGTCGAGAGATTAATGTTGCTGACCGCTTGCTTCTCAAGTAAACCAACTTAAGTAACAACCGCATCCATCGACTGCTGCGGGGTGACGCAGCTCAAGGAAGAACATTTATGATCATTACTTTATCATTTCCTTGAACTAATAATCATCATATTAATCATTTTGCACGGCAGATGTGGTTGTTCAGCAGTTGCCCAGCAGTCGATGGACTCACCCTGAGGTCTGTGTACAAACAAGCGCCTGCTGGAAGAGAGTAGGTGAGTTGTGTTTAGTCTCTTTGCTAAAGAAACCAGGCAAAGCTAAATAGATGTTTGGTGGCTAGTGCTATGGCTGGGACCCTATATGTACTGTTGATGAAGTTAGGTGCTGTTCTGAGCATTATTTGTGGCTATAGAGTGGCTTTTTGGTTGAGCGCGTGGCTCCCTGTACTTAAAGTTGGTATAACTAGAGAAGCAAGCGGTCAGCAACATTCATCTCTCAACGTAGTGTCTCACTCAGTGTTACCGCGTGTTTGACTCTAAATTAATTTCACGCCGGAATATCCCTTTAATCCATGTCAATGATATAAAAATCAAGTTCAACATTAATCAACCAGCAAACAAGCAAGTTTGGAAGCTTGGAAATTTGCAAAATCTGGGCCGAAAGGATCTCTCTAAAAAAAGGCCTCACAGGTGTTGTTTTATAGTATCTAGTTGAGATGATAGTGCTGTTTACCACAATGGAGGAGCTAGCATTCAAGTCAGTGCTTAAAATATTGACAAGCAGTCGCCCATGACTTTCACAGGAGACCTTTTTCAAAACTAACGGAAGCTTAAGTTGACATAATCACCCGTTGAAAGTTTGAGAGATTCATGTCCAGTAAAAGATCCAATCTGAAAACATTATATCTAGTTAGATCGACAGATAATTTCAAAACTATGTAGGCTGTAGGCCATTAATCTTGAGTTGTTTACCATACATGTGAAAGCAGGGTTTTACTCAGGTACACAACCTCAGCATAAATACTACTGGTGACAGAAATCCAGGCTTTTTTTAGTGATTCAGATGATTTAGCTTGGTAAGAACCAGCTCTTAGGTTCTCAGATGACTTCTTTAGCAGGTTTATAAAGCCAGATAATTCAGAACTGACACATCCTCCCCACTTTAGCCTGGCTGTACATGAAAATGTAAAAGAAAACTGGAACAGAAGTAAAAGGTTTTTTATCATATATATAAACAGTATTTTTGAATTACCTTCATGTTAATAACAAAAAAGTCAAGTCAATGATCAACCTTTTATAGATAACCACAACAGCCCTAACTGTGAGAGTGTAATGTTCTAGAGGGGTAACAGGGTACTCAAGATATTAAAATATTTAACAGGTCAGACAAGCACAAAGCTGTTTTTCGGGACACTTTGGCCTCCAAAGATGATCATTTTATCCTTTTAAGTGTGCCATGTTGAACAATAATTATGGCCACATCTAGAGCACTTAATGACCTCCCAAAAGAAGGTCCAGCTTTTTTGATTTGTCTATTTGTCTCTATGAATTCTGTGATTTGTTGTGTCATTGTTGACCAATGAGAACCCATGCACAGAAGTCATGAGCATGAACAAACAAAATTGCAAAGAGAGGGAGAGGGTGAAGTTTATGATGATCTTAGATTGAACCATGAGACAGAGGAAAAGTTTGTCAAGCTCTGCGAACATCTCAGCCCTTATGATATGTTGTGAAGGGATAACCCTGACATACTGAGAAACGAGAAATAAATGTTGGGAGGAAAAGCAGATGAAGCCAGTGTGTCGTTAGCATTTTCAGTTGACGTCTAATACTATTTCTTTTTCCTTCAATGGCATCACGTTGATTGCAATGAATGATTGTATTGTCACATCTTCTAGTCAAATCACATCTGACACAGTCAGTGCGTTTACATGCACAGCTTAATCAGACTAAGCTCATAGTTTGTTATTTTTTCACCGAATCGGACTTCCCTTCTTGTCCGCGTATTCATGCTGCTTAGCTACATCTGCTGCTGGGCATTTTCGAGCAAGAAGATGGAGCATCATCCAGCGTTGTTTTTCTGCAGATGAGATGCCCGCTACGCCTCTTCTCTGGTGTTTTTGTTCCGAAGTTATGGGGCCATGGCTCACGCGCACATGCATTGTCCGATTACACTCCAACTACGCTGGTTACACAGTAGAGGAAATTGAATTCCAATCGCATCATCTGGGTGTCTTAATCAGAGTTCTCTGACTCCAATTGGATTTCTCAAACTCTGATTATCGTTGGACTAAGGTGTTTACATGCTCTTCAGTTGTCCGGTCTTAATCGAAATAAGGCAATAATTTGGTTTTCTTGAGTGTCATGCAAATGTAACGAGTGACCACTGTACCAGACAAAAAAATTGCATTAACTTAATTTGGCATTAAGAGCTCTGTATGTCAGACGAAGGGTTTCAAAACCTATTCAGGGTTCAATGAAGAGCCAGTATGGAGAAGCTAACATGGGGGCAATAGGACCTCTTTCATCTCCAGTCATTGAGCTGCAGTTCTTTGAGACAGCTGAAGAGTCTTTGGAGACTTTCACAAGCAGCACTACCTAAAAGAATTGTAACAATCCAACGAATAAGTCAGAAATGCATGAACTAACTTATCCACAGTCCCTTCAAACGTCACTGATCGACTCTTTAAGTTGTGCGTGAATAAGGAACACATTAAATGATAGACAGCCTGATTCATACATCTCAAACCTGGAAAGCAGAAATATGGTGTTATAGCAGCATTCCTCTGGGTGTGATGTCAGAGGCTGCAGTGTGAATATAATGGATTGTATTATTTCCACCCTGCTGGTTTACAGCAGCACTGTTAATGAGGAAATGAGCTGCAAGTGGAAAGACGGATGTCAAAGGTCAGTCAAAGGGAATGAGGTGATTACAGGGGAAACAGACGCGTCTAGATCTGGAATTTAAAAAAGTCCGAAGGCTTCATTGCAAAAAAAAAAAAAAAAAAGTCACAGTTGAGGGGAAAGTAGAAATGTGCCGGAGGAGACTTATTTTTTCCTAAGTCATATATCAGCAGTTAGTTTTCATTGTTTACCCCCCAAAATCAATCATATATTTTGACTGACTTCTGCTTGACTCCAGAGTGAAAAACTAGCACACACATTCAGCTCACATTCTAAAAAAGTGACCGTGCATTTATCATGGCTCATTAACGAGTGTCATTAATGAGTCACGGAGCGCTTACAGTCTCTGAGAGGACACTTTCTGTTTGCTGGCAGCTGCAGCTGGAATTTGTTGACGTACATGTTTTCCACAGCTCTCATTACACTTAAAATCATTAAATCATTACATGAAAAGGTAAAGTATTATACTCTGCTATCTTTATCTGAACGTCCAAATTACACCAACGAGCAGGACATGGAGATAATTACGGTCATTAAGCTGAAGTCAACACTTCGTAATGTTATGACATCTTTGGTTTAATATGTGGGAACAGTCTGACCATTGGTGAATTACGCAGGACAGGAGATGATGTTTTGCTGTACACAGTTTTATCATATTTGTTGGTAATAATAAAACATAATTCTTAGATGTTTATTGGTGAAATGTGATATGGTGTTACTTCTTCATTTTGTGTTAAACCATTAAATCGTTGTGAGACATTCATTGCTTGAGATATTGCCTGGCCCATTGTTTTATTTTAATTGGTGATATTTGAAGAACTCTTAACAACCTGGCAGAGGCTATAGTGCAGGAAGCATAGACTGTATATAGAATAAAACACTGATATTAATACTAGATACAGTCAATGGCAGGAAAGCAGGGCATGGCAAACAAAACTGTTTGGCTAAGATCTTACTTTAAAGCTGTAGTGCATGACTTCTATCGCCCCCTAAAGGATTTCTGTGCTATTACAACGATACGGCCGGCACCTCAATATGACGTATCGCACGATGTAGACCATACACGGAGTAACTCTCACGACTCACTGTATACTGCTCGTCACGGTACACTGAGTTGACCTCATGACTCACTGCATGCTACTTGTCACGGTACACAGACTGTAACGGTCTACACAATGTGTAGGCTCTTAAAGTTAGTCGTCCCAGCACACAGACTCCCCGCAGTAACTTACACACAGCAACACGGGCCATGCAACTTGTAACTTACTGCTTATTAGGCTAACGTTGCACAATGTGGCGAACACCAAGCTGCTAACAATACATTGCGTTCATAGCACCATTTCCAAGAAAATAATAAAGTACTTGGTCCAGTACATGTAACAGCAACACATCCTGCTTGTAATGAACAGAGTCACTTACTTATCCAGCAGTATCAAGGCATCATCGGTGTCGGACCTCAGGCCAATTTCCTCCTTCAGGGCTCTACATCGAGGAAAAGCGACGCAGATGAAAATCTGCATTAGTCCCTCCTGGTTGTCAGGTAAAACTGAGTAGAACGCGTCATTTCCTGTGCACCGGCATGGGAATGTCGCCACCGACACTGAATGCAAAAAGAACAAATACTGAAAAATACTGCAAGGTGTTAGAGGAGCCGAACAGCTTAATCAGCGTTGTATCATCTCCTCTTGTAGTGGCTCGGGTAAGACAGATATTTACAGACACACAGAAGTTACGCACTATAGCTTTAACAAGCAAAATTGTTAAAGTGGTCCTGTAGGAGATGAGCAGAGCATCTGTAAGAAGACCAAAGCAGTGATCTTTGGTGGTGGATGTGCAGTCAGGAACAGCAGACATGGGCGTAGCTACTTAACAAGCAGTTGGCTACCTGGTTAACAAACAAGCTAACAGATAAGTGGCCATCTTGTTCTTGCTGAGAGAGGGAAGCTTGTTTATTGTTATCATGTATTACATCTGTGTTCCCCTGAACATATTTTGACAGCCCATTAGCGAACACCTGAGTACAGCTAACATTAGCATTGACTTCCTGGTGAATAATTAAGGATAAAAATCACAGATTCAATAGAAAGAATAGTGAGTATTTCTAGGTTGATTACTTTGGAAGTGTTAATGTTTATAATGGTTTCTATTTTAACATGAAAAAAAAAAAGATAAAAAAGAGGTTCTTACCTTTGACTTTGGGAGTATCCACAAATCAGTTGCTGTTTTCTTTTTTTTTACTTTCCCCCAAATCTATTCATACATATTCCATCTCACGATTTCCACACTAAAGCAGCACAGCCAAGAAATAGTACTCAGTATTTGCTAAATGTTAAAAATCCCAGTAATCTAGTAATCATGATTTCCTGCACAGTTTATTTTGGTTGTTTCCACTTTGCTTCCCTCGTCTTTGCTGGCCTTTTTCCTAATCTAGCTGTGCGATTTTAATTGCAAGGTAACAATCAAGTTATTTAGTTAAACAGCTCTGAGGTTTCGTCAGTTTTCTATTCTTTTTCCTTTGCTGTTGCAAACCTATGTATTTCATGCAAATCCTTACAGTAAATTGCACTGTTTGATTGGTTTCCCAACAGCTTTTAGAATATGATCAACAATCACAGACATCAGTTTGTCTTTAATTGATGGGTAATGATAATCCTATGCAAATATGAACTAGTGAAAGAATCAAAAATAAATAGCAGATTAATGCAGAAATAGAAACAGAAGTTCTGCACCTATTTTAATATCTTACTTTTGACATTTTACAGTACAGAGTCGCAGGTACTGGCACACAGAACACAGAACGGCACTCTGTGAGTGTTCACTGACCTCTGCTGGTCATTTTTCATCTGTACCGCTTAGACCTGATGAGATTTAAATAAGACAATTTTTAATGAATTTAACACTTTAACTGGATTTGAAGCTGGTTTGGATTGGTTGGATTATTTTATATTATTTCTTATTGTAAAACCTAATCTCTACAAAAAGGTTTGGTGTTCTTTCTGCACATGCTGTACTAAGAGTTTTTTTAAGTGGCTGAAGTTGTCAGGACACAGAAGACCGATCAGGTGTAAAAATTAAATTTAGCCAGTGGCAGATCATTTCACAAACTGACTTTATTAAAAAATAAGAAACAACTGACATCAAGAGTTTTCTTTTCTTTTTTTTTTTTGGTAGTTTTTCAAAGTTAATCTGTTGTAAACAAACTGCACCTCCCATCTGAAATAAATCATGATTCAGCATTGCACATCACATTAGTTAGTGGTCCATCCAATCTGACCGGTTTGAGAGTACAAACACATTAAACAGGACAAATTCTCACAGTCCACCAGAGAAAGAGTAAAAAGTGGGAAATAGCTTCTCCATGTTCCTCCTGATTGTTCACGCTCTGTTTGAAAAGTTTTATTTTACGTCCTGGGTTTGCGGATGAGGAGCTGGTTTGGTCCTTCATCAGTGGATTTGATGATCCTCCAGGCATCGTGGTGCATGAGACCCTCCAGAGAACAGCTGTTAATAGAAAGGACTTCATCACCAACTTCAATAACCCCAGACAGCTCTGCAGCGCCCCCTGTTGAAAAAGAGAATGGCCAGTGAGCCTCACTTACAGATGAACTTCCTCGTTGTGTTCCTCCAACTCTCTCTACAGCCTGTATTCAGGTTTGAAAACTCAAAACTAAGGCTAAAGAGTGACAGTATTGGAGGGATCAAACAAGACAAAAGTTAGTCGTTTTATTTAATCAGTTTATGAAGAGTCACCCGTGAAGATGCGTTTGACGGTAAGAGGCCTGTCTCCCCCTTGACTTGACGACTTCCCTCCCTCCAGACTGAAGCCCAGACCAGCTGAGGTTTTATGAAGCTCCACCTGTAGAGCCCCGTCTGGACCCACATCCACCACTGAGGAAAACAACAACATTTAAAAGCAAAAAAATCAGTACATGGATTATATATGCATTGTTTCTGTACGATACTGTATAATATTAAGCAAATAAAAACATACACAAAACACACAAAATATGATTTAAATATTTGTTGTTTATCTTGCTCTACATTTCTACACCCACATACTGCAGAAACATAATTCCAAATGAGTGTTATTATTTACAAAACTTAAGAAAACCAGATAAATCATAAAGGAAACACTCAGTGATTAAAAAAATAATATATCTGTCTCTATCTCACAATTAGAATCCGTTTTTTTTCTCTCCTACAAACATTAAAATATGAAATAAATACACAATTTGTAAAAGCTCATATTAGACACCAGGCCTATCTGTAAACTTTTTTAAAAAATTAGCTGTGTATTCTTTTGCTTCAACATGATCAGTCTTAAAGTCCTCAAGGCTTTGTTTTTTTTGTTCGTAAGAATAATGGATTTATTCAGTCCTGATATAAAATCTGTTTTTGCTCTCGTTTGTAAAATAAATAGTGACTCAGGTGTACTTTTGTAGTTGTTGCCCAAAAACCTCTGAACAGTAAATAAAGTGAAACCAGTTAATATGGAGTGAGCTTTTACCCTGTACGCTATTATACCCGGCCATGCTTCTCAAACCTTTTGAATAATTATGTTTTATATGTGATTTCCAGCTGAGTTTTTTCATCTACTTACAGTGCTGATTTCTATTGTAAAAAACAAAGTTTAAGACCCACCTGATCCAGCCCCTGAAGATCTCTTCCTGTTCGTGCTTGTCCTCTTTGGCTGGTCTCCTGTGTTCTGTCTTTGTTCACTGTCTCTAACTCTCTTGATAATCACTAGAGCTTGATCAGACAGCCGAGCTTGGTGCAGGCAGGACACAGCTTCTCCGTGTGTTTTACCCTCCAGACAGGTGCTGTTTAAGGAAAAGATGGTGTCTCCTCTCTGGATCGTTCCTTCGAGGCTCGCCGCTCCTTTGGTGAAGACTCGATGAACCTAACCATAATGTTAAAGCACAGTGGTTGGAAAAAATACGCTATAACATCTTATCTTCTATTATCTGTGATCTTGTTACAGTCTCTCAATCATGTCCAATGCACAAGAAAATATTATTAAGCTGCTAAACATTGTGAAAGAGCAAATTCTGAGCTGTCAAACTCCCTGGATTAAAATTTGGCTGACTCTATACTGTACTTACGGTAATCATCTTCTGTTCAAGGTCAACTCCACCTGCGATACTGAAACCGAGTCCTGACCCTTCTTCTTTATTCAGGACAACAAGATGAGTTTCACTGTCACCCTGCAGAGTTCAGACAGACTCACTGTGATAAAACTGTTCAAACAGAAACAGAAAAATCTAAAAACACCTGTTCACGTATATTTTATTATCAAAGTATCAGCTGGGTGGTGTTACCTCTAAGAGAGTCTTGGCCTCTTGCAGCAAGGCTGAAACGTCAGATTTCAGAGTCTGAAGCTTTTGTTGACTTGTCGGAGAGGCAGACAGCTCCTTCAAACTGGGGACAGAAGCAGTCACAGTAAAGATTTATTATATCATAATTTTTCACATTACTACTGTTTTAAATGAGAAAGCTCCTGGAAGTCAAAACACGATATCACAGAAGGAAACACTTATTTATCTAAAGGTACACTGATGAGATCTGGTGTTTTTTTATTGGTTCCTTCTTGGAAATAAACTATCAATCTTCAGTGTTATAAGATATATATTATCTTAAGGTGCATAAAAACTGGTTAAAAAACACAAGTCAGCAATATGTTGATAATAAAGTGGTCTATTCTTGCTCAACTGTGTGATCTGTTTAAACTTTTAATAGTAAAAATATACAAACAAACCAAAAACTGGGGAGCATTTTGATTCATACTTTCTGATTTTGCTTGTTTGAGTTCAATTGACAAAAGACTGATTGACCTTTTCCTAAAGACACCATGTCATGGCAGCTCTAATGTTGCACCATAGTTTGTTGCACCAGCTCTGTCTGAGAGAAGATGTAAAGTTCACACTAAACCATACACTGAAACTTGTAACTTAAGTTGTACTTCTGTTTTGGTTGCAGCACGAGCATGTAAGATTCATCTAAAGTAGTAGACCGTAAAGTCCAAACTAACTGAAATATTGTCACAGATATGATGTTTACATTACCAGCAGCCAATCAAAGAACAGCTCGTCTCTTGAATGTTTGCTAAAGCATCTATGAGGATTTTTTTGATGTTTACAAAATACAATGAAATTTATATTGATGTCTTTTCTTGATACCCAAAAGCAAACAACTCAGATTCAATATACAACAGAGGGCGCCAAACTCATGTATTTGTCTTTGATAGTCATAAAAAGTTCAGCTTGTGTTTCAAACTTTAACTTTTTTTTTTTTTACTTAAATCCTCACCTGATGGACCAGCCAGCCTTCTGAGTCTCTGAGACTGTTTGATTTGTCTCTTCAGTGGTTCCAGGATCAGCCAGGTTCACTCTGCTCATATCCACTCTGGTCAGTGATGAGGATGGGTTGCTCTCAGTCACTGAGGATGTGTTGAGAACGGTGGCATGGATCTCTGGCTCAGTTTTCTCCTCAGTTTTTCCTCTGGTAAAGTCTTCTGTGCAGATTTTCTCCAGTTCCGGCATACTGAGAGCTCGGAGCTGCCTCAGCCTGCTGCGGGCCAGTTTACCATGTCTCCTACGCATCACCTGAGGGGTCCCAGCTGAAGCTTTCTGACCTCCAGCCTCAGACAGTGGGGCTGTTTTACAGCCTGAATCAGGGAGTTCCAGGTTTATCAGTGCAATGGTAGATGGAGACTTACCTAGCAGAGGAGTGGTGGAGATCAGGTTTTCCATATACGGGCTGAAACTCCTGTGCCGTGACTGGCAGTCAGCAGAATTCACCAAGTCCATATAACCAGCGATCCTTTGACCCAGAGAGGCTCGATATGCCAGAGCGTAGGACTGGATGTCGGAGCTTCTAGAAACCGGTTTGTCAAAGTGAGCCAGGTTCTCAAAGGACTTGATCTTATGCCGTACAGAGAATGGGTTGTATTTTTCAGCGTCTGTGGTGAACCTTTGCTTTTCTATTGACTTGATGTAAAATCTGGACGTGCCAGAGTTCAGGTTCTCACTTATCTCCACAGCAGGGTTGTGTTTGGAGTTGCTACTCGAGGTCGAATGAGCGTCTTTAGCTAAACAAAGAGTACTTAATACCGTATTAGCAACCATGCCGTTGGTTTTCTCCACTGTGGAGTTTGCAGTTGGATCTCGTTCAGTGAGTTTGGAGTCTTTCGTGTGAAATGTTTCATTCTGTGATGATGTGCTGGATAAAGGAGACAGACGGACCTCTATAAAGGTCCTCTGAGTTGCAGGTTGATGAGATCCTTCCTGAGATTTGACGGTTTCTTTACAGTCTAAATGAAGGTCTCTATCCTTGGTTGGTTGGATGGTTTGTAATGTGCCATCAGAGTGTCTATGCTCAATTGAAACTTGCTTTCTGTCGCTTAGTTTGGGTGAAGAAAGGCCACTTAAAGGCTGGCTGCTGGTCCGAGAAAGGCTGGATATGGTTGCTGATGGAGGAGACTTTGCTGAAGATTGAGTGTTCAAAGGACTTTCGCACCTGGTAGGTTCATGCTTCTTGTTCTTAATACTCAGACCCTTCAGTTTGGGGGTGTTCGGTTTGACTTGAGTTTCAGCCTGAGGTTTAGAGTTCGTAGCAGGACAGTCTGCTTTTTCAAACAGTTTCAGCTCAGGGGTTTTCTTTAGTAAGGAGTTCGTTCTACACTCCAAAACCTTCTCTGTTGATGCTGACAGTTTGGTATCAGATCTGTTGATACCTGAACCTGAGATCTCTGATTGAAGTGTTTGTGTTTGGTTTGCTGGTGGAGAATCTGCATTTGAGTTTGCAGGTTCACCCTGAGAAATGTCGTGGAGATCTGGAGGGGAGGGTCCCCTGTAGACGCTCAGGCTTCCACATTTGGACAGCACACATGCTTTAGCTTTATCACAGGGTTCAACAGCATTTTCCATGTGGGAATTTACTGAGAACATGGGTATTGTTTGGCTGAAGGTCTGGGTTGGTTCCTTTGGTGCTGTAAAAGAGTTTCCTTCAGAGGAGGAGGTCTGATCCACGTGTGAACTCTGATTTCTGTTTTGGTGTGAAGGTGAATACCCGTTTGTTGTCTGGATTGACTGAGGTTGCTTTACATCATATGAACAAAGCTCCACTTCCTCTTCCTCTGATGAAGAGTCTTGATGACCTCTGTCTGATTCACTGTCGGCTCCTGTGCTGTACATACCTGTAGGACCAGGGTCGGGGGTTATCTCTTTAACCTGGTTCACATGTTCTGTCTCCACAGAGAGGATGTCACGCTCTGCATTTTCTTCTCCCATAATGCAACAGTCCTGCAGTTCTGGCTGTGTAGGTGGTGTCTCAGGAGGACTTACAAATGGTTTATTCAAACAAACAGATCCAGACTCATCAGACAACGTCTCAAAGGGGAATTTAGTGTTCGTATTCTTATCACTGCCGGGGCTCAGTCCTGATAAAATATCATCTATATTAGTGATGGGAATTTTGATGTCATCATCCGTGTCAGTTCTGTGGTCAGGATTTCCTGAATTTTCACTCATTTTTGTTTCTTCGTCAGACGTCTCCTGGACAGATCTGGGAGGTCTCTGTCTGTTGGCTCCATCGCTGCTTCCTGATGACATTTTCAGACTGGACAGCCGATCTACAGCTGGGAAGAGAGTTGACAGTTCAGTCAGAATTTCAGCAAGTTTTCTCCACTCAAAATCTTTTATATTATAGAACCAAAACCAAATTTTGCACAATAATGTCCAAGTAGAAAACTTCCTTTTAGGTTCAAGCGCTCCCTAGAGACAACACATTGAGAGGTATTCACTATAGAACCAAGAACAGAGGATATGAATTAGACTCTTACCTGAAACTGGTTTCTTCACCTCCATGGTCAGGACTGTTGGAAGGTTCAACATGAGCTCGCAGATCTCCTGGTAGCTAGAGGAGCAAACAAGCTTCTCTCCAATTTTTACGATCTCGTCTCCAGGACACAACCGGCCTGCAGATTCCTGTGAGATGGATTAAACAGAAGAGAGACATATGAGAGGTGGTGGACGGGGATTTGATTTGATTTATTTTGGATTCACCATTAGTTACAACAAGATATGCAGTAACTATTCTTCTTGGGGTCCTTGGAGATCTTCTTTTCTATCTTCATTCTAAACTTAAACATGTACTTACATACACTACACTTACATAACACTCATTCTACTCTTCATTCATACAGTAACCTTTATTCTCTCTTGCTTGTTGAAAATAAACCAATACATAAATATGATGAAGAAACAAAAGTGAAAAGACGAAAAAGAAAAACAGAACTTATCTTAGGGATAACAAGAAAACATAATCCATCAGAGAGAAGAGCTGAACTCAATTTCATTCATGTTACTCCATACGTAAACAAATACACCTTTAATTGTTTGTTAAAGCAACTTCTGTTAACGTCTGAAATTTAAAAGTTAGGTCATAAATTCCATGCCATCGTTGCTCTGTAGTAATGATGATCGGGGATCACCTGCTTCGAGCACAAATACTAATAAATCAGTTTAAGTATGCTTTCATGCTTTAAGTTACACAAACTGATTGAATCATTTTAAGTGTAATGAGAGCTGTAGAAAACATGAGCGTCAACAAATCCCAGCTGCAGCTGCCAGTAAACAGAAAGTGTCCTCTCAGAGACTGTGACTCATTAATGACACTTGTTAATGAGCCATGATAACATGGTCACTTCTTCAGTAAGACTTAAAATTGTACACTTCCACAAAGTACACTCCTCTCCTCGGGCACATTTCCACTGTCTTGGACCTCTTGACTGTTTCTCTTTTTTTTTATTGTGGTGTTTTCAGACTTTTTAAATTCCAGATTTAGACACGTCTGTTTCCCCCTGTAATCACCTCATTCTCTTTAACTGACCTTTGACATCCGTCTTTCCACTTGCAGCTCATTTCCTCATTAAGAGGGTGGCTGTAAATCAGCAGGGTGCAAATAATACAACCTATTATATTCACACAGCAGCCTCTGACATCACACCCAGAGGAATGCTGACGAATGCCATATTTCTGCTTTTCAGGTTAAGATGAATGGATAAGGATATTTGAGAAGTATTATTATTTCATAAGTTTCTTAATCGTGTGCAAATTAAAGAGACAATTAGTGACAGATTAGAGACTGCACAGAAAATAGTCCACACCAGAATAAGTTGCTAAAGGCTCTTTTGCTGGCCCAAAATCTTGAACAGGTCTGGCCTTGTGGTTAGTTGTGTCCTGCAGGTAAAGAGCCTCTTGGGTTCAGTTACAACCAGCAGCAGTTTTTCTTCACCACTCTCTCTTCCAGCTTCCTTCTTTATCCACTGTCCAGTCCAATCTCAAACAAGCCATAAAAACTGTCATAGGGCTCAACCATCTTGAAGTTACGCAGCTCCAGGATTAGACTGCTATAGACTCAGTCTGCTATAGAGTTAGACTACCAGGGTAAAGCCTAAATGAGTTTTCCTTGCAACTATTGCTAATTTACGACAGAGTGTTAGGGCCACATTAAGAAAAAAAAAAAGACTTCGAGATTAATTTACAAGAATAAAGTCATTACTAACGAGAATAAAGTCGTAATAAAGTCCTTATATTCTAACCTGTAGTTTGAGATAACAGAGCCATAGAGCATTTTGTGATAACGTACTTCAATAAAGGTTTCTTAAACAAGAAGATACTTAATCTTTTGGAACATCAGCTCCACATTATCATAAGAATCATAATGATTTTATTACGACTTTATTCTCGAAAGTTATGATTTTATTACAATTTGATTCTTGTACGTAATGAAATTATTCTCGTAAATCAACGGCTTTATTAATTATCTCTGTTCTTAGTCTTTTCTTAATTCCCGTCATAGGTTTTTACTTCTTTTACCCCTTTTTATATGGTTAAAAAGCTCTTCCTTATCTGTTCATTTGATATTATTTTCTTGTTTCAGTCCATCAGGTTTTAGTCTTTCTTTTTAACATTTTTATTTTTATCTCCAGTGTTTCCTAGAGGTAGCTTTTCATGTAATGTCTCAGTGTCAGGCCATGTATCTTCAACTTTCAACTTTATTTCATTTATATGGCACTTTTCCTAGAAAGTTGTAACACAAAATGCCTTACAAAGCATAAAAAGAAAATGAAACATTAAAATCCCCAAGAATCTTAAACAATATATCTTAAATTCTCACACTGTGTGCGCTTGTGTGTGTACGTGTGAGTGAGTGAGGATGGGTGTGTGTCTTTGTGTGCGTGTGGGTCCATGGGTCGGGTTTTATTGTCGTTAATTGTTGTTTTTAGCCCCTGTGAGGCACTTTGAACTGCATTTTTTGTATGGAAAGTGCCATAAAAATAAAGTTGAATTTGAATTTGAATTAGTGATTTGGCTTTAGTCAAATTAAAACCAATAGAATTGATTGATAGTTTGAGCTCATACATACCCTATCTGCTGCTCCTCCAGGCTTTAACCCTGTGATGACAACCTTCAGTGGAGAGGACATGATCTCTAAGTCCAGCCCATATGACTCCTCTTCATTCCTCCACAGCGTCACAGTGTCAATGGTACAAACACCTGAAAGCTCACTGGCCTCTCCCTTCTTACAGTGATGTTGAGGTATCAGCCCAGCAGCAGATCTGGTGCTCCTCCCACCCTGTGAAGCCTGGGCTGAGTTCTGGGATGTGGTCGAACCCGGAGGGGGATCATCTGCTTTGGACTTCAGCTGCTGGGTCAGGTTTGGTGCCTCAATGCTCATCATGCTTTTGACCCGTGTCACTGCTTTGTGCTCGAGTTTAGGAGAGCGTTTGGACTCCAGCTGTCCATCATCTTTGTTTGCGTAGCTGTCAGTGTTGATTGACAGATTACTGGGTGACACGCTGCCTGGTTGCCCTCCTTTCAGCTCAGAGGGGCAGCGGATTGGCATGAAGGGGGACTCGGGTGCTGGTCCAGGTGGACTTTCCTCACACTGTGAGAAACTACCACGAAACACAGCCGTCGAGTCGTTGCTTTCACACCTCTGCAAATCTCCACCATCCTCACTGTCGCCGTCTACATTTAGTGAAGACGTAGCAGATATGATGGCCAAGTCAGATTTTGAAACGCGAGATTCTGCGGCGTCACTGAGTTCAACAGAGTCAGACTTGGCTGCTCTGTGGAAGATTCCTGTGCTCTCAGAGTCTTCTTCATCACTGAGCTGATCCTCGAAGTACATCACTCGCCGCTGTCTGAGAAGAGGGCTCCGCACTGAGGTGGGACTGGAGACGGCTATGGGTGGACAAACTGTCTCTGCAGGCTGATGATCATGAGAGGGGGCAGTGCTCTTGTCTTGTGGAGTGTTGTAAGCGGGGTCCTCCTCCCCTTGTGTCAGAGACGAGGTAAAAGCTGGGAATGAGATGGAGGCAATTTATAGATTCATAAAGCAGAAATAATAAGGATAAGTCTAGACCACGTTCACCTGACAAGTCCATCTTTAAGATCGTACTTCAAGACATTTCCAACTTTAATGTCGATGTTGCACTTGCAGCTTTTTTTTAATCATTGTTCCTTACACGCAAGTTTGAGTTAAGTATGATTGAAGTTTTTTGGAGGACAATCCTGGAGTTACTCAAACCATCCCACTGAGCATTTTTTGCTCTAAAAGAGGTCTGATAGACGTCTAAATGTAGCCTAGACAGCTGGTCTAAAATCAGGCTACCACAGGTCTAAAAATGAATGTTAGACCAAGTCTAAATCTGGGCTATATCTATACTACACTGTATATTTCTCAATGGCAATTATTTTTGGTTAAGTACCTGGAGATAAGTTATGCAACACACAGTTGCTTTTTGAAATAAAAAGCTATTGAATAATGGGTTAAAGTGCAACGTCTAAATTCCGTCTTAAAACGTACAGAATCTAGACGGTTGAAATTAGGTCTAAAAAAAACTAGATGTCTAATAGCTGTCTATTACTCAGTGGGATCTTCAGGAAGTGATGCTGCACTGATTTATCCAGGAGTTGCAACATTTTCCTTAAATCTGGATTTAAAGTGGAATTTTCTCCCTGCTTAGTGAGCACAGACCTTGTTTATGGACATCGTGTATAAAAGAAACAGGGCCCAAAGTGTTGTACGCTTCTTTTCACATCAGGTTTGCATTCTTGTTAAAATAAATTTGATGGTCTGTCTTAGAGGCGAGGGAGTTGGCAGTACGGGTGGTAAGAGGGTGAATTGAAGTCAGAGAGTATTTGGATGTCTTTTACATGAAAACTAAAGTCACAAGATTTTATTAGATTTTCTTATGACTGTGAAACACTTGAAAATAAGATTGATCCATGTGTGCAGATTTCCAGGTGCACTGTTACTTATAAAAGGAACAATATCAAATGTGCATGGATGATTTTGTAAATCTGGATGTTTTTTTAGGGAGGCCATCGCTGCACATCTTAGTATGGATTCTACTCACTGTTTAGTGTATGAGACCCCTTTGTTTTGAACTGTTCTGCGATGTGTGAATAAGGTAAATGTTTACCATGAGTCTGCGATGAGCTTTCATCCATAGAGATGCTGCAACTCTGCTGATGGAGCGCTTCATCGCTGGTGGAGCCACCCAGTGTGGACTCAGAGAGGAAGGAATTATTGGAAACATCCTGAGGAAAGTACTGAGACAACTCAGTCTCTGAGCTCAGCGACCCCTGCTGGAGGAAAGGGGAAATAGAGGGAGAAGCACATATCTAAAGTAGCTTTCTAAATCAAGTTGTGTACATTTATTTCTAGTCGAATGTCTCTAGAGGCTTTGAACACAAACAACCTCATCTTACAGGTTATTTTGATTACTCTCCATCTGTTGCAGATAAAAAGACCACACAGAGTGAATGATGAAATATCAATAAATGATAAATATAGTTTGAACTCTTACTCTACTGGCCGGTTCCAGGAACCTCTTCATGGTCCAGCTGAGAGCAGGTGAGCCGTCTCCCTGACGCTCCTTCGCTGTTGGGCCTGGACTCTTACAGGACACACCTGCAGGTTATTATTTTTAAAACAAGCTCAACATCAGTTACATGTAATACTGTCGCATGGACTTAAGTGAAATCTCCAATACAGATAAATTTTAAAGGTAAAGGCTGGAAGGTAAAGATGCATGACCTTGAGAGTGAGAGGAGAGTCTGTTTTTGCTCATTTTGTCCCTGAGTGTAGATCGAGCGATGATCTGATCCATTTCCTGTTCTGATACCTGAGGACACAGACAAACATTTAGGAGTTCAATCACTGACAACACGCCATCACATGAACAAACAAACAAAAAAGATGGACCAAAGAAAAACATGAGAAAATGGACATTTCAGATTAATTATCAAACCTCAAGGTAGTTGTCATAAAAATGAAAACATCCCTGAATATATTCACCACATGAAGATACAATAAAAAAGAAAGACCATGATAAAAAGAGTACAAAGTCATTTGTAAGAAAAAGCAAACAAAGAAGATGGTCTTGTTTGCTTTTCATATCAGAAAGGGGCATCAATATGAATTTCAGTCTATCTGCTGTTGTGTGAAACAGTCTTTTTCAGTATCAGGCTGTGTTGTGTTGACCTAATACGCAAAAGGTTCGAAATCCAGGGTAGAATAAAATACACTGAAGACTGAGAATTAATTTTCTTCATTATGTACCCTGAGAAACAAAACTGGAAATATCTAGCGTTACATCAAAATGTCAAGAAATTAGTTGAGATTCAATTTTGAGGTAAACAAAATGTAAAAGTTGAAATTCAATATTTAAAAAAGTTTAAAATCTTTTTTGACATGCTGTTTGTTACCTTTGGGTTGGGGTGCCTGCTGATAATGAGACTCACAGGTCCAGGTCCACACTCGCTGAGGATGGCGTAGGCCTCGCTGAGTGCGGCGTGACGAAGGCTGACCGAGTCCACCTCGAGGATCTGATCTCCACGACTGCACAGAAAACACAGCTGTCAACACCAGTGTTTTCAGAGGTTTGGGTAGATGCACTGCAGCCACACATTTGTTTAGCAGATTTTTGTGACGTGTCATTTTGGCCCTTTTTTCATTGCTACTTCAGATCCAGCTTGGTAATTTGAAAAAGCACAAAAAAATCATTCAAATCAGAAATACACCTGCAACTTTTGTGGTCTACGGAGAAAAAAATTGAACTTTTTGGTGTCTGGCAACATAAACTTCCACAGGACTTTGTCTGAATAAATGCTTGACTTCAGTTGTGTCCATCAGAATCCGATTCCAAGACGTCCCTGTAGTTTTTACCTTAGTCTGCCATCCATCTTGGCCACAGATCCCAGAGCCAGACTGTGGATGTAAATCCCCGGAGCAGAGTTCTCCAGAGTCAGACAGCAAACCCCAATCCCCAGACCAACTCCAGGCTCTGAAAAAATCCACAGTCAGTGCCAGAAAAGAAGTCTTTTCAGAGACCGTGTTAGCTGTTACGAAAGAGTAATGTGGGATTAGCTGTGTGTGTGCATGTGTGTTTGTGTGTTTTCTTTCTTGCTATGTATTCTCTACAACAATGTTTGAAATAAAGGCTAAGATCCGGATTCCATCTATTTCTACCAGCAGGACATGTACAAAGAGGCAGGAACGAGAAGCAGTTCCTGGACTGCATCTCAATGTTGTTTGTCAGGCACCTTTATTGAGCGTGACCTCCATGATGATGCAGTCTTTGGGGCCGAGTCCAGGACCTTTGCGGCCCTCAGTGTCTTCAAACCCTGCAGGAATAGGTGTACCCCCGCTTGTGTTGGAATTGGGAGAGCCCGAGCGGCTGAGGAGGGTAGGTGTGGGACACGGGGTCAGACTGGGACTGCGCAGACGAGTCCGTATCGTCAAAGTCACCACTCCTTTCTTCAGCTGCTGTTTGAGGAACAAGAGTCGAGTTCAACGATTGGGGGGATGATGAAATATTAGCATGTGCTTTCATATTTTCTATGTGAATTCAATCAGGTAAAAAGATCAGGCAAATTTACATCACAACAGTAAGGCATTACCAGAAAATCTGTCAAATAGGACTCATGGAGAAAAAACGAAGACATTTCTTTTCAATAGTGTAAATTTTGCTGCTTCTCTGGTCTGACTTTAGAGTTTGCATTAGTGAACATGAGGTCTACCTTGAAGGTCTGGATGGCCTGTTGGTGTGTCAGTCCTTGTAGCGACTCTCCGTTTACCTCCAGGATCTCATCTCCTGAAGGAGAAGAAAATATTCACATTGAGAACTATTGCTTTTGTCAGATTGTGTTAACCATCTTTATTAGTAAATCTAAGTGAATGTTCACCTTCTTTAAGTCTCCCGTCAGCGGCAGCTGCTCCATGGGGGAAAATGGTTTTTACAAAAATCCCCATCTGACCCCGAGCTGAGTCCTGACCCCCAACGATACTGAATCCAAGGCCCTGACGGAGTCAAACATCAGCAAGTGTCACAAAGGAGAAGAAGGAGCAGTATTTACACACTTTCAATTCCAGTTTGAATATTATGTCGATGTAATTTGATAAACTGTCTTTGCACTAGTTTTAATTAAATAAACAATTTAGATGATTTGCAATGTATTATTTTTTCTCCTCAGTGCTAGCACTAGTCGTGTTGCAGGAAACAAGAGTCTGTAAAATAACTTTTTTACCTCCTGCAAAAACTAACAGGAAAAATTGTAATTGATGCATTTCTGTCTGAACATGTTTTTGACAATATGATGACAATGTATCAGATGCAACGTGAATGCATCTGGGAAAGAAAGCCTTTTTTAAAAATGTGATTAAAGAGCAGAAACAGGTAGAGTTAATTTATCATAGAGGAGCACATTAAAACAACACACATCTGTGAACGTGCACGCACACACACACATGATAAAGACAACCTCTCCACTTTATTCATGAGTTCATGTCAAAGAGGAGCTCTCACCTTGCCCTGGCCTTTCATCAGGACGATGCTGGAGATAATGGATGGCTGAGCTAGTCGCCATGGAGACTCCACTTGAACAGTGCTCAGGGAGCGAGCCGATTTCTTGATGATCTGATATTCCTAAAAGAGATGTGATCTAATATTCAAAAACAATCAAATGCATGTTTTGAACACAGTGAAGCGGCACTTTACTAGGAAGAGATAGTTTGTCCTTTTTGTTTGAGGTCAACTATATTGTGAGTATTCATTCTTTTCCCCTTTTTAGGATAGAGGATGATAAATTGATGATGATGATGGTAATGTATCAAAAAGAGGATAAACCTCCCTGACGTTGCTGCCTTACTTTGGTAAGAGAGAAAGAGGGGAACGATATGCAGCAAATCTAGTCAAAATCCTACAACCAATGACACAAGGACTGTACCCTCAGAGCAATAGGCACCTTTTAAATGTTAAAAAGAAATGGGCCTAAAAACTACCTCTTCATTTTTAGGCTTTCGATCGTCCTTTTGATAGCTCTGTGGTTTCTCCACAAGATTTATAGCTCATACATTTCTTCATTTCACAGACTGGTGTCTTTAAAAACCTTCATTTCAGCCTCTATCTGAAACAACTCATTTAAGCTACTGTCTCTTTAAGGGACTCCAGAACCCAGCTTCCCTAAACTTAGAATTCTGTAACCTGGCATCTAGAACCCAGTACAACTGAACCTAGTACCTCAAGAGCCAAGGATTCTAAAGGGCGTGCAATCCAGAACCAACAATTCCTGAACTCAGCATTCTAGGACTTAGCATTTAAGAACCCAGCACTCTAGAACCTTGCATTCTAGAACTCAACATACCAGAACCAAGAGTTCTAAAGCCAATAGCATTCTAGAACTCAGGATACCAGAACTGAGTTCTAGAACCAAGAATTTCAGACCATAGCATTCAAGAACCTGGCATACCAGAACCCAGAATTCTAGAACTCAGTACTTCTGAGCCTTACCTCCAAATCCAACTTTTAAAAACTACTGCTTCAAAATCCAGCATCCCAGAACTCAGCAGTTCAGCATTTTAGAACCTTAGCATTCTAGAGTTCAGCACCCCAAACCCATCACCCCAGGGCCAATTACACCAATCCAAGCACCCCAAAGGCCTTCTATCATGTTGCTGTGCTCGAATTCTACACTTCGCTTTTTAAAACAACAAATTATGAAATTTTAGTTTTTGTAATTCATCAATGCGCCCTCTTACATAACTGTAAACCCTTAAACTCACATTTTCTTGAAAAATCTGAAACTCTAGCCAAATTCCACATTGACAACTAACAATTCTACTCAGGCCTTGTGTGGATGAGGATGATTCCATTGAAAATGTGTAGGCCTCTTCATTGCATCTTGTAAAGAAATCTGTGATGTTTGGACAGTGGATTGATACAAAAAAGGCTTAAAACACTGGAATTTGCACATCTTGTTGGTATGAACACAATGACTTCGTGTACTATTATAAAATCCTCCAAAGAGCAGACCATCGCTGTATAAACAGGCCCCTTATTTCTGACACAGCTGCAGTTCTTTATAGTCATCTCTGTCTTTACTTTGGTGGTTTCCAAATGTATTATTTTATTTCTCTCTACCCTAAAAGTCCTACACGCTAAATCTAACCTGAAAACCTTTCAGCTGTTGTCAGAACTTCAGGATCATCTACGGAGTTGATTTGAGTGAAATTCACACTTCATATTGCTTTGGATGTGCATCACAGGAAACACAGACATGGGCTGAGTCTATATATAGGGTCTCTGGGTAATATTGGTCCGTATGTAAATGAGGCTGAAGCCTTAAGAGGATGTGGTTATAAATGTCATCCTCGTCTCTTTTGTTTGCATTTCTTTCATTAACTCAGCAGACATCCGATCAGCTCTCCTTCACTCTGTGGTCATGAAGGCTTTGATCCTGTGTGTGAGTGTGAATCAGTGAAACAGCTCCACCACCAACTCTGTCATTCATGTTTGTCATATAGCTCGCTATTATTGGACGTGCGTGCGTAAATGTATTGTGTATTGCTACTTAAAATGCCAGCCACACAATGAGCTGCTTTCTATCTCGATTGAACAACTTATGCACACCTATGTTTGTGATTCACACATTACACTCTTGTAGCACATGGCAAGCACATGTGACTAATTATTTCAGATTATTAGAGAGTTGTTTTTTTTTCTTTTTTTACACTTTGAGGTCAGATCTATTTCACAATGTAATCTGCTTTAAAACCAATAACAGCAACTTCATTCTCTAACATTTTCATTTTTCAACACTGGTCTGTCTGGCTTTTTCTATCAGACTTTTTATGAGGTCTGTTGTGTCACACTTTTATGTTTTTTACTTTGTGTTTTGCAGTTTTAGTTATATTCCTGTTACAGAACATAAATCCAGGATGTAATATGATATAAAACATGAGGATGATGCATTCACTGACCTGTCTCACTCCTCCTGTGTCGAGCTGTTGAGGTAGGGAGTGTTTCCGTCGGCCAGGCGGAGGCTTTTCAGCAACTTCACAGCTGCTCACACCGTTCTCCACAAACAACTCGTCGTCTTCGCCCACCGACTCCAAACGACTGCTACCCCCTGAAAATGTTGAAAGTACAGTTTTATTTCTCTTTAAAGAGCAGGTTATTTTAGTGTCACTTTGTCTGTTTAACGTCAAGTAAATAACTGATCCAGGAAACATTGACATAAAAAGCTGTCATGCTCGGGACGACAGAACAGAGCAGACTAAAAAAAAGGGCAAAAATATAAAGACAAATCTGTGTAAACTGATTAAGCTGCAGGCCAGGAATTGATAATAACTGTTTTTAAAGAAAAACATTTCTTTTAACAGTTTTCAGAAGTGTACAAACCCTGTGCTCGGCTGACGTGTTTGGTGGGTGTGGAGCTGCAGGATCCTTTGGGTGCCGGCCCCTGACTTTGTTCCTCTAGTTTCTCCGCATTAGTCGACTGTACAGGGATAAAAAGGACAGTTTCTGTTTTTCATTTGGACTATTGACTCAATGGAGACAAAGACAAAATGCTTATCTGTTCTGCCAGTATAAAGAATTTGGATGACAACCAGCAAGAAGAAAAACATATTTATATCATCTGTCATTCCTTTTGTCTACATTCAGACCTGGAAATTTCCTAAAATCAATTCCCCTCCTCCTCGAGACTTTGAAAGAATCTTGTGTACTGACAGGAGTCAGTTGAGAGAGTCCAGGTGTGTGATTCTTTCACTTCTATCTAGAGTTAATCTAGATGTGTTTGAGCACTCTCGAGGAGATTACACATCCAGCAGGGGCTGAAAATATTCCCTGTTTTGCTGCCACAGTGTTTCCTGCCCATGCTGCTGAGGGAAACAGGCTCTTCCACAAACAGGAGCAAAGTTATTCCAGCAAACAGACATGTAAACATGCAGTAAATACAATGTTTGTGTACCAAGTAGGGTTTGTGAGGACTGGGGCTGCAGTCTGAGTCCTGAGGTGAGTGAGAGTGGGCCATCAGAGAGAGGGAGGACAGGTAACTGCAGGTGCTCACCAAGTCGGGCAGACTGGTAGAGGGGAAACGCTCAAACCCCACATCAGATTCCTCCTGTAGAGAGTGAAATATGAGTTTATTTACAAGTAGCTATTTCAAAATTGAGTATCCAGTAAGCAGAGGAGAAAGTCAAAGTTTTAAAACATGTTTTTTTCTCTAACCATGGACAGCTGTCCCATCTCTCTTTTTGAAGACAGCCGGCTTCAGAGATAACAGGAATTTTTACGTCACTCAGACAGACTCAAAGCAGCAGGCTAGGTGCTCTCAGGGCATATGAGTCAACTCCTGTGTTGTTCTGGCACTTTCTTATTCCAGGCATCACCTTCACATTTTCACCTTGTTTGCTTTGCTTCATAACACCTCATACTTCATCACGGCGCACATGTTTTTGCAGCCTTCACAGCCTGTTTCATTGTTGGAGGATTAACTGATAGACCTGGTGCACCAGCTGGGCATAAATAAGTCTGTTTTATCTCTTATGTCAAATTTAGCTTCAACTGACTCTTCGACTCATAGATACACAGAGGGCACTGAGCCTGACAGAGAGTGGTCTGGGGTTTGGGAAACACGCTGATGTTTCGATGCTCTCTTGTAGCTATGCCCCGTAAAAAAACACAAAAGTAAAGTAAAAAACAAATGCCCACTTTGATCGACTTACAGAATACAGTCTGTTTCTATTACTTTAATTAGGTCTTCTTTTCTGACTTTACACCTGTACATTTAAGTGTAAAAGTGAGAGTCACTGTTTTCATTAAAGTGTATGTTTTTGTGAGTTTTTTGTTTTCTCACCCTGGTGGCCACCACCAGCTGTACCAGTCCTGTAGTGGAGCGAAGGATGGCGACAGCCTCCTGATGAGTGAGACCAACTAAAGACTGACCGTTAATCATCAGCAGCTCGTCACCGGCACGAAGACGGCCGTCCCTGAAACACAGCGCACACAAAGACACGTTTAGACCCTCAGTTTTTTGTGTTTAAAGTGTTAAAATATCGTCACAAACTCCACTTCTAAGAAACATTCAACCAAGCCTTACCTGTGTATAGCGCCCCCCTCCTCCACCCGAGCAATAATGATACCGTGTGGTGAGCGCTTGGAGCCCCGCCCCCCTGTGATCTGGATGCCCAGTCCCTCCTGACCCTTCACCAGGTGCATCTTCCAGATGTGGCTGCCCTCTCTGGGCTGTAGAAACAAACACTTGTCAGACTGCATGTCACACAGGCTTCAGTTACAAACTCTTTAATATAATTTAAATGAATTAAAAACATATATATATATATTGGTATAGTTCAAAAAGTCACATTAAGCTTTTTTCCCTCACTAAACTGCTCTGTCATGCTCTCTGGAAAAGATGGAACTAAGAGTGGTAAAAAAAACAAAAACAAAAATGATCAAACAGCATTATTATACATCTTCTTTTATTGATTATGCCATGATTAACAATCTGAATAAACTTGAGGGGCATCCCTTTTTAGGTAGTATTGTGGCGGACTAAAAGAAAATTCAGAGAAAAACTATTTAATAGTACCCGTTGAGGAGAAGAGAGACTCAACTTAAGAGGTAAGGGTTCATTTTAGACAGCTAGAGTTTCCTGGAAGAAGTGATAACAGTCTGACATTTATAGTCCCATGGATTTGAGGAGGGGTTTGAAAGAAATCAAGTAAATGGCAGCAAATTTCAGAGATCTTAAACATAAAGAAATCTTTTTACTAGCAAATGCTTGGATTAGAAAAAATAATTTGATCTGCTGTGAGAGTAGGTCCTCTGCTCCTGCAGCATCAGGATTAGGATCAGTGGTAGATGGTCCCTTCAGTGTTCAGAAGATTGAAGGTGTTGAAAGAGGATGCATGCTGCTGTAGACGCTTTGACTACTTTGACTAATGACTTGTTTGCATTTATGTGTTGTACGTTTGTTGAAACATGCTGCTGAACTTAACCAGAAGGTTAATCATGATTAAATTTTCCAGGTTAAACATACTTTAAATACAAAAAAACAAAGTACTTTTTCTGTATATTTTTTGGTCATTTCTACTTTACATTGATTTTTTAATAGTTCTGTTTATTTTCATGTTCCTTATGGTAATTTTTTAAAAATAAAAACACAAAGCTAAAACAGAAAAAGAAACAAACTCACTCTTCTTTTTTAAAACCTCATTTAAATTCCTTTTTACCAGCTTCAGATTTCATTGTGTATAAAATGTGCTACAGCGACTCTGACTTGTCCGAACAGTAAGAACATGGTTTTCTGAATAAGCCTCTTTTTGTTCAGCTGTTGTTGCCATGCTTTACTGTGATTGGCTGGGCCGTTTCAAAGCTTTGAGGGCAGTGATGCGATTGGTTAAAGTGCATTTATCAACAATCACACACTCTGATCTTAATCCACATTATATAGCTCTTTAACGCTTTTTACTGTACACCCACATACGCAGATTCACCCCACCACATCTACATACCCCCCTCTAGGGGCTTTAACCCCTCCACCCCCTCATCAGCAGCTTTATCAGCCATTTTGAAGCCTTGTGGACCTGGAAGGATTTATGGAAGAGAGGTCGTCCTCATGTGGGACATGAACACGCTGATTCTTCTTCTACAGTCTGTGTGTGGAGTTGATTCACCAGCTGTCTGTCTCAATCCTCTGACCCACATGTTAAACCTCAGCCCAGCACTCGCTCGCTCTGGTTCCTGTCACCAGTTGTTGCAAGGCGGTGATCCCGTTTGTCCTCTCACACATCTGCACACATATCTGCTCATCCCCTGCTCTGATTGGATGGCTGGATTACAAGGCCAACCAGCTTTAATGCAACAGTCAAGTAGGTCCAAAGAGGAGGTCTTTTCTTTTCCACAATATGGCACACATTTCAATCCCCAGAGGGAAATCTCTCACTACAGTTAATGCAACTATTTTAAATAACAGAGATTTAAAGGTGAATCAACTTTCCCAAAGTCTAGAAAACTCTTCTTAAAGGGATATTCTGGTGTAAAATTAAGTTAGGGTCAAACACACCATAACACCGTGTTAGACACCCCATTGAGAGATAAATGTTGCAGACTGCTTGCTTCTCTACTTATACCAACTTTAGTAACGACCACAGATAGCAATACACAGAACCACACGCTCAACCAAAAAGCCACTCTATAGCCACAAATAATGCTCAGAACAGCACCTAACTTCATCAACAGTACATATAGGGTCACAGCCATAGTACTAGCCAGAAAACATCATTCTAGCCTTGCCTGATTTCTTTAGCAAAGAGACTAAACACAACTCACCTACTCTCTTCCGCAGCCGCTTGTTTGTAGTGAGACTTCAGGACAGTCCATTACGGACTACAGTGGGGTGACGCAGCTCAAGGAAGAACATTTATGATCATTTCTTCATGGAAATGCAATCAGACCGAGACGCTAAGGCAGAAGAACTACCACGCCTGCAGTGCAAATTGATTAATATGGTGATTATTACTTCAAAGAAATGATAAAGTAATGATCACGAATGTTCTTCCTTGAGCTGTGTCACCCTGCAGCAGTCCGTAATGGACTGGCCTGAGGTCTCTGAGGTTAGGTGCTGTTCTGAGTATTATTTGTGGCTATAGAGGGGCGTTTTGGTTGAGGTTTGTTTATGGCTCCTCAGACTGCTGTGTATTGCTATCGTGTGGTCATTACTAAAGATGGTATAACTAGAGAAGAAAGCAGTTGGCTTGTCTAAGTTGGGTGTCTAACTCGGTGTTACGGTGTGATGACTCGAGATTAACTTTACTCCGTAATATCCCTTTAAAGGCTGATCAACTTTCCCAAAGTCTAGAAAACTCTTCTTGAGTGTGTTACTTTGTCCCAAAGTTCAGCAGAAAACGCGAGACAAAGAAAACATAAGAGGATGGAGCTTGTGTGAGGACAAAGAGTCAAAAATTCAGGGTCATTAAAGGTCTTTAAATTAACCTACTGAAAAAGAACAATGGTGTCTGTATTATCAATTAATTTGACTTCAGTAAAGCAAAGAGATCCACCAAAGAGTTGCGACACCGCGTCTTCAAAATGAAACTCAAGTCCGCCAACTTTATAGGCCTGTCTGTGCCTGAATGTTTTTGTCCATTATACTGTGTGTCATGGATCCACCTGTGCCCTGTACCTGCGTGTGCCATGCTAAGTCTCACCTGGTTAGAAGGTTCACTGCTGACTGAATCCATCTTGCTCTCCAACAGCTGACTGTGGCTCCGTGTGGGCAGCGTGGCCGAGCCTCCACTGTGCATCCTCTGGACAGCAGGCCTCACCTGAGGACAGGTGAGTGTGATTTCCTCTGTAGGCGTGTGTGAGGAGTGTTCCCCTGTGCCGATGGAAGAACTAAAGTTGTAGCAGCTCTGGGACTCAGGGTCGGAGCTGTCTCTGTTGTCTCGGGTGAAGGACGAGCGTGAGATGACCCCGAACTTGCGTGTGCGTTTGCAGTTTCCTGAGCGGTCAGAGGGCTCGCAAGATTCACCCCCCTCCTGCTGATGGTTGTCAGAGCCGTCTCCGGTCACAGAAGCACTGAATATGCCGTTGACTTCACAGGGAGGGGGAGGAGCTTTTTTCTTGACTCGCCGCAGCATGATCAGGTAGATACAGCCTCCGTTCCAGCACTGATCAGTCAGGTAACTGTAGACAAGCACCAACAGGAATATGGTGTGATTACGGAAAACAAAAGTCAGTCAACAAAATCCAACAATACAGCTCCACTGGTGGAGGAACAATGGATAATGAACCACTGTGAAGTTTTGATGGTCCTCATATTAGCACTTTCCCTGAATCTGTCTGTCTTTAAGTGGAAAACTCCTGATGGCGGTAAGGTGGGAAGTCATGTTTACAGGGACTACATGTTGAGTTGTTTAAAAACACATGAACTGGTACGCTTCATTAGAGCTCAACATTCATAGCTGGGTCGCACCAGTTGCCCTTAAATTTACAGATCTTTAGTTAGCGTGTTTTGACTGTTTTCAGTGCTCTTCCTGCTCAGGTTTAGCTTGTGGCAGATCATGTTATTGTCACACTTTCTTTAATTGTTGTTTTCTTTCACAGGGTTTTATCATCGCTTTTTCCAATTTAACTGAATGACCCACATATTGATGATATTACAAATGTTGACTTGACTTCTTGGTCACCCTAATCCATGCTCCTTACCGAGGTTTTGCCATTGAAAACATCTTTCAATACAAATTCTTTTGCACACAACAATAACTACTCTCTTCTTTAACTGGTGATTTTCACAAGGACCCAAGTTAGGCTTTTCAATAAAGTCTAGATCCTCCCCCGCACATGACACTCCTCTATCGGCTTTTATGAGTCTCATGTGACTCATGTTTATCTGAGGTTTCTTAGATGAACTGTTAAGCAGCTGAATATCAAAATATTCAGCTGACTACTTTTTTAATGGTTGAAGTCATAGTTTTTAACCACAACAGCAATCCCAGAAAAGTTGTGTTGTTGTGTAAAATGTTGATGAAAAAAGATTTTGAGTGTTTGCAATTCATTTAAACAAAATCAGAACAACAAATAGTTCAATCTTTTTAGATTTCAGATTAATTAGTTGTCAAGAATTTATGGATTTGGTCATTTACAGTCATCTATATTATTAAAGGATTTAGAGAATCTGGAGAAACCAATACTGGATAGACATGATCTTAAGGCTCCCCTGGCAGTACTGCGCGCAAAACAGACTTTTTCATGTCATCAAATATATTTTGCAGAATACGAAATGAGCTGCGATTCTACAGCATGTTGTGGCGCATTTTTGCCTTTGTAAGACAGGCCAGCCAAGGAAAGGCAGGAAACAGTGGGAATCCAGAGTGGGGAAAGACATGAAAACAAAACCAGCAACCACTGTGACAAAGACCTCAGCTTCTCTATTCAGGGCGCTTAGACTGGTAGGCCATCAGCACCTAAAAATCTGCTTTTTAAGGCCTCTAACTATCGGAATAATACTCAAACTGAGAGTATTGATGAATATTTATTCTGATAAAAACATATAACACATATCATAAATGGAGTCATTTGTTGTAGATATCAGTTTTACCTGGCTCCGCTGACGTCCACTCCAACCATCAGCTGTCCATTCAGAGACAGCAGCTCGTCTCTCAGTTTGATGCCCCCATAGCGCGCAGCAGGACTCTTCTTCCTCACCTCTGTCACCCAGATACATCCCACATCCATGATGGGACCCTGATCCCTCCTCCTCCTAGGACCCCCCTTCTTTCTCCCATCAGGGTCTCCGAAGATGGGGATGTTCCCAAAGCTGAGGCCAAACTCTGCAGAGTCGTCCTCCTCTTTACTCATGGAGACAGCCTGGATCTCCACGTCCAACCCCTCCCTGTAAGAGGACGGGCTGGGACATGGAGTGACGTCCCCCTCCATGAAGTTAAACTTGATGTACTCCATTAGCTTCTGTGTGGCAGCCAGACACAGAGACATGTCCTCCATGTTCAAACTGTTTACACTGCTGCTGCTGCACACACTGTCCTCCTCCCCATTTCTGTACAGGTCCTGGTTCACCTGCTGGGAGAACAAACAACAGTATAACCAGTTCATATACTGGTTTGTGAACAAGTATGACCAAGAAAGGATGCTTTCTTCAACAATAACTCAATCTAAAAATCAATTTATCCATTATTCCTCTGGCTCTGTTCAGTGTTGTGGAAATTGGAGTTTATCCCAGCAGCCAGTGGGTGAGAGGCGGGGTTACACCTGGACTGGCTGCTTTAAATTAAATCTTCATCCATCCCATAGTGGGGAAATTCATGGTTTTAGTCTATAGTTTAGAGTCTCCCCCTTGATACAGCTTGATGTTCATTCAGTCAATAATGGCCTTCTCTTATTTTATATTTCTGCAGGTCATTACATAGACTGTATACTATGGACAACTCGGTTCTGCCTTCCGCCAGTATACGGATTTGAAGCCGAAAAGCTCTCAGTAATTCCTTGTTTTGTTCTCCATTTCCTGAAACCAACATTGTGCAGTAGCCTTGTACGCACTCCACCACTTGCACGGTAGTATTGTACACATTCGGCAGGAGAGTCGCCAAGAGTCGCTGTGATGATGCTCAGCCTAAACAGTGTATCCCCCGGGTGAGCTATGCAATCTTTGTACGCCATAGGCTGTATCAAATGTCAATCTTAGAAAACATGAACCCCCTAATAACTTTTAAAAAATGGAGCTGTACAGAAAAAAGAGGACTTGAGCACAAACCAGTCTTACAGTAATTACATGTCAACATCACAACCAGGGGGGAGAAAAAATCATATTCTGTGTAATACATTTCTAAAGTTTGTCCACAGCTCCATAGGGGATTGCTGGAGGAGGCGGGATTTATGACATGTACTGCAGCCAATCACCAGTGTGCTTTCTTAAGGTGGCTTCACAGCTATTTGACAAATCTGGATTTAAACCAAAGAGCTGACTTCACTTCTTATCCAATGGTTTATACTGTAAGTGTTCGTCCCATAAACACCCTTTAAAATTAACAGCTGATCATTGCCTGGGAGTTAACTTGTTTCAAAAGTTAAAAAAAATCTCTGTTCTTTCTGTTGCAGATTTTGTTGTCGGGTTTTACCTCTAAAGTAAACTGTGCAGCACTTTTGTATATTTCAGTCAGCTCTAATATGACATGCTTTATAGAGAGCCGTCTCTGCTCGGCTGAGTGGAGTCAGGGAGTCAAATAGTGATAACACGATCATGTCAGATCATCCATCTTTATAAAACCCTGCTCCACTGAGGTATAAACTGCACCATGATCTCTAATCCAGCCATCAGAGTGGAATTAACGAGGTTAACTCACTGTCGTGATGCAGGCTGAGAGAGCTGGTAGTCAGTAGGTCACCGAGCTTTCAGCAGCACTTACTCTGCAGGACATGAACGACAACAATGAATTACTCTGTCCCACTTTTACTGTCAGTTTAGACTGCACTGAGCCTGCAATCCTCTGCCTCCTTCAGTCATCTCATATAACATCTCAACCAGACACACCACTGAAAAAGAGTGAGTCCTTTTATAACAGCTCCTATCACGATGATTTAGGCCTGTATGAACTTTTCATACTCCAAGAAAAAAAGATTTTAGAGAGGAACATCAACTCACAAAACCTCTGACCAGAGTTTTGGTTTACCACTGCCACTAAAGCTGTTTTTAAACATGCACTCCACTCTTGAAATTTCCAAAATTTTCAAGAATTTTGAGCACGTGTGAATGCAAGGAGGCAAATGTTTTGACCCAACTTTACCCAGACTTTTGATGTAGAGATATTTTTCACTTAATGGTCGGTCATTTCCATATCTAAATAGAAACACAGGTCGTAAAGATGCAGTACCTTGTCTCCAGAACTGTCCTGATTCTGGTTTTGGTCCTTCTGGGGTCTTGTGGTTTGAGTCTTATGCCAGTCCTCCAGCAAAGGGAGGATGCTGAGGGCGTTGTCCTGAGTAATGGGCATCCTGGCATCCTGGGCTTGATGGGGATCCCCTAATGCCAACCGGCCAACAGACTGCTCTGATGCTCCAACGATGGGTGCAAGAACAGGAACTAGAGCAGGCCCTCAGCCCTGGATCTTCACCTGGTGAGAGAACAATAACAGGTCACGTCATGAAAAGATATGTGATTACAGGACATTTGTGTACTTTTGTTATCATTAAGGGATCTTGTTTTTGATTTGAACTGGCCCAGGTGCATGATTTTGTCAAGGTTCCAATTAGGGCTTGGACGATATGCTTTTCTCCCGATTCAATTCTTCTATGATTTTTTGGATACCGGTTCGATTGAAATTGCAATTCTACGATATTGTTGAGTTTCTCGATTTTTCGTCTGCATTTTTAACACCAATGAAAGAGCTGAACGATTATGATTGTCTACTGACTATTCCAGGAACCATATTTCCCCAAAAAATACACATCACATGTAAGTCAGTTTTTAAGAGTTATTCTTAAATTTGAAAAAATAAAATTTATTTTTTTAAACAAAAACATCGATTTAAAATTTTTAACATAAGTGATACTCATGTGAATGGATTTTTTCCCCCAAACCTAGTTCCCACACATATACCTGGAAAACATGGGAACCTGGGAAACAAACCATCCAACCAATTTCCAGTCATGGAGAACACAGGGGAATGGGCTGTGCTGACCAATGAAGTTTCTTACACTAGCAGCACCTACACTTTTGATAAGGCCTTTTGTCAACGATAAGAGCTAGTTTGGGGTTTTCTTTGAACAAAAGTAAATATTAGTTCGATACAGGTTTTTAAAACAGTGCCGCTGGACAACTTTTGTAACCACTGCCGAGAAGTGCTCTGAATTGAGATAGTGGGTACTGCCAATGCAAAAAACACTGAAATGAGAGAGAAAGCAAAATGACCTGGAATTTATTGAAACAACTTCTTCGTTCATATCAGAGCTCCAAAATTATAATATTGCATTTTAAGCAGAATTGGAGGTTGTCACTCATATCAGGAAAACGGCATCCCAAAATGCAGGTACAGAAGATGCTACAGAGAGGATCTCACATACAATAGTCTTGCAGAGTTTTGGCAGAGTGGCTTTTCATTTGCATTAGTGTCAGCTGAACCAACTATACATAAAAATGCACGAGAATAAAAGGAAGGCTCTAATATTGTAGATTTTATTTTGATTAAGTTAAACAATTTTATGAAAATTGAAAATCTCCAGCAGCTAAGAGTGGGTCTGTTTTTGTCAGGATAGAAGCAACAAATTTAACACCAAAGAAAACTCCGACTGAATATTTCTGAACACGCTTGCTTGTTTATGCTGATGCACAATACTTGTAAAAAATGGCTGAAATGTGTTCAAAACAACATCTGTATGGACGATTTATGGGCGATCTACACCAAAACATCTGATTCACTCAAACTGTTTATAAATGCATGCTTTTCAAGGTCTGGCAGTGATGGTAGGTTGGTTGTTAATGGTCTAAAACCTGCTAAACCTGCAGTCCTTCTCAGAGAAGAGAGTAAGAATCTGGGCTGACCCTCTTGCTCCATCTTAACTACAGACAGAGAGCGGAGAGCAGCCACATGTGTGCAGATATAGACTAAAAGCAGGCCTCCATCAGACCACACTCTAATGACTATGTAGAGCTCAGGCTTCAAATAAACTCTCGGTCTCTGTGGTTCATCCGTCTCTACTATTCCTGTACTCTGAAACCCTGAGCCAACACAGCCATCCCTGCTCCTCTCAGAGCTGAACCACTGCTGCCTCAGGAGGAGGAGGAGGAGGAGGTGAAGAAGAGTGTCAGGGGGATGAAGATCTTAAAACGTCACATCGAGACAATGACAGCCCCATAATGGATGGTTAAAGCGAGGAAGTGGTCGATAAATCAGAGCCTCCCTGAACTTTTCCTGAAGGGCAACCCCACCAATCTACACATGATGTTCAGTTTACCTTTCACAGTTTGTAATTTCCCTGTGAGATGCTGACGGGGGATGATGTGGTTCAGCTACTTAAAGGGGATTTCCTGTATTTTAAAGTCCTCTGTGACTTTTGTGTTTCTAATGTTTGGTTTGGATTAAACACAACTTGTGTAACACAGAACAAACACAAATGAACTATATGATTAGGGAAGCTGTACACCACCAACTCCTGTTTCCAATGAAGTAAAATTAGGGGATTGGTCAATGGAGGCCACTGGTTCTGGTTTGAGAACCATCTCCCTTTTAAACTAATTGTTTTCAGATACTGAAAGTGACCATCTCAGCCTGTCAGTGCCTAAATATAACTTTTAGTAAACACACTGATCAATCAAGGATTATATTGCAACCAAAGCAGCTTGTTTCACTGATGTCAGCTAAAACAGGGGTCTCCAGGGGCCTCAGATTGGTACTGGGCCTGAGAATTGTCTCAAACTGGGCCACAAAAAACATTCAAAACCAAGATGGTGGGAGTAATTGCCAAATATATATACTGTAATGTGCTTTTGTTAAACATATTTTTCCAGAGATGGACAACTTTTTGTTATATATCAAAAGGCATATTTTTCCAGGAGCAATTAAAGTTATTAAATAAGTTTGTTAAGAAGTACAGTTGGTAAAAATGTAAGTCATGTAAGTAAAAGAAGGTCAAGTAAGGAAAGACATAAAGTAAATATTCTTGATCTCTAAAGAAAAGTGTTTGAGACTGAAATTTTTAACGTGCCTCATGTCATCTAAAGGTAAATAACTGAAACACTTGTAATACAACAGCAGCTGATCTTTGCTGGGTTCGTTGTTCATAATGTTGTCCAACTTTCCTCATTCGCCAAAACTAGAGGAGCCGAGGAGAGCCAGAAGTTTACTCAAACACAAAGCTTCTACTTTATTAAATAGACAAAAATAGATAATCAGATGGTTCAGGAGACTGACTGGGAGACTACTCCCATACAGTTACTCAAACAATGCAACACCTCTGTACTGTTTCTAACGTGGGAATGTCACTCATGATTTGGGTGTGTTCAGAAAAATCAGCTGACAATCCAACTCTGTGCATCACCACAGGCAATACATCAACTTTGCTCTTTACTTAATTTAAAGAACCTATGGGACGACACAAACTGAGTTTAACTCAACAACAATAAAATCAAGACAGACACCTTAAATAAACCCTACAGTATCCACATGTAACCATTCACCAACACTGTATAAGGAAACCATCACGAACTTACACACTGAATGTTCGCGTTGATAGCTTTAGCGATGATGAGTGGAGTATGGATGGACGGATGATGATTAAGATAATAGATTGGAGGATGGATTAATGGGTGGATTAGTAATTGATGCATAGATGCATGTATGGATTGCCAATGACCGATCATTGAACTGTAAAAGTACATTTGGATGGGTGGACGAACACGTGTGAATCAAAGAAAAAGTCCTTGTATTGATAAATGGATGAATGAATGAACCAATGAATGTGTTTTGTTTGTTAATCTGAACAATCTCACCATAAAGTACATAACTCATAAACTCTTGTTTTTGGCTTGTCCCATTGACTTCATTGCAAATTTTTCCAGTCGCAAAAAATTTGTATACAAAAAGAAAAGTAGTGCATCATTTCTCACCTATAGATTTCCTTTCCCCTTTCTTGTATTGTCTCCTCCAGCATTAGCTTTAGCGGTGCAGCCTTTGGCTCCGTTACCTCAATGAACCGGATTAGGTTGAGTTTTAACTGGGCTGCCCTGAATGAAAGCTTTGTGAATAAAACCTCTGTTTTAAGGTTCAGTAAAACAAAAGATTGAGATCAGTGCAGCTTAATTGGCCCACTTTAAAAACTGAAATAATGCTCTGTTTGGCCTCAACCAGTGTCTGGAGTTTTATCAGGACATCTCTTCTTACAGTCAGCTGACTGGTGTGCATGTAATGCAATGAAGGAGCAGCATGAGTAAGTGCCTGTGAGGATGAGCCAAATGTTAATCCCTCTAATAGCCCATTCAAGTGAGTCATCTTTGTGCGAGTTAGATTAGGGGTGGTTTTAGGTAGCAGGTCTGTTATTCTTCTGAATGAAATGCAGAAAGGTTAATCTCAGTGTGCACAGCAACAAGGGAAGACACGATTCACAGAGAGCCAGAAAAACAAGACAGACAGAGCAAATACAGACACGTTTTTTAAGAACAAGTGTGAATGAAAGTGTCTTAGATAACTTCATCACTTCTGCTCTATGTAAACAGTCCCTGTCATAGAGGCTTTTACATGTAATCTTCAGAGAGACAGAAAGAGAACTGTTGACACACATCAGTTAAATAACAACAGTATTAACGTGACATTTCCAGTAACGACCTAAATCCTCTAAATGGAGTCCTTCCCCCTCTGCGCATAATCTCTGGATCACTGCCTGAAACCGAATTACAGACCCACAGCAGTGCAATGATACTGGTTTACAACTGAACTCCTGCACTATCGTACACACAAATCATCCATGTGAGACTCTGTTCTAATGTATCTCAAAAAACTAAATCACTTAAATCTTACCGTCTGGGTGGATTTTATCCTCAAACTTGTAAGAAGCAGACTCTATCTTGTATTTGTAAGCTATGAAAAATCTAACTAACGAGATATTCCACAAACCAAGTCAGATCTTCTAAGAGTGCCAACCTTGAACAGTGTGATCCCAGCACTCAACAGCAGAGGAGGCACCAAATTACATGCTATACTTGACATTTTGGATAAGTTGGACCTTATTATTTGGGACAAATATGATTAAAGTTGTTCACAAATGTAGGCCATGCAAAGTGTAACCAAGGGGGGTTGTGAAGCAACAAATATCCTTGTCATCTAAATGTTACTTTATACCCAAAGAAGACGACTAGTCTTAAGAAACCTGTCAAAATCAAGCACAATTTATTTCAACTGAGCCAAACACGGAATCATAGAGTCTGCAGATGAACTATGTTGGACTGTTTTGCTGTGAGGCTAGCATTAGCAGAGCTAGCACCACCAGCCTCCAGTCCCTCTTGCAAGCCTGTGCTGTCGGTATCAACTTGTGTGGATCAAAAAAGAGTACACCCAACACCAAAAAATGACTAAATATCAACCTTGATTAAACAAGAAATAATGGCCTGTCTTCTTTACAACCCTGCCTCAAATACAAGCCTGCTCAGCCCTGCAGTAAAGGTTAGTGCCTGACATTTTGATAACAATTATATTTATTTTTCAAAGATAACATGAAGTTAAATGGCAGAGACTATATAAAACCTAGTCGTCTTTTTAGACATGAATTCATTCGGGAACCAAGTGACACTCCATTAAAAATGTCTCCTCATACATGAAGCTACACCACCTTTGAGCATAAACATTCATGGGGAAAACGCAGAGCTCTGGCTAAGATTCATTTCATACATCTATGTCCCCATCATCAATCTTTTAAAGGTAAATCCAGCCATGTTAATGCCAGAGTTTAAGTCCTAAAATGACACTTGATTTTATGGACACTGTTGCTACATCCCTGGCACAGTTTACAGAGGAGATTAGCTTAAAGTTTATATTCCTGGATCGGACATTTCTCCAATACTGGAACAAGACAAGTGCTGTGTGGAGGTATGTGTTTAGCTTTGTGGGACAACATTAAACACAAATCCATGACTAAAAGGCTGGCCATGTTTTTGGATGCTTTGTACATTCTTAAGACGCTTTATATCGGATAAAGACATTTCTTTACCTTCCGTTTGACAACACGGATTATTTTGCCACTCTTTGTTCGTGTTTAGGCTGACCTACATGTCTGAACCCCCTCCCCCTCCAACATGCTCTTCTCCTGGGTGCCATATGGCTGAAGATTAGAAAAAGCCCCATTTCAGTACATCCAAAATGTCACATTGTTGGAGAATACAGGAGGAAATTACAGAGGAGACCAACAGGATAACAGGCGGAAACAACAAAATACAGGAGGAAACGACAAAAAAAAAAAAACAGGAGAGGCAGACAATCGGAAATGAACTGATTTTTTTTAAGACAGGACCAAAACTGATGGTGATGATAAAACAACAGTTTAATCAAGAGTTTAACAGATGACTACTTCAGGCCAGTGAAAAAAAACAACTATCTTTTGAATCAGTAGTGAGTCATACCAGCACACAAGAATGAAATTAATGAAACAAAACAGATTAGCTACTGACGTTGGTTCACAGCACATTATTTGCCAATGACCAATGCTCATGGATAGAGCCAATATTGGCAGATCATCATGTTAAACCAAAAAACAATGGTGCATTCATACAAAGTACAACAGAAAACGTTACTAATGTTACAAACAGGACACTTTAATCAGCTGATCACACCCACTCCAAAATATGTTTAAAATCCTTTTAAAGCCATCAGACATAATACATGTAAAAATGTAAAAGGAAATGTAGAGTTAGCCATTCCTTAGCTACAAATAGTAGAGTGTTTTTCAATAAATATTAACATACATTTAAATGCTGCTTGTTGCCACTGCTGATCGTCCTGTACAATGCCCACCACCCTCTGGACAACACCCCAGGGTGCCTTTTCAGTGACAGTCTGAAAACAGATTCAGGAACTCTTTCATCCACTTGTCCATTAGACAACACACAAAGGGTCTTATTCATGGAATGGGGGCAGAGCAAATTTGTGTGCAAACCGAAAGCAGAAGAAAATTGACAGGCAAACATTTAAAAAAATTATAATAAATACTTAATTCTACTTCCCTCAAAGTAACTGTTCCACAAGCAGTACGTCTACACCCCTCAAGTCATTGAAGCTCCTGAGAGGAAGTTTCAGTTTATGTCAATTTGTTAGAGCCCGATATGTAACAACGATCTGAAATGTAACAACAACCCAGAATGTAATAAAAAAATGTAATAAAACCAAAACTTTCATGAGATTCTGAGCCCAAAATGTAACAAATTTTTGCACAAAATGTGAGAACTTGTTATATTTTGGGTCAATAATTACATTTTAGGTTTAATTACATTTTTTATTACATTTCAGCTTCTTGTTACATATCTGTCTCGAACAGCACCCCCTGTGGATAAAGTAGGCTTTGTCTGTCTTGTCCTCTACATGCTTAAGTCTTTATAGTCTCATCCTTTTGACTTCTGACAATACAAGCCATCATTTATTATGAATATCTTATCAGGGTCTTAATACAGAACTGTTTCTTCTGCTGCTTAGCGGAAATGGTAAATTTTGTCATGGATGGTCCTATTCGAATTCGTACCTCGTGAAAAAGCATCAATATGAGTTTCAGACTATTTTTCAAATATATAAAAATTTTTCACAGGAGCTTTAAACCATGATCACTTGATATGCATGTTGAATTTGAAACAAAATAAGAAATATATGACTGAAGCAAACTGAAGCAAAAATTTGAAAAAGTCTAAATGAAGGGAAACTTGAAGTTTCAGTAAATTATGTTCACTCTGAATGCCATGATTATTATTATTTTTTTTTTACTTATTCATATTTTCTATTTTTACTTTTTTGATTTTTTTTTTGACATACTTCGAACCTGGAACAGAAATGCCATCTTGATTCAAAGATCAATCAAACTTTATTCACACAGCTCCTTTGAAAAAAAAGGAAAGAGGAAATGTAGAGAAAAGAAGTGTGTGAATGAAAGATTTGGTCGTCCTCAGTCTGACCTTTCTATCATGGTTATGTGAAATCACCAACGCCGACACAATTTCCCAACAAAGAACCATTTGTTATGCAACACTTAAATTTTACCCCAGCAGGCACATAATCATTGCTGTGGCTCCGATCCAAAACTCAGTGGCGGGGTACAAAAACCTACAAAGTCACATGATGCTTTAATCCATCTGAGCAGAGACTGCAATCAAAATAAACCAGACCTGTTCAGGAAACACCTCAGGGTAATGATCCACATGTGATGGATTTGAACTGAAACAAAACCTGAAGACATTTGATGCTGCACTTATTATCAGCGGCATGAAAGAACATCCTGCTCATTTATCGCTCTGCATTTGCCTGAAGTAGATTTGATACAGACCAGCACCACTGTCATCTCAATATGTTCCATGAATACACTGAAATGGGAAAATTGAGAGGTTCCCCGATAAATACAACAGAAACCTTGGTTACCCCTCTCCACTGTGCGTGTCACCTCACACGCTGTTGGAGGCAGGTCGTTCCGCTTTGCCAGAAGCACAGATGAACCAGTAAGGAGAGTTTATAACTCTTATGTAAGAATTTTAGTGAGTCTTGCACATAAACTATGGTCTCACATTTTCACAGGTTTGTCCAAGATTTGAGCAGTTTTGATTTTATATTTTTCGTAGATGTAGAGCGGACACAAAAATGTGTAACTTCGCAGTATTTGTTGTAAATGTGAAAAAGCATGATACCCCCTCTTCAATATTGAACAATATATACAGAAACACAATGCCAACCACTCTGCTTTCATTTCAATAGCATGGATTAGTAGTAGAAGAGTCCATGTTGAAAGCTAGCTTGCCTGTATTGTCATGTACTAAAAACAAGAGCATAATGACACAAAAAGTACCTTTTTTAAAATGTATTGCTGACAGGAAATTTTAAATAAACATTATATTCTTCATTAAACAAGAAACTTTTCACTTCCAACATTCAATATTTGTTCTTTGCATTGTTTCCAATTGAATATGGTCAGTAAATGATCACCAAATCACATATTTTTGGCTGTGTCCAGACTCTTATATAATCTGGGTTGTATCACTTTTAATTGATACAGTAAATTTAATATTTTGATGTGAGAAAAACAGTTTAAAATGCATCAAAAGCTGTTATGTTGAAGCTTAATTCAGTTAACATCAGGTGATTATAAAAACAGCACAGACTCAGTGCTGCAGCTCAGACAAGTCTACCATGTACAGGCTGAATTAACATGGAATCAATCTTAAGTTATTCATGTGCCCTTTACTTTGTTTATAAGCTTTTAGAAACCACTCCATCAGGAAACAGGTTAAAATAGGACATGGTTTATTTAGGGGTGAACTGGTTCAGGGCTGTGAGTGGTCGGGGTCTCTGGAACCTGCCGGGGATTAGAGATATTTATTGTTTCAGGGCACGCTGACCTTCTGTCAGCAGTTTATGTGAGCGCTGTGCACACGGAGCAGATTCAGTCTATAACCACAGGGAATATTCTCTTCACTGTGTTGATGACAAAATGATAAACATCAGTGTCACTCAGGCACCAGTGATTCTGCAGTGAACGTCTTATAGATGATAAAAGTCCGTATTTACTGACTGAAACCAGCTAGCGATGCAGCGCAACCAAACTTAGCGGGTCTGGAAAAACCACTCAAAGATGTACCCAACCCAGAGTTACATCAGTTTAAACAGATTTGGTCGTTCTGAAAGCCTCATCTGCCACCTCTCTTTTTCTAATCAGTTCCATATCAAGCTCTTGTATCAGCCCACGAGTTTCATGTTTTACCTGCGAGGCAAGAGGCACTGCCTTCAGTCTGAAGTTAAGTTCTTCAAGCCTACTATAGTTGAAAATGTTTGAAAATAGTTTAAAAATGTCATAGCAAAAGATTTCAGTCAGATTATGAGTCAAAGTTAGCAGCAGCTCGGCTAGCAAACCCCCCCAGTGTGGCAAAATGAAAGTCCATTAGTCTATGTGTTGAAGGTTGAAGGGCATTTATCCATAAACAGCTTTAAGGGCCTGTGTCCACTTACAGCTTTAAAGGGCCTGTGTCTCCTAACAGCTTCTTGTTGACAGGTTATACAAAAGCTGTACAGTAGAACTCCTGCTTCCCATCTATTCTACTTGAGGACATTTTGTTGATAAGGAACCAGGAGTTGGTGACAAAGAGACTTGAGGTGGTCAGTATGTGGGAGTTAGCATTTAGCTTAGCTCATGGTCTCACTCGTTTCTCACCGCCATCTCACCGTAAGAGTATGATGGCCTTGTCTGCTGTAATAGAGTCTCAGTTCTCCAACTCCAGAGTGCAGAAGTTATCTGCAACTGTTAGCCACTCAGCTTTGCCATACTGCACATGCATATCTGCTAAACTTCACAAAAGCCCTCACAAAAACGCACAACACCTGCAAATTCTCAATTCCAGGGCTTGGTTCACATCCATACTGCTATGCTGACTGATTGATGAGGAGAAAATCACAAAATTAATGTGAAGGAATCATCACCTGGAAATGATACCCTTAAACAAACAAGTCTGAACACCTGAGAGTCAGACAGACTGACACTGACACTATTTCTGGTTTTCTTACTGAGCCCATCTCAAGAGTTGTTTCAGACTCAATGCACTGCAGTTATAAATCAATTTGAAGAGAAGCAATTCATTCAATTTCAGATAAACCATCACCACCATCATCTACTAGACATCGATGTTGACAAAGTTAATTGGAAGCCCCACCCTGTCTTGTTTTGACTACTTTCGACTGTGAGCACTCTGGAAATAACTGACACTAATATGAAAATGTTGAACTGGAAAAGACAAAATGCAGAAAGTTTTTAGTGGACACAGGCCCTTAATTGTCAGGTGTGTTTACTTTGAAAGGAATAAGACATCCTTAATAAAAACCCATGAATAATAACAACTAAAGAGTCCTTTTGAGTCCCAGTTTGCTAATGCAGCTGAAAACTAAAATATTGGTTATGTAATCCTTTTTTTTTTCATTGGCGATTCCAATCTTTCACCTTTATATAGCCCTGCAAAACAGAACTGTTCCACACCCATCCTGTCCAGCTGTTTGCATTATCTTCCTCTTGTTTTGCACCTGAGGGTTCATCATCTGGAATCACGCAGCTCGAAGGTTGCAACATGTTAAATCAAGTTCAAGTTGAAACAATTCTGCCTTAAGCCACCTTGTTTTCAGTAAACTTATCGGGCCTGCAGGGTGAAGCTGTGTGTGTTTGCATTCAGGAAGAAACAAGATCTCTGGGGGCCAACATGTGGAAACACAGCGTAATGAGGGAGCAGTAGATACAGAATCTGCTCAGGTGTAGTCTGGGGGTCCAACATAATGATGGAAGCCATTTTTGAGAGGTTTGAAATGATTACCAGACGATGCGTGAGGGAAACATTATTATACTGCCCTACAGACAATCATGAAGACTTTGTGGATCTTTTTTTCATATTTTAAGAACAAAACCAAACTTCCAATTGTGTTGGTTAAAAGAAATGACAAAATAAAGATGACAAAACAAAGTCAAAACTCTTCGACCTTATTCTAAAAATGCAAAGTTAAGTGTTTTCAACTTAAAGTTTCTTTCCACACTTCACCAGAAAACTGTCCTGCTCCCTGTCAGACTTGCACCTCTGTGGAAGATATTTTGCTCTAAAAAGGCAGCAGGATACTCAAAATGACCTGTTATGATTGCACAAAAGTAACTCTAGGAATAGGTTTACAGCAGGTGTGGGTGATGTTTATGTGAGATGTAATCTGCTCAGACATGACTCCTCTTAAAGAGACACATGCTTGTAGAAACTTGCTTTCTGACAGACAGAAGTGATCAGTGTCCTTCACTGTGTCTGTCTGCTGCTCTCTCTGCACAGCCTCAGGTTTTAAGGAGAATCACGTCTTTCGAAGCATGTCTGAAAACACAACCCTCACATACCAACATATAAACGTACACAGGCTGTGTTTGCTGTAATCATTCCTCCTCTTCATGTTGGTCAGAAACGTCCTTCTAAGGGACTTCAGTGTTTACAACACTAACGCTGTAAAATTCCACAGTCCTCATTCTGAGCAGGAAGATGTTCAGTTTTGACCAACATGATGCTTCAGTAGTTTACATTAATCCAAATTCAGGACACTTTACAGTTTTAAAACTTTTGGAGGAGAAATTATTTTATTATCACAGGATAGTTGTAAATTTGTCTGCTTATCTCTTAGAAATATGAGATTAATCTAAATAAAAGTCGTTAGTTTACAAGGACAAACTAATTTGATTCGTTTTTTTTAATAAGTTATAAATTTACAAGAAGGAAATCATTAATTTACAAGTTATTAAAGGGATATTCCGGCGTAAAATTAATTTAGGGTCAAACACACTGTAACACAGAGTTAGACATCATTACTTTATCACTTCCTTGAAGTAATAGTCACCATTTTAATCATTTTGTACTGCAGACGCAGTAGTTCTTCTGCCTTAATGTCTCAGTCTGATTTCATTTCCATGAAGAAACGATCATAAATGTTCTTCCTTGAGCTGCATCACCCCGCTGTAGTCCGTAATGGACTGGCCCGAGGTCTTGCTACAAACAAACGGCTGCTGGATGAGAGTAGGTGGGTTGTGTTTAGACTCTTGGCGAAAGAAATTAGGCAAAGTTAAATAGATGTTTGGTGGCTAGTGCTGTGGCTAGGACCCTATATGCACTGTTGATGAAGTTAGGTCCTTTCCTGAGCATTATTTTTGGCTATAGAGTGGCGTTTTGGTTGAGGTTTGTTTATGTATTGCTATCCTGCAGTCGTCACCAAAATTGGTTTAACTAGAGAAGCAAGTGGTCAGCAAAATTCATCTCTAGAAGGGGTGTCTAACTCAGTGTTATGGTGTGTTTGACCCTAAATTAATTTTACGCCGGAATATCCCTTTTATTCACAGAAGTAAATTGTGATATTGTGAGTGAGTTCATGAGATCAATCTTGTAAATTTGTGGTATTAATTTTGTAAAAAGACAATAGTTCACTTCCACAATCACTGGACTTAAATGTACTGGATGGAAGCTGTAAATATACGAGGTTGTTTTGTCCTGGTCATGAGAAATGAGGCTGATGCCAAAGTGCTAAAAACTGCTGTTCTCCAAGTGCCTGCTTGAGGCTGGCTGTAGAAGCACCATTTACACAAAGCATGCTTACGACTTGGTTCAAAAACATTTTTGGCCTAATTAGCTCAGGGCTCTCATGGCACCCATTATACAGAGAGATTTTTGAGCCAGCATTTCCAATATATCACCAATAGGCCAATAGCCAATTATGATATTAGCTAATTTCATCATGCTCCTAAAGACTTGAGTGTTCAACAGCTGAATAGCTCCTATGTTACCTGCCATTTCTGCTGCACCCACAATGTTAGGTTGCTGGCTAGCGTGAAGAGGAGGGTGCAGAGCAGCGCTGTCTCCACCGACAACTCAAACACGACTTACTAATGAGCTACCTGAGCTCTGTAGAAGAAAAGCTCTTAGAAATGACACAGGTAATGTGATTTTGGCTAAAAAGTTCATAATCACAATTTAAAGAACACTGAGAATGCTTTGAATAGTTTTAAAAATAAAGGAGGTTGCAGTCATAAATTTACAAGCGTCACTAAGTTGTTCACTTGTAAACTCAGCAAATAAAAACTCATTAATTCAGTAGAATAAAGTTGTAAATTTACAATCCATACAGTGAAAAAAAACTGTTTCCATGTCATATAGTTCACCTGACAAGTATTTTCAGATACTTGAAAAAATGTGAACTTTTCCTTTAACCCCAAGGCTCACTGATCTTGACAGCTGAAAAAACCTGCAGAAACCAACATGAAGCAGATGTATGAAAATCCACTCTGCTCCCAACCTCTGCATGCACACACACACACGCACGCACGCTCGCTCAGCCTGGGGTAGACCAAAAGCCTGAAAGCTCATAAAGAGCAGACTCTTTTATTCCTGAGAGGTGAGGGAAAATGTTCATCTGCAGACATTAGAAAGTATCTTACATCAAAGCTTAACAGGAAATAAAGCATTTTCATTATTTAGCAAGCTTGAAATGTCTCTGTTTCTTCATTCATTAGATTATTAGTTAATGATTGAATAAAACATGTTTTATATAAACTTCAAACTACGTGTTTTTTTTTTAGCTGGCAGGTTATGGTCAGGATTTTGAACCAATCAGATTACAAGGAGGGGCCAATGCCACCACTGTTAACCCCTCTGGAGGCACCCCTGGGCAAGAGAGCAAAAATGTCGTGCTTGAGAGGGTCTATAAATTAAGGGTGACCTCATGCAGTATGGAGGAAACTTTCTTTGAGTTTTTTTCAACTGCAGAATAAAAAACTGCAACCCATTATATTACCTTTAAAAAACAAAAGGAAAAGGAAAGAAAAGATTGATGCATTGGTATTTTGAACTGCACTTGACCTGAACCTGAACTTTTAACATTTACAACAGTTCCCTCTAATCTGCAGTATCTAGGGAGCATTTAATTGTTCTGTTTATTTCACTTTCAGCATCAGTAACTATCTGACAGAGCTAAAATACTCTTATGTTGACTTTTTAATGTGCTCAGTACAAGCTTTAGAGATTATACGCTCAGTGTTTTGAGCACGCAGACCCTCCGTTAAACTAAATATCACGCCTGTCTGTTGGAAGGCTGCAGCCTCTACATGTAAAAGCTATCACATTATTTCAAAGTGAAGTCATGTTGAAGCTGCAGCCAAAAGAGCATGTGAGAGACACAGTGACTGAAAAGAGAGCAGGGCAAAGATTTCTGAAGCAGGGAATTCATTATAGTCATTGAAGTAAGAAAACAATGACTGTCAGACAAGTGTGAATCTGGTGTTCCTACTTTTAAGAGTGAGTTTCATTGACAACCCAGTTCCTTAGGGGTTGTGGCTTTGGGTTAAGTGTTGACAAAAAATGAATGTAATATTGTGTACATCATTTAAAGCCTATATACAACTGAAAATAGTGTCAAGACAATATATCACAGTTTGAATTGAAATAGTTGATTGTTTTATTAAAGTCAATGCTCATTTTAGATTCGTGCCAGCAGCATGTTAGAAAGGTTGGGTATGTTTACCTTTTTTTTGCACTTCTTCTTTTAACAACACTCTGTAAATGTTTGTGAACTCAAAAAACAAGTTTCTGGAGTTTGGAAAGAGATGCACTATCCCATTCTTGTCTGATAAAGAATTTCAACTGCCTGACCATTACAGGGATACTCCAGCGTAAAATTAATTTAGACACCCCCTCGAGAAATGAATGTTGCCGACTGCTTGCTTCTCTAGTTATACCAACTTTACTAACGACCGCATAAATCTGTGAGCAAACATCATAAATGTTCTTCCTTGAGCTGCGTCACCCCACTGCAGTCCGTAGTGGACTGGTCGAGGTCTCGCTACAAACAACCGGCTGCTGGAAGAGAGTAGGTGAGTTGTGTTCAGTCTCTTTGCTAAAGAAATTAGGCAAAGTTAAATAGATGTTTGGTGGCTAGTGCTGTGGCTGGGATCCTATATGTACTGTTGATGAAATTAGGTGCTGTTCTGAGCATTATTTGTGGCTATAGAGTGGCGTTTTGGTTGATGTTTGTTAATGGCTTCTCAGATCGCTGTGTATTGCTATCATGTGGTTGTTACTGAAGTTGGTATAACTAGAGAAGCAAGCGGTCTGCAACATTCATCTCTCGAGGGGGTGTCTAACTCAGTGTTACGGTGTGTATGACCCTAAATTAATTTTACGCCGGAATATCCCTTTACGTGTCGTGTTTGTCGTACATTTGTATCATAATGCTCCAAATGTTTCCACCGGATGATAATTGAGGACTGAAGTTGCCCAGTTTAGCACCGGAATCTTCTACTGGCATTATGGGATTTGGTATTGTCTTGACTGAAAATATGTCTTCCCTGGAGAAGTCATTGTCTGAGTGGCAGCATATGTGCTCAAAAATCAGTATATTTGTCCAACATTAATGGACCCTTTTTAGGTCTGAAAGCTACCCATGCACCAGGCAGACATGCACCCTCATATCACCGGGGTGCTGGCTTTTAAACAGTGTGCTGATAACAAGCTTTCCAGAATAAATGCCGTTTTTTGATTGGGTAGACCACAGTACAGTTTTCCACTTCACCTCAATCCATCTTAAATTGACAAAGTTTGGAAAAGTCTCCAATGTGTCTGGATTATGTTTATAAATGGCCTTCTCTTTGCATGGTTTGTGAATGCAGCACTAGATTGTTTTCAATCAAGGTTTGTGGAAGTGATTTTGAGTCAGTGCAGTGATTTCCACTACAGAGTCATGGCAGTTTTTAATGCAGTGCTACCTGGGGGCCTATAGATCATGTCATGAAGATTTCTCCTGTTTTTTTTTCTAAACTTTTCATCAATATTATAAAGTATAGATGATAAAAACCCACATACTCTGTGAAAATGTACACATAGAGCTTAACCTGTTCACTATACTCACACAGTCTCTCACAGATTGATAAACCTTTTTCCCATCTTCACTTTTGAGAGACTTTGCCTCTCTGAAATTCCCATTTTATTACGTGACTAACTTTTAACCTCATTAGTTGGGAGATGTTCCTCCAGCTGTTTTATTTTTATTTTGCAACTTGTTTTGTTGTCCATGTTCCAAATTTTTGGGAACATGTTGCTGGTATTGTCTTTTAAAACTGCTTATATTTTTAGTAAAACAATATTCTTACAGTTTCAATATTTGGTTTGTTGTCTTTTGAGATTATAGTGATTTGAAAACCATCAAATTGTATTTTAATCCACATTTTACACAGTGTCCCAACTCAAATGGAACAGAGATTGTAAACTACTTGACCAAAAATGAGCTCCAAACTGCATAAACATCTCCACACTCTCTGTTTGTAGATGTTAAGTGATGTTTCTTTTATTTCCTCCTTTTAGTATCCAAGTTATTCATATCTTTCATACAAAGGCCCGTTTATTCCAGCAAAGCATAAATATATGGCCATTAATAGTGCTGGATTTATGTTTAGTAGTCAAGGTAGTAAAACCCAAAACTGGCACAAAAATGTCGGGCAACTTGTTGGAGTAAAAACCGCCTTTAACAGCTAAAGCCATGAAAATTATTATAGTATCTGGTTTGGAAAAGTTGTTTCAGCAGAAAAAAAAGCTGAATGGAGGCAAGCAGGCTGTTTTGATTCGAGGTGGCTCGTTTCTTTCGCTTCGTGAACCACATCCCAACAATTTCCATCTCTGTCTCCTTTACAAATACCCAAACACAGCGTGATTGCAAAATATCAAGGTTAACCAGAAGAGGAGAGGTTGTTTTATCCCCACATGGTCAAAGTGTGAGAAAAAAGTCATTAAAGTAAAAAAGCAGAGCAGACATACCTCTGGGCTACATGGTCCTGCAGCTCAAAGACTCCTAATTCCAGGTCAAAACAACAAATAATCCATGTTTGATAGGTTTTCAAAGCCGAACTAGATGTCGAGGTTAGTTAGTCCTCAAACAATCACTCATCCAGAGTTTATTAAAGCGTCTTAGCGCTTAAATCCGTGCGGGAATAAAGTAGAGCAGAGCTACAGCCTGGAAAAAAAACTGTTCCGAGACTTTTAACTTCACCCAGCAGAAATCCACAGCTGGGAAACTCAGGAAAAGGGAGGGAAAACTCTCGATTTGCAGCAATAAATGTTTTTTTCTCTCTTTCTAAGTGTGTGTGTGTCTGTGTTTGTGTTGGAGTCCGCAGGTCTCTCGGTCAGCTTCAGGCGGTCTGTCTGTGATGAGCTGCAGTCGGTCACAGAGAGTCTGTCTGCGGCCGGAGGGCGGAGCCTACATGTCCACAGTCTGTGAGGAGGCTATTTTCACTGTGACGCTCCGCCCACCAACATCACTTCCTCCAATACAAGTTAACGCGTAGCCCCGCCCACACCGGTGACACCATGACCCGTTCAGGACCAGTAGGAGCTCCGGATGGATGGTCTTCACTGCAGTTGTGGATTTAAAGTAAGATAAGTGTGAAGACAACAAACTTTTAGTTCACTGTTAAGTAGCAATTGGATTCAGAAATCATTTCCTTCCAACCAAATTATTTTTTCTCATTTGATAAAAAAGAAATGCATTTTTGACTGACCAGATAGAAAACAACTAAACTTTCAACCCCTTTATCTTATATGCAGAGCCGACCCAAGCCTCAATGGGGTCCTAAGCAAAATTTGATTTTAGGGCCCTCTATTTCTGCCAGTAATATTGATTGTTGATCATTCACACACTTCAAAAATCTCTTTGATTAACATTCCATGACATGCAAACATACCTTTATCTTGATAGCGATTTTTCTCCTCTTCCCTCCTCTTACTTTTTCTTTTCTCTGCTCCTGAAGGATATGTCCTTTTTTTGAGACATTGTTTTGCCCTACAATTACCTGCACTTTGGATGCTCAGTGCAAAAATTTTTTTTACTTGATTTTATTTTTTCCATTAATATATATTTGATTATATAAAATGCATCATCACTCATACATTAAAAAAAAAAAAAAAAGTTCTTGGGTGCCCCCTATTGGCCACTGGGCCCCAAGCAGGCGCTTAGTTCGCTTATGCCTCGCTTGTGCCCTGGCTCCGCTTATGTGGTACCTGTTGCACTCACAAATGTGAAATGGCTTGAAGAAAATCAGGATTCAATATTTAAACATTTAATAGACGGTAGAAAAAAACAGAAATATAAACCGTTTGGAAGGAAAAACACTTTTTTTTTCACTATATCTGTACATTTATATGAGCGTTGTCTTCGTATCCTGTGTCTGTTTGGGATTAGTTTTTTAAAAAGTTTGATTTTTTTTTCTGAATTAATGATGACTGTATCAAGACTGAAAAAGCAGGTGCCATATCAAAGACATCATTTTCAGTTTGTTGTATTTAAGATACCTGCTTCAAGCCGGATTATGAAGCATTAAGATAATGCTTCATGTTATGTATATTTTATCCTTTTTTTAAAGCTCCTGTGGGAAATTGTTCGACCATGTTAACTTTGGTGCCTCCTGTTGACAAACTGGTTTCCCTTGTACTGTCACTACTTTTGTCCCATCCTGGTGAAAGTGGTGATATATATAATGAAATGCTTTACCACCAATCTAGAGTTCATTCATTGAAAAGACTAAACATCGCCCCATAGAGCTGAGAAGATAAACCATGGAGGGAGATCTATTAGTGAATGTGTTGAAATGAAACCCACAAATGTGGATTGTGTATGTGTTTGTGCTGTGAATATATATGACACCCCTCCACTTAAAAAAACAACAAGAGGACAGGTTCGTAAATTGGACCTGTAAACAGAGATGTGGTCCACTCTACACGGATAAACAGATCAGATCACTCAGAGGTCTCTTCCTCTGGCAATACTACAACAATAGTGAGGATTTCCTGTGAAAAATCACACTGAAAAACATAAACAATGCACCATTGTATGTTTCTGGAGACTGTAAGAACAGTACCTAATTTATAACTGTACCAGCACTGTCTGATATTAAAAGTCACTTAAAAGCATTTCATGGGCCTAAAAATATACAGCTATGCATTGACAGAGAACAACCAACAATAATATCATTTTACCATCTAATGATTTTATTAAAGCGAATTAAATTTTAAGTGTCACATCTCTCACCACTATTTTTCTCCCTTTATTTATTTTTCTTTCTCTTTTTTCCCCCTTAAACAGTCTGACTTGTCTGTTTTTCTAAACTCATATCTGCTCTGTTCAAATGTCCACAGGACTCCAGTCGTACTGGATCACAGGGCAGGATTTGAAGTCAGAGGCAACTTTTACTTGTCTTTTCGCCGACGTCAACTGTGGCTAGATTGTGGAACACCAGTGCATCATCATTATTGGTCCCTGGTAGCTCACTTCGGTTGTGGCTTTTTCAATTTGCATCCTTTTTTTTCACAGTGAGTAATTATTATTATTATTTTTTGCATCACCACACAAAAAAGTGTGTCATTAACTTCTGTTGTGTTTTTATTTTATGTTATCTGCACTGTATCTTTTTTATTTGCAGCAGGCTTTGGTTTCTTTTCTTTTCTTTTTTGCATCAGTAACTTCCGTTGTGCTTTCTTTCTTTCTTTCTTTTTTTGCATTCTTTTTTATTTGCAACAGTGGCTGTTCTTGACCACCGTATATTTGGTACAAAAGCACCCATAGTATATATAGTCTGTTTCTCAACCAGCCAAAAATCCTAAGAGGAAGTTTAAGTAAATTTGTGTATGTTGAAAATGAGCTATAACAGGATATTAATACAACATCCGTCGTGCTGCTCATAAAGAAGCCTCAGTGTACTGTGGGGCTTTGGTTGATGCATATGAAATGTGCTGATGTGGCATTCATCTTCCTTGAACTAGCTGGGATACAGTCCGCAGGTGATCTCTTCCTTTACCTGCTGGATAAGTGTGGCATCACACTCTCCACACGTCGCCATATTAGACAGACTCCAACCAGCTGTGTATGGCTGCGGTCAGATCCGAGGAAAAGGAGCGCTAATCCGGCTGACAAGTGTCCTGAGGCCTCGGTACAAACCCGCTAAAGACTCTGAATTTCTGCTGTATGGTTTCGTATCATTATTGGACTCAGAAACTTCGCACACTTCGGCCTGAGGAGGGTTTGTTTCTCTGTTGTTGAGCTAACTCGCCGGCAGACATGACTTCCGTCACTATGCGGAGCTCAGGCCTGGTGCAGAGGCGGACTGAAGCCTCTCGACTGGCCGCTGATAAGGAGCGTCCGTCCGACCAGGAGGAGCACGAGTCCCGGCGGCGAGACGAGCAGGACGACGACGACACCGGAGACTCCAAAGAAACCCGTCTGACCCTCATGGAAGAGGTGCTGCTGCTAGGACTAAAAGACCGAGAGGTAAAACAATATCTTCCCCTAATCAATAAGTCTGTTAATAAAGGTAAACATTGAAGCTAGGCTGCTAACGGTAGCTAGCTCTGTTTGCTTAACAAACACCGTCTGTTACTGTGAGAATCCGTGTTAGCTTCCTGGCTAACAAGCTAGCGCTGTAGCTTAGAGCAATAACAGGCTTTTTATCTCCTTGTCATGATCATGTAGTTTAAATTTAACCAACAATAAAGGTTACTTAATAACTCAGGTACAGTCCCGTGACAAATATTAATGTTTGTGTTAACTATTATAGTAAAAATTTATCCAACAGGACAAAACTAAAAAACTCGTGAAATTACCCAGGTCATCAGTAAATACACAAGTTTAGATCAATGATTAATAATGTCGTCTTGCCGTTTGCTTATATGGCGAATTTGCAATTTACCCCCAATTGTTTAAAGGCACATAATTACGTTTATGGTTATGTCACGCATCTCATATCTTTAAACAGCGCCTCAATACACATTTTTCAAGCACAAGTTACAGCAATAAGAAGTAATTACACCATTTTGACATTTGTCTTTATTCAGACTGAAAACCAATCATAGACAATCAGAAACTTGTCTTAATTTTAAGTTTTCATTCTGTTTAGGGTGTAAATTTCTACCAATGGTATACTCTTCTGTCCTGTCTTATTTGATCCAATCCTATCCTGTTCGATCGGATCAGATCTGAACCAATCCGATTCTTGGTGGTCATGATTCAATCCAAGGATTCAAAGATACTGTGCGATTTATGTTGGGCTTATATACATACATAATAGTGTATGTATTTAAGCTTCAAGGACTGAAGGATATTGTGTAATTTTTAGATTGGGCTTATATACAATCTGTAAACAGTACAGTTTTCAGAGATAAAAACTCACCTTCATTGCCCACTGATATTTATAATTATTAGTTATGAAGCAGTCTTTTTCTTGTTGCAATTTGACACTCTAGATTTCAACAAAAAATAATATATTTAGTAAGTAAATACATATTAAATACATGTTGGCTCCAAATATCATACATTAGTGAAATGAATGATTAGTTAGCAATCCCAGCACTGGAAAACCATTATGGGCTGTTCCTCGACTGATATTGTTATTAATTATTAAGGGTGTCAAATTTAAAGTTTTCTTAATTGTTGATCTTTGGAAATAATAATTGATTAATCATTGCAAGTAGGGCTGGGCGATAAAACCATAATGATATGTATCGAAAATGAATTTCCCTCAATATCAGTATAAACCATGGTCAATATGCTTTGGTAGACTAAACGAATAGCCAATGAAAAGGGGAGTTTCTGCAGGGTCTGCTTTGCGCAGTTACCTCATTTTTTATATCCTGAAAAATGTATCATGATAAACTTTTTCCCATATCGCCCAGCCCTAATTACAAGTGTTTAGGTTTGTCTTAATACAAACTATTAAACAGCTAACACTGACACTGAACTGGAGTGGAGATATGACACTCATTATTATCGAGCTAACCACCAGTTTTTCCCTTTTCCACTCAATGTCTCTTCCTCTCTACATGAGACTGACTCAGTGAGGTGATGAAAAGCTGTTTGGCCTGAACCAGGATGGCGTCAGCTGGCTCAGCCAGCATGTAAAGTTTAATGTAAATGTCAATTTCAATTTGACAGTTTGTCCTGGATGTTTAAGGTGTGACTGGCTGCAACTCTGCAAAGCCCATGTTTTAATTTACTAGTACAGCTATGGATTGCTTCAGAGCAGGAGTGTCAACCTCATAAGCAAAAGAGGCAACATTTAAAACTTGGTCTTGTTGAAGTCAACATTTATGAAACAATGGACTGTATCTGATCATGTTTGTCGGAGAAGTATTGTAAAAAAAAAGTATTATTAGAGAATTGTAAAGGTTTTTTTTCCTCCCAAAACATCTCAAAGAATTAGAATAATTTTGAGGTACTAAATAAAATTAAACAAGATGAAATTCCAAATTTAAGGCATAGCAGAGACATAATTTTCTCTCTCTCTCTCTCTGTCCACAATTTTTTTATTGTCACATTTCCAAACAAAAGAAAAGAGAAACAGACAGAAAACTACAATCCCAGTTCTAAAAAAGTTTGACTTTGTGTAAAATGTTAAACAAACAGATTCAGATATTTTGGATAAAGTCTGTACAATTCAAAATAGTGCAAAGATGAAATATCAGATGCTGAAACTTAAAAAATACAACTGTTTATGAAAAAAAATATGCTCATTTTAATGTTACCAACATGCTTTCAAAAAGCTGGGACATGGACAAGAATACAAAGAAAAAGTTATACAGACACCCAGAGGAACATCTCCCAACTAATGAGGTGAATTTACAACAGGTTAGTGACATGAGTGAGGATAAAAAAGGCCCTCCAGAGAGGCTGAGGTTCTCAGGATGAGGTTCATTACTCTGTGAGAGGCCTCATGAGTGAATAGTTAAACCATTTCAGAATACTGTTGCTCTGCATAAAATTTTAACAATTTGTGGATTTCATCATTTGCAGCACATAATGTCATTAAGAGATTTGGAGAATGGGGAGAAATCTCTGTACAAAAGGAACAAGGCCCCAAATCAATACTGGATGGATGTGATTCTCTCGCCCTGAGGCAGCACCGCGTTAAAACTCGGAAAGATTCTGAAATTCTTCAGAGGAAAAAAAAACAAAAAAACCTGCATTTAATTTTGTAGAGTTAGGCCTTCCTCTTCTCTCTGTCTCTCAAGGAACTCTCTTCTAAATAAAGGTGGATGTACATTCAGTCAATTCTTTTAATCAAAGCTTATTTCCATCCAATATTCAGTCTGCAGTTAATAATTCTGAGGTACACACAGTCACTTGAAAAGAGCGAAGAATGCAGTGTCAGCTGTGGTGTTTGGACCTCTGAGCACATCTGATGCCAAAGTCCAACTACACTTTCATTTACGGCTGAAAACATCTGTTCTTAGAAGGCGCTGTGAATGCTGTTTTTTTACATTGATTTATGGCGTTCGCACTCTCTCATGAGTACTCTGTGTCCTTGTTTTTGCCAATCTTGCTCCAGTGAGTACACTTGTTTTGCTTTATGGCAGACCAGGACTCTGATGTGTGTTTCCATACTGCAGGGTTACACCTCTTTCTGGAACGACTGCATCTCCTCAGGACTACGTGGCTGCATGTTGATTGAACTGGCCCTGAGAGGACGCCTGCAGCTGGAGGCCTGTGGCATGAGGAGGAAAAGTCTGCTGGCCAGAAAGGTGGGGCAAGTTTTTGTGATTTTACTAAATAACCATTATTTAGTAAATGTCTTCTGTCACCTGGTGAGATTCAAGTATTTTTCAACTTAAAACCAAACAAAACCATTTTTTTTTTGTGCAAATCACTCAGTGATGCTGAAACTTTTAAATGTAGTGAGTCCTCTGCACCCACAGTTGGATTTGGGTGGGTCCCTGAGAAACTTTACAAGTCCTTGATGAAAGTTTTGTTTCTTGAGCAATTCACTGTGAGCACAAGTGCGGTGATGAAGTTCTGGATGCAGCAAGGGTCAGCAATCCAGTTCCTTGTGTATTTAACTTCCCCCTTTCACATCCCCCCTGTGGCCCTAATTAGATTATAAATACAAAGTGTTCTTGTTGCTCCACATAAAGAGTTTAAAAAGTGTATTTTGGCTGTGTTCGTTTGGCTTTTGGCGGAAGCTGCAATGAAGGAGTTAATACAGCCATAGTTACCAGAAAACTGGCCAAACATTGTGAAGTATTTTCTGATGTAAACACACAGACACCAGTTGGTTTAGATAAGCACAAACCAAATCTTTCCCGAGTGTGGCTTTTATAATTCGATCAATAATCTGTCTTGTCTTTGTGTTTACATGGGAACCAGCTGTGAATGAGATGTGTGCTGAGGTCATCTAAGCATAATATAAATAGTGCCAAAGAGCCACTTTGAGGAAAAAAATACAGTTGTTAACCTAAAAAAAAAACTGTCCTAAAGAGTTTTTTTAAAATATGGTTGTTTTCACTCCTGTCCCTTTCAAAAAAAAAAAAAGACAGAACGGGTCTGATGAATTTATTTTGAAGTTCTTGCACATAGAAAGGGTAGGTGTTCAAGGTAAGAATAAAAAAAGAGAACATAAAAAGCTAAATTAGATGTTTTTCCACTTTTGCTGATGAGATTTTATTCGAGTTTAATTGTCTTTTTTTCTCACAATGGCAGCCTTCAGAGAGGTGATAATCAGGACTGATTTTGTCAATTTGGCCTCAAATTTACAGGGTCACCATTTAGATAATTTTTGCAAAATCCAACTCATAGCAGTGTTGTCCATGCTCTGAAGAAGCCCATCCATTTTTGCCCTATTTGGATGCAGCACACCAATCAGCTTGTCAGGTCTATAACGTTTGAGTTATATTATGAGTTTTTCCCTTTTTGCATCTCAGATTGACATAATTTGAAGCATCAAGATCTGATCATTGTGATGCTGACACAGTCCTGGCCATCCTGTACTTTGATAAAGTAAACAAAGTGTGTTGACCATGGGCTGTGTCATTATCCGATTAAAGAAAAAAAAGAATAAAGTGGGTAAAACAGTGTTTTGCCTTCAGTGAAGCAGGGAACTCAATATGGATTTCGGATCCTCAGAAAAAAAATATTCAGGTATAAACCGTTCCCTTTATAAACTGAGCAATCATGGCATTAAGCTGCAGGTGTGGTCTGTTTGATGTGAACAGAAGTAAGAACTGTAAAGGCACGGGTCATTTAGCATCTGTCATCTACACCCCATAACTGTGTGTCTTTGTTTGCTGCAGGTGATCTGTAAGTCAGACGCTCCCACAGGTGACGTCCTCCTTGATGAAGCCTTGAAACACATCAAAGACACTCAGCCTCCAGAGACGGTGCAGAGTTGGATCGAACTTCTCAGCGGTGAGTTTTCAGTGTTTTTACCGGCCAGCAGACCCTCAGAGGTCTTATCAGATCATTGATGCCTCATACTGTTTTTAACCAACACAACTGCAAAATTCCACGTCATATGTGGTTAGAAAAATCTTTTCCCCAAATCCCCAGCAGCTGAAGCTTAAGGGAACATGCCTTTGCTTATTATGATTATTAATTCAATGGACCCACCCAGTTTGTAGCAGGAATCTGTGTAAGTGTGTCAAAACTGTTACAGACAACAATGAGGTTCTTTGTCACCAAACAATGTCAGGGATTTGGCTGAAAACTCTGGGCTTGTTCCAGGTTATATTTCTCTGATTCTGAAGATTAGATTAGCCCTTTTTAGGACCCCAGGACTATTCATTGATAACAATATTGAGCAATATATGATGCTAGAATCAGGCATTTAAAGCTAATGCTAATTGATTTTCACAAGAGACTTCCTGTGATTGCAGATGCCAAAAAAAAAGTCAAGCAGGTATCTTCGGCATGTTGTTCTTCAGTGAGACAAACCATGATGTAATGCCAAGAAGCGCAAGAGTGTGTGCGTGTGTGTTAGTGAAGCAGAGGGGGAGAGGGAGCATGAGGAGAGAGAGGCTGCAGAGTCTACAAGTGTTCATGAGCTAACTATGGCTAGGCTGAACTATGAGACGCTAGGTCTGCATCATCGTAGAAAACAGTGTGTTCAGTAATGTGTGTTCAGAGTGTTTGAGGGTTAAAGACTTTTCAGTTTAATAAGACAGAGAGAAGGGACAGACCTTTCTCCGCTGCTGCCCCCACCCTCTGGAATCCACTCCCCAAACCCATCCGAGAGTGTACAGACCCCCGTACTTTCAAATCACTCCTAAAAACGAACCTTTTTAAATTGGCTTTTAACCTGTGAACTGTTCTTTTATTGTCTTTTCCCATTTTGTCTTTTTTAACCTTTTACATTGTTGGTTTTATTTCTCAAAATTTTCTGTGTTTTAAATTGTGTTTTTTTTTTTTTTTTGTAAAGCATCTTTGAGCACCTGTAAAAGCGTGTTACAAATAAAATTTATTATTATTTTAAATACATGCAATGGAAATGTTGATATATTAATGTATGGTAGTTTTATCTAACTGCGATTCCAGTATCAGTCAAAATAATCCTGATTATAATCTGTGTGTTGAAGTTTAGTTTTAATCGTCTTTTGTGTCATTCTTGTTATTTTTCAGGAGAGACTTGGAACCCTCTCAAGCTCCACTATCAGCTGAGGAACGTGCGTGAGCGTCTGGCCAAGAACCTCGTCGAAAAAGGTGTCCTGACCACGGAGAAGCAGAACTTCCTGCTTTTCGATATGACCACACATCCTCTGACCAACAACAACATCAAACAGCGGCTCATCAAGAAGGTCCAGGAGGCCGTGCTGGACAAGTGGGTAAATGACCCGCACCGGATAGACAAGCGTCTGCTGGCGCTCATCTTCTTAGCCCACTCCTCCGACGTGCTGGAGAATGCCTTCGCCCCGCTGCTGGACGACCAGTACGACCTCGCCATGAAGAGAGTGAGACAGCTGCTGGAACTGGAGCCCGAGGGAGAGAGCATGAAGACCAACGCCAACGAGCTGCTGTGGGCCGTGGTGGCTGCCTTCACCAAATGAGGCCGGAAAAACAGACAGCAGATTTCTATCGAAGTGGCATTGAACGCTGGGGAGGGAATCAGACCCTGACATGGGGATTAAACTGACACCAGTTCACCCTGTCTGGACTCTTGGAACAGGCTGCCCTCCTTTTCCCCCCTCTTTTTTGTTTTCCTTCTTTACAAACTGTCGCTCACCCTCCCCGGATGTGTCCTTTCTGTCTCCACTTTGCTAATACAAATAACTGTCAACCTTTAACGGAGTGGAGGATACAAGAGAGGCTAAAATCGAGCTGTTGATTCATATCTTCTTTTCTGTTCTGTCAGGTTTATCTTTGTTTCTTAGAGGTACTGTTTGTACAATAACTCACATGTGAGGGTACACGTCGTTCAGGCTGTACACGAGGGAAAGGTGAGCCCGAAATCTTTTGAAAGTCTTTAATTTCTTTTGCCAAATCTGTCCGAAATGATTGAGGACGTGTAGTATGGTCGATCGCGAAGCCTGACTTCACTACCTAACACGGAGTCTGAACTGATATTTACTCAGTCAGTGCCTCTAAAACACACACTGATCTGTTTTACAAACCCGCTTATCCAGAGACGCAGGGAGGCAGAGACCGTCCCTGCTCAAACTGGGAGGGAGGTGCTCACATGACGCCTTGAAAACAGGCTGACACCGGGAAGAGTCCTCACAGGGACCTGAACTGAGGGTTGTCCAAGCTGTCGGGAGAAAGCGCTGACGGCAGAACCACCGTCCTGCTCACCGTTCCATCTGTTTCTACGTGAAAAGTTGTATGTGACATCATCCTTTGTCACCAGGACAGGAGTGAAGCTAACAGCGCCCTGAGTCCTGGGAGGATGATGAAGGTGTGTTCAGACCACAAGCGAGGGTTATATATTGTTAGTTATCTAACACAACCCCAAGGTCATAAACATTTGGACCCAGTAAAATGTTGAGAAAACAGAATTTGATGGTTTGCAAATTACTTAAACCTTTTAATTTGTTAAATTTGATGGCAGCAACATGTTTGAATTTGGATTTTAGCTGCTCAACAGGTTAGGGTCTCTTTTTATTGATTTTTTTATTTCATGATGCTCCAGACATTTTCAATAGGTGACAAGTCAGGACTGCAGGCAGCCCAGGTTTACCACCCGGACACTTCTACGACAGATCCATGCTGTTGAAATACATGGAGACTGTGGTTCATCACTGTCCTGCTGAAATTGTCTTCCCTGAGAAAGTCGTTGTCTGGATGGCAGCAGCTGTTGCTCCATAACCTGTTGATATCCTCAGATGGTCCCTCCCCTCTTTAGAGGACATGGTGGAATGTCAAATTCTGATCTGTGAAACTACGAGACAGTTTTTCATCTCAGTTCATCTTAAACAAGGTCTGGCTTGTTTGTGTGATTTGCAAACCATCCGATTGTGTTTTATTAATATTTAACAGCATTCCAACTTATTTTGAATTGGAGTTTCAATCAAATAACAGTCCGATCTGTTCATTCCGGCCTCATAGTGCCGCTCTGATGTTGGTGTGACTTTTTAGATGCAGTGAGACAGATTGCCAGGCTGAAACAAAACACTGGTCGGTGTCCATCAGAGAGATCCTGGTCCAGATTTTGGCCAAATGGGTTATCAATCTGCGCTGAAGGGAACAAGAAAGTCTAAGCACAGTTTGTGGAGGAGAAGGAGACATTAAGCCACCTGAGAGAGTGTCCAGGTGATGATATGAACACAGACAGCAGTTGATGCTTTTGGTTTGAACACACCTTTTAAATTTCTGTCCTGTTTAAAAGTGAAAAAGCCAAAACTTGTCGAGCATCTTCAGACGGACTTGTTTCTGTCATTGTGTAGAATTAATCATGTAGAATCATACAAGTACCAAATTCTGCAAACAGGCGAAGGATTCATAATAATGAAGGATATGATTATTAAATGAAAAAAGGGGATTGGCCGTTAGTTTTTCTGTATTTGATCCTGACATGGTTTGGGTAGAGGACAGGTCTATTTAATCTGAATGCACTTTCAAAATGTGTGCTTACTCAACATAAACCAGGTAAGATTCAGGGATGCAGTTTGTAAAAGTACCCTGGTCTAGGTCCAGTGTGGTGATGCTCCATGTTTGTTTATCCTGTGAAATCTTTTAAGATTTAGTAGTGATGGGACATTTCTCTGCTGGAGCTCTAACAGGAACAAACTCAGGAAAGCAGACCTGAGCGATGGACATTAGTTGATTTGTTAAATTCCGACAGACGAAATAGTTTTCTCTAATCAACAGAATCAAAAATAAAGAAGTCTAAGGTGGGTCAAAGAGTATAAAAGTCTAATAAGAATCTCCTCTTGGTTTTTGAGCTTCTGTTTCTTTTTTTGACCTTGAAACACCTCTAAATCATTACACAAAAGTGAGATATCTTCATTTAAAGATGAATTGAATGCAGAGAGAGATCAGGACGCGATATTTAAAAGCAGACTAACTGCTATGTAGCTCCCCCAAACAAAGAAAGAGGTCGATAACGGAGCGTGTCCCTTTAAAGTCGACCCATTGAATCATCAGTGGAAGAAGACCCTCCATCAACTCTTTCTGTTCAGTGCTTTTTCTTACATTTTTTATGTCCTTGTTTATCTGCATCATGCAGGAGCAACAACATGGTGAGCTGTAATCTTTGCTAAAATAGTGTCTGAATGAATCCTCACTGTGTACATCAGTTCTTGGTGGTTTCGCCTCTTGCCACCCAAAAATGAAAGCTGGTGTAAAAAACAACCAGCTGTGCGCACAAGTTAGCTTTTGTACGCAGAAGACATTGGGAAGATCTGTGAGCTGAGCTGCTTCCAACTTAATTAAACTCACTAGCTGACTAAAAACCCATAAAAAGTTACTTTGTTTATTGTTGACGTCACTTATTATAGGAGTAATCGTCTGGAAATGTCTCATCGTCTAACAGGGTTAGAAGAAAAATAAATCAAGTCTTACAGGTAAAACTCATCATTTTGGTAACTCTGTGACAAACTGTTGGCTTAATTTTACGAAACTTAAAGAAGTCTGAGCAGGGTAACAGTTCTGCATTTAGTACAGGTGAAAGATTCATTGTGTGTTTACCTGCGGGCTAGAAAACATGGATGCATTCTCAGTGGAGATACCCATTGGTTTCTGAAGAGGTGTTATAAAATCAAAAAATGTGTGTGATCGTTTTGATCTTGGGAGATACCAATCAGAGATGTTATCCTGAATGCTCTTTTAAGTCAGATTTCAGCTCAGAAACTCGGAGGACCTTAAGCGTTCAAAATCAAAGATGGCCGCTTCCTTCATTAGCAGTAAAATAGCTGTACTCTGAATAGTGTTTTTCAGCAGAAATAAACATGTTTACAGCCTGATCCAAAACTATTTTTGTCTCTTTTAGCCCATTTTTTTAAAATCACAATGCTACAGGATGGGGTGCTTTGGAACTATTTGCCAACTCACTAAAGGTTTATTTCATCTCGGCCTGATCGTCGTTAAATTTAAAGGAAAATTGGATTCATACGATGACCTCCATCTTTGGGTTTCAACATGTATCTCCAGAAAAAAAAGGGTGAAGATGCCACTAAGACAGCCATACCCTGTTTGCATCATGATGTTCTCACCCATATGCCACTGCCTTATGGTGCGTTCGAATAACCTCGGAAGAGTTACCAGCGTTTCAGTTAACAAGTTGTAAAAAGCAAAATTGGTTGCCGGAAACAAGAAGGCTATATCTACGAAAGTTATTTTCGTGCTTGCCTTGTCCAAATATAAGGCGAGCACTAAAATAACTTTTATAGATGTCAGGCCTCCGATTTCGCTATTTTCCGACTTGGTAACTGAAAGCTGGGAACTCGGGTGTGACGTCATTTTCAGCTCCGACATCTGACTTCCGAGGTAACTCGAACGCAGCAGTACAGTCCCGCCCCATTAGCAGTGGGTAGCTAGGTGGCTAACTAGCTAATATGATTAATATTAAGTAACTTGTAGTTTGTTTCATTTACCCTGGAAGTTAAATGTTGGAGCTGGGATTAAAGTTACACCTGAGCTGACTGCATTCCAGTCATAAATTGTAAATAGAAAAATAGCCCCTGTTGTTATCATAGTTAGGTACACCAGGCAGTAACACACTGTGGGGTAGTTTGAACATAAAATCAACATGTTCACAGATAAAACTTGCAAAGTGATATCTGTGTGATTGATTTTAGCTTGCAAACACTAAAGACTAAAATTTCTAATAGACATTTGAAGTACAGCTGTTTTATTGTTGATGCAGGGAGCATTCATCTTTGATTTTGAGTCCTGTGTTGCAGCTTCAGAACTGGGACATAACTTGCACCAGGGATTCATATACCGCCCGTGCTCCCACTAAATTCCAATTAAACTAGAAGTGTCAGGCTCATTTTAAAAGGGGGTCCATAGGGATTCACTTCCTTTAAGAGAAAGCCCCTAGCTGGCATTAAAGGTACTGCAGATTTTGTGATTTTGCCTTTGGCAGCATTTTTTCAGGCGATCACTGCTTTGTTTGGATGCAGAGTAAGTGAAAAAATTAGACATTTTTGTTTACCAGCGCCATCCCTGTGCAGCATCTCTTAAGTCTTAAACGTTGAGGTGCTTATTTCTGTAAACAAACACAGCTAGCTTTCAGTATGTTAGTGCAAAACCAGGCCGATTCAGTGAACTTGGAAAGTGGAAAATACACCTTCAAAGTTTTTCAAGACAGCTAACAGTTTTCCTTTGCTGTCACTCATTGGCTAGGCTAAACATTTTCAGGCCTGTCTCTCTCTTGGACAGCTACTTCTCATTATGAATAATTACATTTATATTCAAATATCAGATTAATCTATAAAGTCTGATCAGAGGAATGAAAATATGGCTCACATTCCAGATGTTATTGTATATATTTTTGTATTTTGTATCAGACGCAGCTCCACTGTCAGTGTTATGAATCTGTAGTGTTTCAGCTGCTCTGTCATTACTTTAATGAAGCCTTTATCGACGCACCTAGCTCTTAATTTCAGATTACGTCTGTCTTATTTTCATTTAATTGTTTTTTCTCTGTGTCAGTGCAGCTTCCTGCGGCACATCCAGACTTGTGTGGAGTTAATGCTGCTGACATTCCCCTCGGTTTAAAGCTGTTTATCATGTTTTATTGTTCACATCATGGATCTTGTTGCTTTTCTTCCCTCTTATCTTGTATGTAGCAGTGGGCTGAGACTGATGATTCAATGTTTAAGAAGAGGAGGAGATCTTCATCCCTCAGACTGCAGGGTGAATATGAGAGATTATACATGTTGTCGAAATAAAGGGACCTCCTATCTGTGTACTTTCTTTAACCCTCGAAATAAACCAAGAGCTTGGAAGTGCCTAATCATACCAATGATTTTATTTTATTACTTTTTTAAGCACTCAGGTTCAGCCTATTTTAAACCATGCTTACAAAGTTCAGATATTAAATTAGATTTATTATCATGGTTGTTATTTTTCCCTTTTTTTTTGAATACCAAATCCCAGTAAATGATCAAATTCATATGCAGATGCAGCCCCTTTCTTATTATATTTAATTTTAAAGCAGTTTCTCTTGAAAAATTTCCTAAGATCAATCAAAAAACTATATAAAATACAGAAATGTCCAACCTGTAAAAAGTATGAACATTTTCACTTCATCCAGTACTCGGCTGGGGCTTCTGTACCATGAATTACAGCGTCAGTGTATCAATCAATCAGTCTTTATTTGTATAACAATTTTCGTACAAAATCGATGTAGTGCTCTACCCAGCAGAGGAATGAAAGAAACAAAGGAAACCCTAATCTACCCCAACCCAACCCCTCATTCCAACCCCACAATCTAAGCACAGAAGAAATGTATTAAAATGCATGAACTTAAAAAGCTCGATTTCATATAAACAGGAATGTGCGCACTGAGGAAATGCCGCTTTAAAATTCAAGATAAGGAAACACTGGAGTTAGGTTAAAATCTAAAAAACAAAGTAACATAAAATGAAATTTGAGAAATAATGAATAAAATGAAATAAAAACAACAGTAAAAGATACTAAATAAGAGCACCAAAATGGCTCAACAAAAGATGATCCTGTCATTAAAACTAGAAGGGATAAATGCTAAAACACTTAAAGTTAACGATATAAAATTTAGTTAAAAGCAAGACTAAAAAGGTATGTTTTGAGTTTGCTTTCAAAATCATTAAGATGAGGTGCAGTCCTCAGGTCTTAAGGTATGCTGTTCCATAGACGGGGGCTGTAGTGATAAAAAGATGCTTCACTTTATGTCTTCGGTTTAACTTGAGGTATTGTTGACAGAGAACTGCCTGAAGACCTAAGGGCTCAACCTGGCTTATAAGGTAAAAACAGATCAAATAAATAAGTTGGGCCAAAGCCATTAGGAGCTTTAAAAACCAGTAAAGGAACCTTAAAAGTTATTCTAAAAGAGGAGGGTAGCCAATACAGAGACCTTAAAATCTGTATAACGTGATCTTTCTCTCTTTCTGGTCCTTGTTAGCATCCGTGCAGCTGAATTTTGGAATAATTGCAGGTGTGGAATGTTCTTTTTGGGGAGAGCAGAAAGGAGGGCATTACAATAGTCTATTCTACAAGTGATAAAATCATGAATTAATGTCACTGCATTGGCTTGAGAGAGAAACTGTCGCACTTGGGCTATGTTTTATAAATGATAACATACCTTCTGGTGATATCTCGTATGTGTGGTTCAAAACTCACTTGTGAATCAAATAAAACACCTAGATTTTTAGCCCGTTGATATGGATTATAGGATAATGCTTTGAGTTTGCTGACCAGTTTCTCTCTCTTGTCCTCTGTAAAACCGAGTTTTGTCCTGGTTGAGCTGTAAAAAGTTCTCTGCCATCCATGATTTAATGTCTAAAATGCAGTTAAAAAGGGCATCGAGTGGCCCTTTGTCTTCAGGAGACACGACGACATAAAGTTGTGTGTCATCAGCATAGCTGTGGAAATTGATGGCGTGCCTCCTGATGACAGTCCCTAAAGGAAACTTATAATGATTAAAAAGAGTAGGGCCTAAAATGGAACCTTGGGGAACACCACACTTCATGTCAAAACATTTAGATGAGCGATCCCCAGGGTTCATGTAAAATTGTCTGTCACTAAGATAGGATTCAAACCATTTAAAAACAGTGCCAGAGATGCCAATAAAAATACAGAGTCTATCTAAAAGAATATTGTGGTCACCTGTATCAAAAGCGGTGTACTGGTCTGCCTATTTTGGTCTTGACAAATATCTCAGGTTGTCTTTGGATATAAGGTCAGGCCAGTTGGCCAGCCAATCAGTTTGAGAAATATCACAGCCAGTAAAGCATTTGGGAATAGTTTCGACACTGTGGGCAGGTGCTAAATGCTGCTGGAAAAGGAAATCTGTATCTCCATTAAGCTTGCCAGCAGAATCTCTTGGTAGACTTTAGGTTGTGTTGACTTTGGACTTGATAAAACACAGTGGACCAACAGATGACATTGCACCCCAAATCATCACAGACTGAGGAGACTTCACACTGGACTTGAAACATCTGGGAATCTGTGTCGCTCTGATCTTCCTCCAGACTCTTCACAGCTTGATTTCCGAATATTTTCCATTGACTTTGAACCACTGAGCCACAGTTCAGCTCTTTTTTCTCAGTAGTACAGGTAAGACTCTTCAGATGTTGTTTGTGGTTCAGAAGTGTCCGGACAGCTGTAGTCCCTTTCCTGAGGATGTCCTACCACCTCTTTCCCCATGCTTTGATACAACACTCAATGGAGAGTCAGCCTTTCCAGCAATAACCCTCTTTGTCTTCTCCTTGGGGAGGGTGTCAATGATTGTATCCTCGACATCTGTCAAGTCAGCTGTCTTCACCATAATTGTGGTTGTGTGTACTAGACTAGACTAAGAGAAACACAGGTATTATATCAAACTTCAAATGAGATATCAGAAGTCATAATATAAAATGTCTAAGTTAAGCTGAATACATTTAACCTTCATGACAAATTAATGGAAAATATTGTATAACACAAGAAAAAAATGTCTGTCAGCATTGTCGTGACACACCATGCCAAAGAAGTGTTATCAAGTCTTTAAACTAATACCCTGTCTAAAAGGCTTGTCATCTGCAACACTCAGAAGTTTTACCTAAACTTTAATACTCGAAAAAATAAAAGTAAAATAAGTCTAAAATTAAGCAAAAAAAAGTCATTCTAACATCAAATATTTTTTGTTTAGAGTTTGTGATTATATCTGACTCAAGAAAACAGTCTCTAAACTAGTGACATGCTTTAAAGGAGACACAAGACAGTCTGCAGGTCTGTTGATATAGAAACTTGAATCTTAAATCTGTTACCAAATCAGAGCTCATTTTAAAAGAGCAGCTAACAGAGGATTAAAGATAAACTGAAAACCAGAGAGTACACAAGATTTGTCCTGTCAGCACAAATCAACATACATCATATATACAGGTACAGTCTCCAGGTGTTTTGGATTGTCCTTATGCCAAAGAGGAGATATCTTTGGATATTTTCTTCATTTTGGACCTTCATGTATTCACAAACCTCAAACCTCACAGTCACTCATTCAATTCCTTTGACTTTCAGTTCATCTCTGACTCGGCTCAGATAATCTGGATCTGGATATCCGTACCTGCAAACACAAAGACACCATGAGTTCAAGAGTAGAAGTTGAATAATTACAATTTAAAAATGCACAGTTTAAATTGTTATATGCAATTGTTTGGTTTCATAACCGAGTTTCTCTTACAATTAACAATTTCTTCTTCAGACCAAGGCTCAATCTAAAATAGCTGCCAGAATGAACACAGTGCTAAAGCACGTCTGTAAATGTTTTACAGTGAGGATCTTACTGTGTGGGTCCCCCATATCTGGAGGTTTTGTGGTGGATGTCGTTCCATGTGACTGTGTTGTTCCTGCCACTGGTAGTGGATCGACCTACAGTGAAGACAAGTCTCTGGTCAAAGGCTCTCTTCAGGAGCTCCATTATCTGTCTGCCCTCAGTACTGTCTGGTAGGTACGCTGTGCGGTACACGCCTTCATACGGTTGACCAGGGTTAGGATGCACCGACTACAAACACCAGAGAGACAGAGAAAGAAACAAAAATTACTCAGAACACTTTCTAAACTTCTGGGGCACTTTTGCAGCTCTGTAACATGAGGGGTGGTGGCTTTTTGAACTGTGGGATGAAAACAAGCTTGTTGGTCCTTCCACTTTTAAAGATAGAGGAAGTGGCGTCTATGATTTCCAGTAAGAACGCCAAATTTTCATCATAAATAGTTTGCTGGAACAGAACAGTTTTAACCTGATAACAGACAATGTCTTTTTTTTATATGATTTTGGGTCCATGCTGTGACTTTCACTACAGAGTCACATTTGTTTTCAATGCAATGCCTGAAGATCTCCATGATCCTCGTTGTGTTGTCTATGTATCATCTATGTGTTGTAGATGATGGTCTCATTTTAGGTTGCATGGTTCTTGTGTTGTCTGAGTTCCCTATGACATGAAAATGGCCTTCAATCCTGTTTTAACTGAGCTTTTTGTTTTTATTTGTCTTTTTCCATGTGCTTTATGATTATTTGTCAAAGCACTTTGTAAACTTCTGTCTTTAAAAGTGCTATAAAAATAAAGTTATCATTATTATTATTATTATTAGTAGTAGTAGTAGTAGTAGTTGTAGTATTTAATTCACAGATTTGTTGACAGATGACACAAAGAAATGTTATTGTGAAATTACTGAACTATTTGCTCATGCAGGCTCTTACAGAGTGATGAACCTCTGAATTTGAACCCTGTCATTTTACTAACCTGATGAAAATTAACCTCATGAGTTAGGAGATCTTCCTCCAGGTGATTTTTTATTATTTTTTGGCATGACACATCTTTATCAGTGTTTTGTTGTTCCTGTTAGAACTTTAAGGTAATGTGTTGCTGGCATTAAGTTGCAAATAAGCATGTATTTTTAATTAATCAAAGTTTTCACTGTAACATTGAATTTGTTGTTTCTACACTTTATTAGTTCTTGATATCAACGCTGTAGAAGTACTTAAAATTCAGAATTATAACAAGCAAAAGTATCACAGTTTGGCTGCAGTCGGTGGTCTGTAATGTGTCAAAACTATCAACTTTTGTGATTTCATTTCTCTTAGTCTGGAAAAATTCTTTAAATGTGCTTTTTAGGCAAGAAATCCCCAAATTAACTGAAATTAAATGAACGATTTACATTTTTCATTTTCATTCTCACTTAAAAAAAAGACTGCAACCTTCTTGCTGATCAAATCAGCTCTGATCAACTCTGTTTCAAAATTCAACTCCTTCAAATATTTCTTTTCAAACATTCAAAGAAAGGTGACATGATTTCCTTTAGTAGCTTTGGTCTTACCTTTTGGGTGCCATTTGGGATGTAATAGTTGATGGTAATTGTTCCGTATTTCTCGTACCCAGGTAGAGATGAGGTGTCTTTACTGACTTTCATTCTTCCTCCTTCAGGCTGAGTTCCTGTCAGAACGCCATAAACAGCTCCACATGTTGGACACACAGGTTTATAATCAAAGGCCGTTTTCAGGCAGTCTTTGCAGAACGAGTGTTTGCACTTCAGTGTTTCTCTCTCCGATGTTTTTATTTGCTCCATACAGATCGGACACACCTCTTTTTCCTCAGGTCCTCTGCTGAGCTCAGGGGAGGTACCCGAGGATCTGCTGCTCTCTGCTGGATGTTTGTTGTTCTTTGGACTCCTGCTCGAGCTGGTTGTGTTGCGGGACAGGAGCTGCTTTAATTGATGGATTTCGACGAAGTTCCCGGTCACTTTCACCTTATGTTTAATGTGGTGGGGTTGAAACAGGAGCTGTGGAAAACGCCTTTCCAGCTCTTTGAGGTGACGTGGATCAATGTATGTGGTCTGCAGGTCTGAGGCCGTCCTCTGGTAGAAGGTGATGAATCTCTGTCTGATGAAATCGGCATGAACTGGGGAGACAGATCCGTCTTGGGTTCTGAAGATGACCCGGACTGAGCTGCTGGACTCACCTGGCTGTTTTTCAATGAAGCTGCTCCCTGTGATTCTTGTCAGCTGTTTCACACATTTTTGCTCCATGTAGTCCATGACAGAGCGGGACACGTCCACAAATCTGGGGGAACTTGGCTGGTAATGATTGGTCAATCTGTATTTTTGAGGACTGGGACAATCCCTGAATGCTGACAATCTGCGCCAAAGGTTCTCCATATCTTCAAAGGATCCTGTCACTGTGTAGCAGGAACCTTTCCTTTCAGGTCTGAAGGACTTAAGGATCTTCATTAGTCCAATTAGGTCTTTGAAACCGTCTTCATTGATGATGAGAGAGACATCAGTGATGAACTGCAACAAAACCAGAACCAGGACTTCAGCGGTCTGTTTTCCCCGTGACCCTAATAAATGACAAAATTGACTCTACACCTCTAAGATAGCTAAGCCTGGCTGTAACCTGTTACTGGAATCACTGATTGAAGTAGGGGAGAGTGGGGCAAGATGAGCCATCTTTTCATATATCAGATCACTACATCAAGGCAAACATTGGCTGTGTCTGAAATGAATCTCTAACCCCTAACCCCTAACCCCTATATGGGGTTTCACTATATAGCTGACTATGTAGTGAGGTTTCAGACACTACATGGCATGACGGGATGCCCACCACCGGTGAGTGACCATCGGATGGTCACTACATTTTGCAATGCTCTATGGGAAATTTTGAGTCGCCTATATGGGGCATTGGATTTGATCATTCAGGTTTTGGACACCCCTCAAAATGGCACTAACCCCCATACAGTCGCCTATATAGGGGTTAGGGATCCATTTCAGACACAGCCATAGTTTTGTCTCTAACTAGTGTATCTGCATATATTTCAAGGTTTTTGTGCAGCCCTGCAAACCAACAGAATCAGTGTAAACATAACTGTCTTGATAATATAGTATGCCAAAAAAAGTGGTCTCCTATGGTCAACTTACCCCGTGTATGGGGTAAGTTGACCATAAGAGCGGGGTAAGGCTTAACTTAGCTAACTCAACTTACTCCATTCTCCCCTATAGGAGACAGATCGGATGTGCATAGGCGAAATAGAGATGGATTTTACATATCAACCTAAACTAGTTTTGTCTCGTTATTGTTCCGTTAATAAAAACAAAACTTTGATTTCTGTTTGTCGGTGATAATCCCAATCCTATCACGGAAACAGAGTCATTGACGAAATGTACTCTCTGTAAAGTGGTTTCAGGTGAAACAGGGCTCAAACTCTCTACTCAAAGCTGGGTCTTACTGTTTAATTCACATCACTCTGGTCCATATGTCAAAAGTACGACGTTATATCTATTTGTAACATGCAGTGTGAACCCAAGAGACCCTGCTGCCCGGAGTGGGACATGGCGGGAAGGTTTATATCGGATGGACTTGAAGCATACACGATATGAACAAATATGAGATTAAACCGGATTTGTGTTGATTGACTCTTATTTTGAAGGACAGTCGACCTTTACGAGCAGTTCTGATTGTTAAATCTTTCCCTTCTACTGTATTTTTTACAGCTTTTTATTAGTACGAGTGTGAACTTACCTCCATGTTTTCCTGTTGTTACTCTATCGCCGAGCGACAGGAGCTCGATTTTTAGTTTCACTTTCAGCTTCAGCTTGTCCTCAGTGTTTATCGCCTATCACACAGCGCCCTCTGCTGGAGGGCTATTATAACCCTTTGTAATGGGCTCTATGCACATTGGATAAACTGATCAATCCAGGTGTGACTGCTCAGACACACCTGGATTAATCAGTTTGTCCTATAATGTAAGACAGGAAATAAAGGAGCTGCCTTAAAGGGATATTCCGGCGTAAAATTAATTTAGGGTCAACCACACTGTAACACTGATTTAGATACCTGTCGAGAGATGAATGTTACCGACCGCTTGCTTTTCTAGTTATACCAACTTTAGTAATGACCGCACGATAGCAATACACAGCGGTCTGAAAAGCCATAAACAAACCTCAACCAAAACACCACTCTATAGCCACGAATAATGCACAGACCAGCACCTAACTTCATCAACAGTACATAGACGGTCCTAGCCACCACACATCTTTTTAACCTTGCCTGATTTGTTTATCAAAGAGAGTAAACACAACTTACCTACTCTCTTCCAGCAGCCGCTTGTTTGTACAGAGACCTCAGGCGAGTCCATTGACTGCAGCGGGGTGACGCAGCTCAAGGAAGAACATTTATGATCATTAATTTATCATTTTCTTGAAGTAATAATCATCATACTAGAAAAATTGCATTTACTTGCAGAAAATGCGTGGAAATGCTGAGTGCTGAACGCTGAAAAAGCAATGCAAAACTGCAAATAAAAAATGAAGGAAGGTATAAATGTAAAGGCTGTTGAAGGGGTGAAAAAGTAGTAGAAGTTGGATAATTGTGAAATGGCTGAAGGACAAACAGTATGAATATTTTCCATGAATTAAAATTTTATCAATGTTGAAAGAGGCTGGAAAAATGCCTAAAATTGCACAAAGTTTGAATGAAGAAGTAAATTCCGTTAAAAGGCAGGAAGGTGAGAAGTGTCATAAGTTTAAGTTGTAGTTCTAGTATTAGTGTGATAAGTAGTCTTGGTAGTGATATTAGTAGTAATGTCAGCAGTAGAAGTAGTTTCAGAATAAAAGAAGTAGAAGTCAAAGTAGTAGAGCTAGTGCTAGTGGTAAAAGTAGAGAAAGTAGAAACAGTAGCAACAGTAGTTGAAGTAGAAGTGAAAGTACTAGTTTAATTGATGTTAGCAGTAGTTGTAGTACTAGAAGTGGGACTTTGTTTGAAGGATTAACTAATGCATGAATATTGAAACCAATTTAAAACGGGGAAAATTTAAATAATTAAAAATCCTCAAGTATTAAGGTATTAAGGTTTGAAGTATCAGAAAGGTTTGAATCGGTTTGAATGATTTCACGCTTTCAAACATTATATTTATGTCATCATTTCTGATATATGAAGGAGAAATTATTCTTTAAATAACCTAAATAAATCTTATCAAGAATTCATCTTTAAGTTTCTTTACCTTTCCCAGGCCTGACTCACTTTGCATTGTCTCACCACTAGAGGTCCTCAGAGCTCCATACACTGATGTTTCTGTGGTTTTTCAGTCTTGAATAATCAATGGAGACTGTTGGAGCTGATCATCTTTTTTTTTCTATCAAACACTGTCTGTTTATTTATCTCTCATTCCCCACAGCAGGATTTCATTAATGTTACTCTCCACTAAAGGAAAACCTTCTGTTTTTGTGTCTGCTCAGACCCTCCAATGGTTTCATGAGAGACTGATCCAGGCGCAGACATCCAGACACTGAGTGTTCAGACACAGGATATACACAAAAACATCAAATCCTGTAATTCATGATTATATCAAGAACAGAAGCTGTTTGAAACAGTAGATCTACTCAACAGTAATGCTCTGTGCACTGCTTTAAACATAATTTTATTTCATGGCAGGCTAATGCGGTAAAACTGGAGCATTTCTTTTGTTCCATTTTTATGCTGTACTCTTTAGAGAAAGGAAAATTTACTTGTGGTATAAATGAGCAAAATATTCGACCCTGTTTGTGCCTGTTTTTTTCTTTTCATGCACATGCTCTTTTTGGTGCTCTTTTTGCTATAACTCTAATTTGAAGGCTCATACAGAATGCAGTATATCAATTGACATTTGAATTAGATTAAATTCCTGTCAATGGAGAAAAAAAGTGTTAGGACAAGATGATTATTATGCAAATGTTAAATATTTAAAACTTAAGAGTTGTTAAGAATTTATCTTGAAAGTGTTTAAAAGCTTTTGATATTAAAAATTTGAAACAATTTCATGAGTTTTTATTTAAATGTTAGTATTACTTTTACAATACTAAAACGAATTTATTTCAGCTTTTTCCTGTTAATTTCTATGGAAATTTTTAAAGAATTAGCTCTAAATGTCACAGCAAGACACTATTATATGAAAGTAACACGATTTGAAATGGTTTAACACCTGACTATACACATGGTTTTGGTATGCTAACTTATAATGAACCTTCATATGGGTCCACTTCCATGAAGGCACCATCTTACCACGTCATCTTTCTACAGTAGCACAGAATGGACAAACTAGTAACATATATGTTAGGAGAATATGTTTAGGATGGTAAAACTGGAGAACTATACATATCATGCATCACTGGGGCCTCTTGTCCTGGAAGGCAACCATTGCTTCACCAACAGTAGGAGTGAGCAAGGGAGCGTTTCAATTTTCAGTTTTTTTGGACTTATCTATTTTGTTTCTTCTTTGGTCTATTTTTTTCCTGTTGTCTAAGATTATGATCATTTAAAAAAACAAATACTTTCACCCCCCTCATGAAAACTTAATTTAATGGAAGCAAACATGGCTAACTTGTTTAGTTTAATCCAGTTTTACTTTCTTTTTTGTGTGAGACACAGGGAGATACTCCTTTCTTTAAGTCATATAGATATTATAGTCATTAGTTTGTTGACTTTACGCAGACAACTTAGGGCTGTCTGGAAAAAGATGGAAAGTCCATTCAGATCTGCTGGACATTGAAGTCTTTCTCCATGATCAGTCAGACAAATAAGGGATGCTTAGTAGATACAAGACAATGCATATGAAATGCTTTCAGGCTGGCCATGTAGTGACTCAAGAGATGATTGAGAGACTGCTGACTATGTTGGATCCACAAGGAGTGCAGCTACGGCGTCAAACCTGGAAAACAACTGGAAAAAAAATAGTCTGAAAAATGAAAGGAAAAAATTTGTCTGACAAAAAGAAAAAGAAAAAAGATAAGTCAGACAAACAGAATTCAAAAAAAATTTCTGAAACATAGAAAGAGAAAAAAATTTGTCAAACAAACCAAAAAAAAAAGAAAAACATTGTCTGAAAAAGAGAAGAAAAAAATTGTCAGAAATAGAAGAAAAAAAATGTGTCCAAAAACAGAAAAAGAAAAAAAAAGTCAAATAAACAGAAAAAGAAAAAAAAAACGTCTTATAAACAGAAAAAGAAGAAATAAATTGTCAGGAAAAGAAAAAAATGGTCTGAAAAACAGAAAAGAATAAAATTAGTCCAAGAAACAGAAAACAGATAAACAAAAAATTACTAAAAACCAGAGCTTTCCTTTCTTTTCCCCTAAAGGAATGAAATTGGCTTACATAGGAAATAAATAAATATATAAAGATCTAAAAAAAATCTCCTCTTCAAGATGGACTGAGTTGGAGTGGAAAACTTGTCATAACTTTTGCAGATCATGGACACCATGTCCTCCTTTAAAAAGAGAAAATGGACCACCCAGCCTGTTATCGTCACACTGTTCCAAAGCCAGTATCTCTGATGGCATTTGGGGGATATATTTGTGTCCATGGCATAGATGGCTTTCACATCTGGCTCCATTAATGCTGAACAATATCAAAAGTTTTTGGAGCAACATATTCTGTCATCCAGACAATGCCTTTTTCAGGGAAGACCTTCATATTTCAGCTAAAACAACTTCTGCATGTATGGCAACAGAAGTATTAGAGACCAGGTGGTAAACATAGACACGAAAATTAGGACAGAACTTGAACTATTGAGCAGCTTAAATCTTATACCAGGCAAGAAAGGGACAACATTTCACTTTCCAAACTCCATTTGCTGGTCTCCAGGGTTCATAAATGTTTACAGAGACCAAGTTTTTCATTCAAAAACTTTGTAAAATGACACCCAACAAAATGATTTTAACTGTCAGTATTTTATTTAATACAGTAACTTTCAATGCAATTTTATATCTCTTTTTCAAATTGAAAAAAACTTTCATGAAAAATCATGTTTGTGTCAGTGGTTGAAGACTGTCACTCAGAATTACAGGGTTAACACTCCACATGCCTTTAACACATTTCACACACTTTCTTCCCGCATCTTATGTTTAGAATAAAAACACCTCTCTGATTGATTTTCTCCACGCATGTACAACGGAGCCTCGCTGCTGCTTCATGAGGATAATATTAGTTATTAACAATAACAGAAACATGTTCAGCAGAGTTCTTTTGTTGCTGGTACGAGCTTTAACAATAGCATTTGTGTTGTGGATCTCTGAGCAGAGTAAACACACACAGGGTGACTAACAGTCATTATTGTGGAGTGTGTCGGAGCTCTTTCACTGTGAGCCGCTCATTAACTCATATTCATCAAACACTAATTGATGCTGTTGGTTAGCAGAGAGCTTCACACAGAGATGTTTTTTTTTTTTTTTTTTTTAAACTCGATGCCTCCCACAAAACCACAACGCGCTATCACAAATCACAGAGTGACAGGTTTACGACAAGGCTGACTCCAGATCAGCCATGTGACATGAAGCTCATCACCTCCGGCTCTGAAACACACAGAGAGAAATGATCCTTTGACCTGATTCATCTCCTCTGTGCTGGACTGAAGGTTTACTGCAGGGGTTAAATTCACACTGATGTTGTATGTAGTTGATCTTTTTCGCTAATATAAATATTGTTCACCGTTTTTGTTTTTTTAGTATAAGATTATATTCAGGCGTTAAAGGGAATATATTTTATTTCACCCCCGTTCTCAGTACCTGGTGGGTGTGTCCATGTCAGAATTTGATTGACAGCAGCTGGCAGACTG